TTCTAATAGCTTTAAATATAAAAAATAAAGAATTTAATCTTCTCAATCTCCAATAAATTTGGGTAACGAAGGATATTATTATTCGATGTCTTGATTAAATTTGAAAATTCATATATTTGTATTATATAAAATATTAAAATTCATATATTTATGTCGTATTTTACATAAAAATTATATGTTATAATTCATATCGATATGAAAATATAAAATGTGTGTTTTTTTTTTTATAAATGCATATATAATTATTACTAAAATTTTAAATCGTGTCCATTATACGTATTATGTTCATGTTGTGTTATTATGTTATGTTTTAGATTATAAGGTCTTGTTTGAGTTCCTCTCATTGGTACTTGCATTTATAATTTACGGATAATTGCAACTAATCATCAAAATTTTTAGTTTGAAATAGCATTAATTAAGATACTGGTGTATGTATGACAGTTTCAAAGAGATAGCCACTTTGAATTACAAAGAGAAATATTGTAATCTCAGAGTAAGAGTTATTTGAACAATCATAGAATTAGGAAAAAGAGAAAGTTACTGAATGGGACAGAAAAAAGAAAAGCAAAGACACACTGCAACAATGCAGCAAGTTACTGCATGTTAACTAGCTATATTGGTTAATCACAAATGAAGTCAGATGGTAGCTGCTTCCCACAAGTGTTGATATAAATGGGGATATTGATGTTAATGCCAAGAACGTTAGCTTTAATGGCTGTGCAAAGGCACACAGCGGCTTCGAGATCGACAAGCCCTGATCGCACCGAGCAGCAAGGAGCAATCTGGAGGGTTCCCGACCACTCCACCAATTGTTCCATTCAGCAACTTTGCACAAACCCCGAGCTTCAGAGCATCTCTAGGACAACTCTTTTTGGTGGGAGAAGAAGGGTTTGGGTTTCGTACTCTAGGCTGAACACAAGTGTTGCATCCACTCACAAGGGTGAAGAAGAGAAGATTAATAGCGAGAAGGAGAATGGCTGATGAAGATCTTTTGGCATCCATCTCAAAAAAACACTTCCACTTCAACTTCTAGGTTTTACTTCTCCAATGTGATAGAGATCAGATGGGGAATGTGGGTTTATATAGAGTAATTAGTGAAGTATGTTGCATGAATTCCAAGACATAATGGGTAATTAACACTAGCCATGTGAATTAGCAAGGATGGCTGGCTAGAATATAGCTGCTAATGCAAGAGATTTAAAATCAAAAGCATTAGCATTTATCTATCTATATATATATATTATTTTAATAAACTGTTTTTTATCGTCAGCATCATGATATTAAGGAACCAAGTATTAAGTCAATAATAACTTAAATTGAAAGGGGGCGAAGAATGAAAATAATAGTACCAAAACAATACTTTTAAGGTTATCAAAATTTTTTTGGGAGGGGCCAATTGTGCATGCCTGCACCCCTAGATTCGCCTCTGGGCCCAGCTTGTTATTCAACCCTGTGAATAACACCCATGTGGCATTTCTGTTTTATGGTACTATTATATGCATGTCCGGGACAGAAATACCATGTTGATCTCAACCAATCAAGCTATAACACAAATATGAATCTCCGGGGACCATTCTCATCTAATATCATCCTTAGCCCTCAATGGTACAATTACCTCTCCAATTTGATGTGTTAAACACCCAATATGCCAGAGCTGAACAGGCAGCATGAAGATTTCTGGTTTATCCTTCTTTTTTTTTTTCAAGGAAAGAAGAGATTTTGACTCGAAATCAAAATTTTTATACTTTCCTAAAACCCCTTTAATCATTAGACCAAGGGGTAGAGAACAGATTTATCATATTTAAGTGAAACGAATTACAACAATTATCAAAATAGTGAATCTATGACGTCACAAATTTAAAATAGCTATACATAGATAGCATACTAAATACTACTTAAGAAATAAATTTAAAATATTTCCATTAATGACTAAAAATTAAGGGATATGAATTGGATGATGTGATGTTGAAATTCCATGGTATATCTTCAAATAAACGTCACTAGCTCAAGCCCACTCATGTTCAGCCCATGAAATCATTTAAAAACCACATACACTTAGATAATAAACAATCTCGATCAAATAGTATTATTTCTTTTCTAACTTTATACGGCCAATTAGTCCAACATGGGTAAAACTAAGTTGTAGATTTTTGTGACTGTGATTTTCAAAGATTTTTTGTTTTATGCTGAAGTCATGGGTATCCACAAAAAAACTCTTTACTTGAGCAAGAATATTTTCCTTCCATATACAATATATGTGCTGTACATTTTTGTAAGGAACTCAAAATTTTTAAGCTAGAATATTTTCTACATGATGTAAAAGAATTAATGGTTGAGGCTTTCTTTATATAATCAACCACCTGCATCTCACCATGTGACTGATGGAACACCATAGTTTGTTTCCATTCATGTAAAGCTTGATGGTTTTGTTCGTGACCCTTCATTTAGATGCGAGTCCTGAAACCATTTTCTCACCCAACACTCTTATCAACTAATGGCAAAGTAACTTTATCAATTCGATAAGCACAACCCTTGCACAAAAAGATATAATTAACAGAGAATCGAAAAGCATGTAAGAAGATTAATATATATATATATATATATATACGTATATATATATAAAATTATCAACGGTAGCCCTATTAGGCTTGGTTTGTTGGCAATGGTTTTTTTTTTTTTAGCACGAAGTTATCAGCAGTTGATCCATATATAAACCTGATTGTATATATACTTGATTAATACATTAATTCTTTGGCATCTTTTTTTCAAAATCAAGCGTGTACATCAATCCCTTCAATTCCAGCAAGCTAGGCAGTGATAGAATTATACTATTTGATTAGCTTAGCTATTTTATTTGCTTTCGTTTTCTGGGGAATAAGTAAGCTTTAAAACTGGTTGAAAATGGAAAACAAAAGGATAAAATATTTACGTGAAAGAAAGATTTGTTTCACAATCATGAAATAGCTATATATCACATTCATCCAGTTTCGTACCTGGTTTAGCCCGGACCACATATCCTAAAATTGTTTGTATACTATAGAATTTAGTCCAACTGAAGAAGACATTTCACAGGAAGCTACCCATTCTTAGAAGAAGACAGAAAAATGAAGTGGTCCTTTGATAATCCATTGTTGATTATCTTTTTTTTCATCATTTAAGAGTTGGAAACTTCAGCAAATTATATCTTGAAATGTTGTTTCCATGTATATTCAATAAACGTGTTTGAAAATAAGATCCGAACGAATATCTCCCATGACAGTTATAAAACTACAGTTAAGTAATTATTCCTTTTGTTGTTGCAATCGATTGCTTTGGTCATCTCATATACTGATTTCTGCCAAAAGGGAATAAAGCTAAAGATTTTCGCTCAAGTTTACCAGTAGGTGTCAAGGCATATAACTTCAAAATTTTCAGTGCATACAAATGGTGACAATATTGTCGACCTCTGGCAACAGAACTTTTTTTTTTTTAGTGGGTTTGAATTCATTGCTCATCATGGGTTTGTACCTAGAAAATAAAATAAACTTTTTTGGATCATATCTTAAGTTGGCTTGATTAAGTATCAGTACATAGTTTCTGTCGTAGAAAGAAAAATACGGCTCCACTCAAGGTGTGAATGGAAGAAATTTTTAAAAAATTTCAGGTCATGTCGACAATTGACAGTCATCTTATATGTGGATTGGCACAGTTCCAAATAATCTCTGGTGGAGCCCATGGTGGGTTCTAGGCTCACCCGTGACACTCCTTCAACCCGTTCTTCCAGCTAGAAATCTTTCATGGACAACAGGCCAAGATGGAACACTCTGCATCTTCATGCCAGAAAATATAGGAATAAAAATGGTCTGTTTGCGGTAAATATCAATAATCTCAGAGTATTATAAAGGGAATTAAAGGATTTGACTATAGCAGAATCAAAATGAAGCTTCTCTGGTTGGATTAAATGTTGATTTGCCAATTGCCATGCTTCAGATCCATACCAAATTTTGGAACAGAATCTCAGTAAGATCGAGGATGCTTTTTAGAGAAAAAAAAATAGAGTTCCCTTAAAAAAGCCAGACTAGAAACCGTTCCTTGATTTTGGATTGGAGTCATTAGTTCATTACAGTCAGTTTCTTATTGCAACTTCTATTGGGATCTTGAAATTCAAGTTCAATGTGAATGATTTTCGATAAATCTTAGAATAGAAGCAAAAAGGACAAAAAAAAGAATATGTTGAAAGAACTTATATGAAATTTTTTAAGTAAAATTTATGCAATTCTTTACTAAAAATTTTTATAAAAAATTAAAATTAATAGATTGATAATGTTCGACGAGAAGATCAATAATATATAAATTTTTCCCTACCATGTGAGGGTATAGTAAAGATTGGAATATGGCGCAATCAAAACAAAATAAAATAAGTAGCCGTAGATGAACATGCAAGAAGGTGTGAAAGCTAGCCTTCAAGAGATCAGAATTATGTTATTCTGAATCCGTATCCATTTTGTCTACAGCACTTAGTGGTTGTAACTAGGAAGAACATTGAGCGGAGAAGATTTTTTGTAAAAGAGAAGTAAACAAAGTAAATACTATTAACAAAGTGTTTGTGCATCACATTTTATCAGTTTTATCAAAAAAAAAAAAAAACTTGAATATGCTAGTAGGATGGATGATGCAGCAGTGATTAAGTTATTTCAGGGTCCCCATCTTCTTCCATGATGAGAGGTTAGGATGCAAACATCTTAATCTTGCCGATGCTTTGGATTGTTACTCAAGATCGAACAATGTTGCAAACCGTATGATTTATGCTAGATATAGCACAGATTGATGCCAGGAGCAGTGGTAACATGGCAATTTGCTAATCCCCACCTCACAATCACAAACATCCAAAGCTCACCAAATATCTTCTTTCAATGCCAGCTCAAATCGCAAATTTTCAATTAATTAAATTCTTTTAAGCTAACGTCACAAACAACCGACATGTTCTCTTGAAACACTATAAAACCCCCCTCCCTTTACTCCAAATTCTCCATCCTCACACTAGTACTACTCTGAACCCTCTCCTATTACTTCTACTTGCCCTGATTAAGCAAAAAGCTAATAGGGTTTGAGAGATGGCTTCAAAAAGATCAGCATCACTAGCCCTTTTTTTAGCACTCAACATTCTCTTCTTTTCCCTAGTCAGTGCTTGTGGTTCCTGCCCTTCCCCCAAACCAAAGCCCACTCCCTCTCCATCTCCATCGGGAGGAGGAAAGTGCCCCAGAGATGCCCTTAAATTAGGTGTATGTGCTGATCTGCTTGCAGGTTTGCTCAATGTCACCGTTGGTAAACCCCCCGTACAGCCCTGCTGCTCCCTCATCCAAGGCCTTGCTGATCTTGAGGCTGCTGTTTGCCTTTGTACAGCCATCAAAGCTAACATCTTGGGTATCAACCTTAATATCCCAGTTTCCCTCAGCTTGCTTCTCAATGTCTGCTCAAAGAAAGTTCCCTCTAGCTTCAAATGTGCCTAATCACTTTTCTAAGTTCTCTCTTCTTGGATTTGCGTGGATTTGATATTCTAATTTCCACCATGCGGTGATCAGTGTTTAATTGGCAACTGCTTGTTTCCATTGTTGTAGTGTGTTTGTTTGTGGATTGATACTGAATAAGCGTCAAATACTTTTCTTCAAGTGTTTTCTTTGGCTTTATGTATCTTTAAGGGAAATGAAAGACTAGTACATATTATTCAGCTTGTTTATTTCAATAAACCTACAATCCATCCATAGGGAGTGGAATCATGTCTAATTTCTCAATGTTCACAAGCTATAGTCTTTGGTCCCATGACCTTAATGGCAGAGACATTTGTATCTTGCCATCTAGGACACTATATTACATGTTAAATCATCCTTTTCTGATCTTGTTTATTTTGTTGCTTAAAAGCTACATGTTGAAATCACCAGGTCTAGTCGCCTCTGATCACTTCTCAATACCTTACTGCAAATCCTAACAAAATAGTACAAGTCCTATGTAGCCAGCTTGTTATTATTATGTCAATTAATATGAACTCTAAGGCCTCTTACAGCTAAATTATTGCCAAACCCTGATGAGAAAGGAGTTTGCATGGAATATTATAAAATTTTAAATCCATAAAGTCTAAGAATTATGAAGTACTATGGAAAATATAAATAAAGAAAAAGAAAGGACAACGTGGTGGCATGTAAATGCTGGTTTTGATTTTGTAAATTATTGACAAGAATCAGCTGGCGCATGCAAGAGGGCCCAACAAGGGAAAACAAAGGTCGGATTATCGCAAGATGTCTCTATCATTCTTACAATTTTCATGTCATGTATTCCTTGGAGTCATAAACCAGTGGCTTTGGCGTATATTTTTGAGTCACTGGAAACAACCGAAGCACAGTTTTGAGTCCGTGACTAAGAATTTGGTGAGGAAGATGTACGCATTCTCACATGGGAAAACAAAGAAAGCCCATTTCACTTCCACAGCTCTCACTACTGCACAGAAAAAGGCAAAGATTCCCTTACCTTTTGATTTCCACCAACCGCAATATATATCCAGCTGAGCATTCAAGATAATGATGGTGATGTTTAATATTCTTGTTTAAAGCTCTCTTTTATATACTTGTTGAATATACTTCCCGATATGATATTAAGTGATAAAAGTGTATCTGGTTTCGATTTCTTGGGTTTTAATCTTTCTATAAAATATCAGCCTCCTAGAATCAAATAATGTACTACTTAGAAGGGTTAAATTACAGATCAAAATTGCTCAAAGTTAACTGATAATTAAAAAGCATGAACGACAATTAGAGTGTATTTGGAAAATCCAGTCATGATTATTAATTGTCTGCCAAGAATAAGACCGAACTTGTGTTCACTATCATTACTACCTTAATTAATGCCTTTAGTTTCTTGGCTTCAAGATTCCTTACAGAACAGCCCCTCCAACCCCATGCAATGGATCATAATGCTTGAGAGCTGTGATCTCCAACTCGATTTCTCTAATTATTATTATACTTAAGATTTAGAGAAGAACTTTGATGCAATGGAAGTTTGATTAGCTAAAGATAAACTATGAGCTATTTCGTCTTCTCTCTCAAAGGAAAATGACTTGCACAACGGAATTAGGAAGTTCTATTTTTTATAAAGTTTGTACTTTAGATGAATTGATAGCTACATTAACGATAAAAACGTCATTTCGAGTATTTGAAAAACAAGGGAAAAGAAAACGGAAAGGAGAAGAAATAATGAAAGCGATATCTACTTTATTTTCTCTTTAACTTCAATTATGAAAGAAGAGTCCTCCGGAAATAGTTTCTCTGTGCTTAAATAATTGAAAAATAGTTGGTTTAAGGCTTTGTTTGGGCCATAGAATCATCTAGCATGATGCCAAACATGAATTATGACTATTATATTTAATAAGAGAAATTATTACATCTCACAGTGAAATTTTGATTGTGGAGTTAAAAAATTTTACAACATTATTAATTCATTTTTGTTGAGTTAAATCATGATTAAAGGACAAAACTCATATCTAAAAACTCTCCATAAATGTAGTCTGAGAAAGATTAAAACAAGCAAGCATTAATAGTCAATAATTAAACATTAACTGACACTTGAAATGCAACTGGAAGTTGTTATACCCCGAAGATTAAAGAAAAACAAACTCTAATCAAGTGAAAATACAACAATAATCAAATCCTAGCAGAAAACGACCTTAATTCAAACTTAATCATGCATGGAAAAGAACACATTATTTTCAGGTTTTATCAATTTTTTTGGTAGTTAAAGAAACAGTTAGCATGGGAGGCCGAGGTGGCAACCCCGCCTAGAAGCTGAGCTCTATCTGACTATCTTGTACGTCCAGAGAAAGTGAAGAATCGTCGCCTTGTTAATAATGAATGTGCAGTGCACTTAAAGAGGAGGACAGACGAAACCCGGAGGAGGGTTTTTTCCGCATGTTATTAAAACTTGAAGAGCAAGGGGAATGAATATATTAAGGTTTAGGAGCTTAAGCCTTATAGCAGTGCAGAGACAAACGGCTGCTTCAAGCTCTAGTAAACCTCCTAACACTGGGCAGCAAGCATTCTCAACAGGGTTTCCTAACCCAATGTGCACCAATCCTCCAAGCACATCCACGCAGAGTCCAAGCTTAAGTGCATTAACCGGGCAAGTTGGTTGGGTAGCTGGTGGAGCAGGAGAGCTACCCCCACCCCCACCTCCACCTCCTCCACCACCACCGCCACCGCCACCACCCCCACCCCCGGAAGGTGGGCCTCCGCTGTAAGGTGGGTATGGAGAAGAAGGTGGTGGGATTGTAACAGGAGGGTTGGTAATGGGAGGAGATATCACGGGAGGATTTGTTATTGGTGGGGTAATGATAATTGGTGGAACAATAACTGGTGGCATTATTGGTGGCTTTTTGGATGGTGGCTCTACCTTTGGGGCACCTCCATGGCGTGGTGGGTGCTTAGTGCTAGGCGGGTTTGGGCGGGGAACTTTAGGGTGAGTGGGGTTGGTTGGGCGGTTGTATGGCGGTGGATGTGGCTGTGTACAAGGAGCACAAGCATAAATTGGTGGCAACGATACTAACATGAAAATCAAAAAGATGAAAAACATGGCTGTAAACTTAGAACCCATGACTTAGGGTTCCAAGATTAATATTCTTCTTCAGGTTTGATAGGGTTGGAATCAAAGGAAATTATATATAGCTGAATTTTAAGTGTAACCCGTGATTGTGTCTGAGAGTATCCAAGAGATCTAACGTGGGGAATTCCAAGACATGAAAATAAATTGAAATTTTTTGAAGTGGCATAAGTTGATTGCAAACTTCAATGGCCTATCCGTGACTGCTGCACTCAATTCAATCCGTGAGTTTGTCTTTGATATCTGAGCAAATTCAGTTTCACAGATTTCTATGGCGTACATTTTGTTTGTTTCCTTTTCTGTCTTTCTTATTTCTGCACATCTTTAGGTTTTAGCTTTAATTTACTTGGGTTATTATTTATGCATTTTCTTTGTGATTTCTTGATCTTAATTAACACAATTATAACAATGATTTTCCATGATTTTTCGAAACTGAATTTTTACAGCCAAGCATCCTCTATTATTTCTGCTGTGCTTGTTGTAAAATCAGTAGGTGGTAGCCTGATTCATATCTCACAGCAGAACAGATTGAGCTGGGTAGGGTTTGCACTTTGCTGGCTGTGGGGTGTATTATTTTTCAGAATATGAGCCTTTATTTTAAAGATTTTAGATCCAAATCTTTAAAACCAGAATTGAAATTTATTGGATGAGAAAATGCTAACTTTTTAAATAAGTAAAACTTTTATTTACTCAAAGAAGCAAGAAAAACACTTAGGGGAAAAAAATTTTTCATTTAATATGCACTCATCTAACAAATTCAACAGAAAACAATAATTATAAATTTTAAATATAACTTTCCTTTCCAAAAGTCACATTATCAAATGTCCCAAAAAAAAAAACAAAACAGCTCTAGCCTCTATAAAAACATGAATTTATCAAGACAAAAATATATTACAGAAAACAATATTTAATTAATTTTTAGGCTAAAGCTGTATATCGGGGACAATGTTGAAACTTAAATCAGCATGTTCAATCCAATATTGCGTGACGTTTAGTTCTTAATTTCTTTGCTTCACTAGGAATTCAGTGACTCAGCTAGCTGACCCCCGGCTTTGGGCCCTGGCGCTTGTGAGGTTGGGGACCATATGATTCCAAAACAGAACTACAACTCTCCATTTACTCTTCTGTACTTTACTTTCGGTTTTCTTTCTTTCGTTTTTTTTTTTTTGGTTCGTCAAATGGGGGAAATACGAATAAATTTCAACCACAAGTGCAATGAAACAGTTGATGACCCTCTAAGATATTTTAACTTCATTGTATGCATTAAAATTTAAGTCTCTTTCTTTTCTTACTTCTATAGTTTCCCTGTATGTAAGGGAACTTGTCTTCCCCGAACGCGGATTTGATTATCCGAAATCAGCTTTGCAACTGATTGTCTTCTTGGAAAGTCTACGAATAAAGCCAAGTCTTCATGGATGTTGATATGACACAATTTTTCAAGTCTTCTCTCTTCAACTTGCAATCAGGAACTTTGTCGGCAAAACAAAAACGCCACATCTTGAAACAGGGCGGGGCATTTGTCTGTTGTCATTGCTTTGATCTATTCTAACGGCAATTCAGCGTCTCCAGTACTCTCCACCCTCGCAAAATTACATTTTTAGATTTGGATTTCTGACCAACTTTTTATTAATAAGCAATTATGTCATTGTGTGCTTCATTCGTGGCTTTTTGTTAGAGCTCCAGGATCCACAGACATTGGATTTGGACCCAAGATTCTGTAAAACCCCACTCCGTTTCAAGTTGGCTTGACAAAATGGAACAATAATTGAAGAACGTGGTCCAAACGGGCACGCAGAACGTCTACGAAAAAAATGTTATTGTCATATAGCCAAGAAAGGTGATATTGGTAGAACAATCTTGAGGTTTTAATTGTTTTGTGTCTAAATTATCAACTATCAAGTCCCTGACATGAAATAGACGAAGCAATACTATAATTATTGTGCTGTCGCTATTCTGAATTTGCAAGTTGATAGCTGTTGTAGTCCCATGCATGCTGCTAATAATTTGTGCAACATCTGTAATATTTAGTGAATTCAAACAATGATTAATCTCTATAATCGATTGCTTGCTTTAAGCTTGTATACCTCATTGCTAATTTCCATCTAGCACCAGAAAACCTTCGGGAAAATTATTGCCCAGGAAAAGTTATCTGATATTTTCTTTTTTCTTTCCAATCATGGGTGATTTTGAGGGAGGATCGAGGCTGGGGTGATTGGGTTAAAACTGAGAAGCTTTTGCCTATTACAAGGCTGCAATATGTATTAATCAATACATGCATGGCATGGCAATGGTTCAGACTTGAGGCATGGAGGTGGACAAATCATATCATTTACTTTTCAAATACATATGGAAAAGGGTTTGAAAGGAAAATAAAAAGCAAAGAAAGCAACATCTGGTATTAAATAGAATGATATACGTACATTCTTATTTCACTACAATTAAGGTACATATATTAAGGATTAGAAGGTGAGAAGCCTTCCTTCCTAGTTCAAATCAAATATAGTAGCACTTAATGAATGATTATGGCATACCAAAAGTCCAAATAACACACCATGAAAGGATAAAAATATGATCAAACATTACTAAATTAAGAGATAGTGATGACTACAGTTAAGTAGAAAGGAGTTTAAGCGCACTGGTAGCCTGCAGGGACTTTCTTTCCACAGTAATTGAGCAGCAAGGACAATGAAAAGGGAATATTAAGGTTAGCTCCCAAGACCCTGGCCTTGATGGCAGTGCAAAGGCAAACAGCAGCTTCAGCATCAGCCAAACCAGCAAGGAGACTGCAGCATGGGGTCTTTGCTGGGGTACCAACAATAACGTTTACTGTATTCAACAAGTCGGCACAAACACCCAGTTTTAGAGTATCCTTAGGGCAAGAAGCCGGTTTTTTGGGTGCCGGTGGGCTCTTGTGGGGAGGCTTGGGGCTCTTTGGTGGTGGTGGGCAAGGCACATAGTTAGAGCTGACCAAAGTGAAGAAGAGAAGGTTGAGAGAAAGAAGAAGAGCAGTTGATACTAAATTCTTGGAAGCCATTTGTATCATTGGGAACAGATAGCACTGTACTATACTCTTAGTTTTACAGAAAATGTAAGTGATGAAAAAGGTAACGCAGGCAAAGGTTTTTATAGGCGAAGAAGCTGGTAAGCACTAGGCAGGGAAGGGGAATTCCAACTGATTTTCGTTTAAACATCAGGAATGAAACCCATGTGGGCACGTTGGGTTGGATGGTAGGAGATACAACCTATCAGATTACAACATGCAGGGATAAGCTTCAAATCCTGTTGCAATATGGATTTGTATTCAATTTAAGTTGTCAATTATTCTCCTTCACAAATTTAAAAAAAAAAAAATTAGTAACAATGATAAAGATGGAATGATATCTCACTGCTATAAATCCAAAATATTCTTGTTAATTTTCATATAGTTGTTGGAGCATAATACGTGCATTATAGGTATGAACAATAATAAAAATAGGAATAGATTTGAGATCGAGCTGAAGGATGCATTTTTTTTTTTTTACTTTGTTTCTTGAGGGTGAATTAATGCCGGAATGCATGCAAATAATCTGATTGATTTATCATAATTTATCAACACTTTTATTTTATTTATTTTTGCATTTGAATTTATCGGATATTAAAATATGATAATTAAAATCAAGAGTTTAACATTTTATCAATAATTCATCATATCGGTATAATTTTATAGATTTCATTAATTCATAATTTTTTCATTACATAAAAAATGAAGAAGTGAGATTTGCAGATTATAATTGAAAAGCACATATCATTTAATAAGCATAACGTTATAAGTTGACAAGCCTGAAGTTACTATGAGCACATATTTATTACAAGAAATCACGTGTGCTTTCCATAAAATAATTGGCGGCTGTTGAACCAAAGAGGAAGATCTCGTGACTAAGATTTCTGATTATACACCAATATTTCAACTATAATGTTTATAATTAATATTAATTTACATAGCTTGTTGTTGTATATAATTACCATTAAAGTTCAATTACAAAATTATACGACAAATAATTGTGGAACCAAGAATGAATAGACAGGTCCAAATGGCTACACATGTGAATGCTGATGAGGTTTGTACCGTCTCTTGTCTTTCAAGTGAACTGGAAACTGGACCGGTAGAATTTGCAGAAGTGGGAAAAGAAAAGCTTGGCACTTGATTTTGTAATTTTCCTATGGGAAGCACATGGGGCGAAATAACTTCGATTGTTAGGTCTATAGCGACTGTTCTTGAAGGTTGAAAGCACTATTAGGGTTTTTTGGATTAATTTCCTTTATTTTTGTTAAGATTTGTGGTTTTTTCTTGGAAAACTTCAACGGAAACTCTTATGCAATGAAACTTCCGCCAGGATAAAAAATTAAAAAATGTATAAAAATACAAAACTTTTTCGGTTTGCTGAAAAAGAGAATGGAGAAAATAAAGATCTAAGGTAGTATTTGATTTTAAAAAATAGAATTATTGTTTGTTTTTATTTTTAAAAAAAATAAAAAATATAAATGAAAACGTATTTGATAATTGAAAATGAAAATAAAATTTTAAAAAACAAAAATGAAAATGGATTAAAATGTAAGAATAAAAAATATATATACATTACTTTTTTTTTTACGTTTTGCAAGTTGCTATATTCAAATATTTTTTAATATCATTAGTTAATAAATATATATTATATTTATAAATAAATGATATTAATAGTAATATTATTGAATATTTTATTTATTTCCTTATTTTGGCTTTTTAAAAAACAATTTTTATTTTCATTTATCAAATATATTTTTTAGAAAATAAAAATAAAAAATCATTTTCTAAAAAATATATTTGGTAAGTGAAAATAAAAATTATTTCTAAAAATGTAAAAATAAATAAAATATTCAATGATATTATTATTGATGTCATTTAATAATAAATATTTTATATATTTATTAATTAATGACATTAAAAAATGTTCAAATATGATAACTTATAAAATATATCTAAAAAAGGAATGTCCATCCCTTATTTTCATAATTGAAAATATTTTTTTTGTTTTTATATTTCAACTCATTTTTATTTTTATTTTTCAAAAACTTATTTTTATTTTTAATTATCAAACACGTTTTCACTTATATTTTTCATTTTCTTAAAAAATGAAAACAAAAAATGATTCTATTTTCTAAACCAAACACTACCTAAGACTTTGCCCTACTCATTTCACCATGTTCATTTTTTCTCATCTTTTACTTTGATCGTGTTTGAACAAGCAATGAATTTCATCAAAAGGGAAAAATTACACTGAGCATAAAAAACAAAAATTGACAAGTATGAAGATGACTCAATGCATCGTAATCGTCGCATTGCTAGCGATAACAATGATCCCCAAGAAACATATATAAAAGCAAAATGCCTGTTGTGACAAAACTACAAAAGGTATGGACAAGCAAGTTTGAACAAAAAAACCAACCCATAAATGGTAAAACACAACAATCAGATCAAACACTAGACTCAACTGAGAATTCTAAAAGAGATCAGTCGAAACAAGCAAACAAGATTTCGTGCTAAAACATAGAACCAATTCACATTGAAGATTTTGAAATACATGCACTAAGTGATATCCATGGAAGAATCTCATATTTGCTGTCAAGTGCCAGAAAACAAGGAAGCTTGAACGCTTTACTCCTCCCACTAGCCTCTAGCATGAATATGATAATTTAAGAAATATAGCATACTCCATTCTCGATCCATTCCAATATTCCTTCAGGTGGCAGTGAATCCCATAATTTCCGAGCTCATTCGATAAACAAATCATCATATCTTCATCATTTTTTTTTCTTTACAAGATTTTGCATTTTCCCAGCGAGGAAGCATATCTTAAAGATATTTTCCCTTGGAGCCTATAGGCAAATTTGTCGTTTACCCAAGAAAATATAGCAGGGGAATCTAAATCTTTTTCTATGACCACCCTCCGGCAGACCAGCTCGATCAAGCGTAGAATTTGATTGCTTTGAAAAGGATTTGCAACACCGGAAAGGTTGACTCTGACACCAAAAAGCAAAACCTTTGATTAGACCATTAGCATTACACCACCTATTCCTGCCAAATCTGGTTTGTCAAGAGCAGAACCCATTCACATTGACTGCTTTGATGCAGCCCACAACCACAAACAATCTTCAACTTCTACATGAATTTATTGAAAGAACTGTTACAAACTTGGTCACAAAGATATACTAGCTTATATGTATAGATCCGAATCACAAATATATAGCTTATTTTCATTTACAATCTGAAGAAAATTGAATTTCTTCAAAAGGATAATCCAATAATTTAATCCTAAAACAGAAGGTTTGGATTTTATTTTTGTTTTCTAGGAAAGAAGGTAGAAGTTCACTAATCTTACTAGTACAATTGTATTTCCAATACTCTTTAACCTTCTTCGTGAAACGAAGAGGGAATGATGATTTGATGGATGTTAAATCAATTTCGCAATGATCAATTTTTAGGTATACCTTAATTAATTAAAAATAAGGTTATAAATAAATCAAATATGAATGAACAAATGCATATTTATAATTTATTCGTTTATTTTTAAAAATATTCGGACTTATTCATATTCGATAAGAAAATTACTTTGTTCGTTCAAACTAAATTCGGTTAAATGATAGAATATTTGTATTCAATTCATGTTCAGTTTAATTAAGTTAAACGAGCTCGTTTGTAAACATTAAATGAATATGTTTATTAATATATATAAACGAACATATTCATGAACAATAAACAAATCATAACTAAATATATTTAAATAAACATAAACGAACCTAAACGAATATTAAAATAAGATTAAGATAAAAGATAAAAATGTAATTTTGTTAATATTATTATAAATGAACAATAAACGAATAACAAATAAATAATAAACGAATGAATTTTAAATAAACTTTAAATAAGTTTGTTCAACGATATAAATGAACTAAACAAACCTCTATTTGTATCCAATTCGTTTAATAAACGAACATAAAATGTCATTTAAGATCATTTATTAAACTTAATAAACGAATAAAAATCGAATATATTTTCGAACAATTCTGTGAAAATTTTGTTTGTTTACACCTGCTAATTGAATGCAAAACTGGGGGATGTGATTCATGTGAAAAAACCCATAACTGAAATGACATTCAGCCATCTAATCATCTAATGCGGCTCTAATTGACAAAGGCCCTGTTGTGAACTTCCAGATTTAAATTTTCAGTCCAATACCAACGGATAGTAAACAAGTTGTTACCATTGACAAACATGAATCATGAACATTTGGGGATGAGCCCAATGTTGATAAACTTGGGCTGTGAATGTGCGCCCATCTCTATCAAATGTGACATATATTTACACCATAATAGAACATTGTCTCAGAGCAATGGCATCTATCAGTCAGGAAGTTACCTTGTTACCGATGCTACATCCTCTTAACCAATCAGAAGGTGACCCCAGCCCCAAAATCACATGAAGTAAATCTCTGAAACAGAGCACATCAAATGCTTATGTTTACCTATTTAGAAACAGCTTTGGAATAGATAGTTATTGAAATAAGAAATTATCAAGGTTAGAATTTAAATCAACTACCTAAAGCTCTTCTCATAAACAAATTGCAAGTTCAGCCTTAAGTAATTGTTTGCCATTCATTCTTTAATATAAAATGGGCAAACTGTCCTAATTCATGTCCTGTTTAAGCAAATACAGATATCAGGATGTTCTTCATGAATATCATAATCTGTATTCTGTAACACTATAATCACACATCATATTCTGATTCTGCCAAAATTTGGCACCAAACTGAAAAAGAAGAGGCAATGAATCTTATAATAAGATTTTCAATGAGTTCCGAATCAGAACACATTGGGCTATTTGTTCAAAATGTTTGTTTCAGCAACAAACCCACATAATCCATTATTTCACTGTTTTTGAGTTCCAAAAGTAAACAGATAAACACAAGAGAAAACAAGTGAAACAACAATAACTCTATAATTGCTCACATAAAGATCTTTACATAGTTCTCCACCAAGCTCCACCTGCAGGTTGTCATATGGATACACTTTTGGTGTCTGGTTAACAATAATGAAATGATATCAATCAGCATGAGAAGAATCAAACAATTCTACAAGCAAGTAACATAACTTTATGAGTGAAACAAACTAAATTGTTGCAAGCAACAATAATTTTATGCCAAATTCATGAAATGCATATCAAATATACTTCTCTCTAGAGAGCTCATATTTGAATGTTTTATCCCCATTGTCCTTAAACCCTTAGCACAACTACTACATGTAGAAATTATCAAACAATACATTTGAGGCATCTATGCAGGTAATGTTGTAGTGCTTTATCATCCCTTTAGCACAGGGATGAATGGAAGCTATTCCACAATGGCTTCTTGCAAACCCCAAAATACATTGTCTACTTTGCTGAACATGAGATGAATATAAAACTGCAACAGGCAGAACAATGAGGCAGCCAGCCAAACTTGCCTCCAAGGCAAGGGCTCGTATCAATAATTCAACATGTTAAAATGGAAAAAGACATTTCTGATTACATTACCAAGTTCAATAGAGAAGGAAGCAAAGAAAAACAAAAGACATGAGCCTCCTATCATTACTCATGAGACTCTGTGAAATTCTTGCTCTTAACTGTAAAATATTGTAGAAAGAAGCTAAGGTCCTCTAGAAAGAATTATCTTCCATTCGGAAATGGGTAGTTAGTATGATTCAGATAATGGATCCCCTATTCTAGGATTACCACTCACTTGAACATGATCAATTTTTCTAAACAGACAACCAGAGTGACACTATGGATTTGATAAGTATCCTACTTTTTGCCAATTACCAACATATCCAAAAACACCACCAAAGCTACAAATTACCATCACATGAAGAAATTCAAGAACTACAAAGAAAACTAAACTGAATTAAGGCAAAATCAAATAATCAAGTCAGAGTTTAGGAACTTACAAATGGAATCTTAGAGGCTTTATCATTCCACCAAGCTAATAATCCCAACGATGCAAAGAAGGTCAACCTCCACACATCCAAGCCAATGCCTCATACTATTTCTAAAAAACCAAAATAAGAAATAAAAAAAAAAAGAGAAGGAAACATAAGAATAAATAACGGGAAAAAAAGAAACTCAATTTCTTTAAACAAAACAAAATTCCACAATAATCACAAAATGAACTTCAAAGTTCGACAAATTTCTTACCTTTCCGACAGTATCAGCGATTCGATCTATACAAGGTTGTGGAAATGCAGTTCCATTGTCCCAAATTAGCTCATCATTTAAAGGAAGCTGAAGCATCAAAAACAAGTAAACTTGTTAACTTTTTTTAGGGTTTGGGTTAATTATTTGAAAGATTATCGAGGAATAAATCTGAAAAATTATAAAGCGATTAAGCCTACGGGCTTGTCGGGAACAATGTGTTTGCCCACAGGGAGGCCCATGCCAGAACGGAGGCGAAGAGAGGAGGCGACAGAGCGTGATACGATGCCGTTTCCGCCCATGATTCTTGACGCTACGTTGCTCAATCTTCCTGCCATTTTTTCTTTTTCATTTTTTTTTTCCTTCACTGTCTCTATAACCAAACAGTGGTTTTCTATTTGATGCATTAGTAGTGTTTAGCGATCGAGTCTTGATACCACCCATGCCTATGGGCCATGGCCCATTTTTTTGGACCGACAAATGCATGGTATAAACCAAATGGATCGGGTTCGCGGGCCACAAAACTTTTCATTGGTAAGAATACTATATTTGTTAAATTGATTTATTTCTGACTAGATTAGGTAATTTTTTTTGTTTTTTGCCAAATCTAGTCAAAATAGTTAGGGCAAACAAACCGGTAAATCCAAGACTACGGAATTTCGGTAAAACAGCCAATCACATCGTGCCATCTGGTCCTAAAGAAATCTTGTTAACAAAAATAACCCAATAAACGACAGATGGCATATTTTTAGATCATGAGGCCCCTCCCTGTTGCATCTACAAACCGCAGGCAATCCCTATTACTGGCGGGAGGCCAAACAGAGGGGAGGGAGGACAAAAATGTTGGCCGTGTTAGCATTAGCTCGAGCGAGTCCAGACTCAAATCCTCGAACGAATATCGAAGCTACAATTCTCTCACCTGCCTCAAAACGCTGAAATCCTCCCTTCCTCATCTCCTCTCACTAACGGCGATGCCAATGTTGGCGTCGAAGCTCGCCTCTCTAATATTCCCCGGTCCAACGGGTCCAACGACTTCTCTTTCAAGTGAGTCCCATCCGATTACTACGTTTGGCCTCTCGAGTCCCAACGCGACGTCCTTGGCGCCGCCTCTGTTAATCATCTCTGCAAAAGCATCGTTTTGCTATATATTTTTACTATATTACTTCAAATTGATAATTGATCAATTTAATCTAATTTCAGTACTTTTTCTTCTAATTAGGTATGGTTTCTAATTCGATTACGAGTATGAGAAAGTTGATTAAATGAATTTGTTTACTTGCTCGGAATTCGCTCGTCATTAGTTTTAATTTTGTCATTAGATTCAATTTGTTAGCGAGAAATTTGAGATTGGAGAAGCTATCAAGGAGTGCATGGAGAATTAAATTTTTTTAAAATTCATCTAAAGTTGCAAGACGTTTCATTTTTTAAATACAATATTGAAATAGATTACATAACAATGCCTAACTACAAAACTGAAGAAACATTATTTGAAGTAATTCAGTAGCTGATATGAGAATGTTGTGGGTGGTTGCATCAGAATATGTCGATGCAAGAAATAAATGAAGGTGCAAAAAGTTAGTTTAAGGAGGAGAAAGAAAATTGCCTATTTGTTTCCTTGTAAGAATGGTTGATACTGATGTAGCTCGATACTGTGGAGCCACGGAGCTCATGTCTTGACATGTCATATGTCTTGATATGGCCATAATGTGAAGTAGAGTTTGCATCACCAACTTGTGATGGGCATTTTTTAGTTGACTTGCTGTCGTATACCTTTTATGCATAGAAATCTAATGGTTTCTGAGAAAAATATGCTATTAGGATGATCAAATATTTAAAGTTCTGATTTGGAGCAGTGAAATATAGCCATTTTATGTCCTAGTTTTTTTAATTTGCACATTTTATTATTCCTCATATTATGCAGTTTCATATTCACATGAAGTATAAAGAATATGTCAGCGCCTCTCTTGGTTTTTGCTTGGTGGCAAGGTTTGGACTTTGTAGTCTATAGTGGCCAAAGCTTCTGCTTAGGTGGTCCAAGTTTGAGATAGAAATTATCTGTAGTCGAGGGGTTCAAGAAGTGTTGAAGATGATCTAATGGGTGGATTGGACGTTAGTGGAGTTTTAAAACACTAAACTCCAAAGCATCCAGGACATATTCATGAATGAGAGGAGAGTGGAGACAGAGAGGCTAATATAGATATAGGCAGCCATACCTTCAAAAATACGTTGTTCAAACTGGAAAGCTGATGTACCAATCACCTAGTGTTCTTGTTATTCAACATAGTTTTACCCCTTCCTATCTTCACTCCTTCCAATTTTGTGGTGACCTTTCATTTTCTACTGCAAAAGACCGTAAGTATGGTTTGCTCATTTTTAATCTGCCAAACTCTGCGTGTAAATCTGCTTTGCTTGCTCAGATTAGTACTCAAGCGCAGTTCAATTTAATTGATTGTAGTGATCAAAACAATTCGAAGTATTATGTTGTTGTAGTTCAGGTAACTTCCTATTCCTTGTGTATCAACAAGATGCCATTTGGCCTGCCCCTAGAAAAATGATCTTACATTTGAACATTTTCATATTGCAATAAACTGCTAGATTCAATGCGGAAACTGTCAAAATTTTTCTCTATACTCAATGATGGCAAGTTATCAAAGAAATTTAACTGTAAGTTTATTTGTTTGCAGTGTCTTTGTGATAATATAAAAAAATAAAAAGTGAAAAAACCTTTAAAGTTCAGAGGTATTTCATTGAATTTTTTATTAGATTACTCTAGCCATTCTGAAATGTTTTATTTATGCCTAAAGACCCAACACAACACATGTGACTGTAATGAACCAAAGCACATATATGTGACAGTCAATTGCTAACACTTGGTCTAGTGTAAAGATCCAGGCATATCTGATTATAATTGGTTTCAATATCATATGCTGGCAGGTAGGTGCCAATACACAATCCATTCATGCATTAAAGAGTTCATGCTCAAGCCTTGATTAAGCTTTTTATGTGAAAAAGAGCAAGGGATTCCTGATTTTTGCTTTCTTTTCTGGCAAATCTTGTCATTTTATAATTTGCTCTCGATATATCATATTATAAATTGACTTAGTCAGAGTATTAGAGACCCTCCTTTTTGTCTTTGTTGCCATCTTCTCTTTCCTTTTCATTAATTTTAGTTTTGACAAGCTAATGGATTTTGATTGGTTATAATGCATTCTTATTTCCTTTGCCTCACAAGAATTTTGTTTGCTTATATTTGGGCTGCACTTTGTGTCAGTCTAGATACAATCATAAAGAATTGGGAATCTGAAGATGTTTACATTCCCACACAGAAAATATTTTCTGATTAAATGGTAATATCTATTTGTTTGTATTTTGTTAAATCTGCTATGAACATATGATACGTGTCCTTAACCCAGCTTGTACTGTGTTTGATTATTCCGTTGTATGGTCAAGTTGATGATCAATGTTTTATTCTTAATACTACCATTTTTTTTTCATCCATTTTTGGTTCTTTATTTATGTGCTGAAGAAACCAGCAATTTTGACTTCTGTCTTTCTCTTTTTGGTTGGTAGATTTTAGTTAAGGTTGAGATCTCCAAATAGTTTATTTAGTTAACCATTTTTAACTTGTTTTAGATAATGCATTAAGGCTTGCTCCTGAGGAGACGTCAATAAAGTTGACTGGCTATGAGCACAATTCTGTTACTTGCATTGGTATGCAAACTGACACTCCAGTAAGTGCTCTTATTCAAACCTTTATATTCTAGTTTTGCATGACTCCTCATAGTTTCTCCATTTCTTTTTTCTTCCTCTTCTCCTTTCACATGCATTGATTTTTGTTTATTTTGTTCGTATGATGATAACTTTTACATTTTGTATTTCTTCTTTTTTCTGCTTGGTCGATCATTGTTGTATAAATGCATTGAGAATTATTCAATACAGAATTGATCTCAGGTTGTAATATAATATAATGAACAATAGAAAGGAAACAAGGACAGAACTTTCAAACAAAAATGTTGGTTCATTTGCTTTTGGACTTCTAATTGGTTTGATGAGGTTTTTATTGAGTAAACGTGTTCTTGATACTTGTCTTTTAGACAGTGCCCCTTTCAATGTCTGTCCTTCGTAGGAAGAGCACATGGGTAGATATCCATCCTTATCATGCTTAGCATCAATTTGGCTGCTTTATATGCACACAGATATTTTGATGTTGAAAAGGCATATGATCATGTTGTTTTTACGTCTGATACATGTATTTGAGTATAGCAACAGATGGAATCCTCGTTCATGAATTTCAATAATTCAATCTATGTGCCAGCTTTTGTGTTGGTCCACTGTTCCTAATGTCAGCTCTAATGATGTTCTGCCAGTCTGCCATATTGACAAATGCTGTTATTAGTGCTTTTCTGTTTTCTTGCCTGTATGTCTGCATATTCCTTACACATAATATGATATCTTAGGTGAATCGGTAAAGATTGAAGCTGAAGATGCTTTTTAAATATAGTGGCTCGAATGAAATTTCTATCTTCTCGCATATGCCATAGCAATGTAACTTACCTGAAACTGGCAAAGTTCTAATAATACAAAAGTGACCCTGCACATTCAAGGGGTGATTAGCGATCAGAATTTGAGATACTATATTGCAAAAAATTTCAGAAAGAAACAGAAAAGCAATTTAAATGCTTCTCTTTGAAGGTATGATCAATCATGATAGGCTAAATGAGTGACTGTCACACATGCTCATGCATATATATACACTGAAAGGCAGCGCGAGAGAGAGAGAGAAGAGTTCATGTTGGTCATTATGCTTCTAATAACTGGCTAAAGTTGAAACTGATTTCAGGTAATTTTGGATGAAGCTATTGTAAAGCTTGATCCTGATTTCTTATGGTTGGGTGGAGGAGATGTTGATTTAAGCTCGGAATCAGAACCTGTGAATTTATCAGCTTTGTTAAACCTTTCATTGTCAGCTGCAGCGGTACCTGATTATGCCAGATGAATCCATAAACTAAATAACAAAGACATTTTGATTCAAGAAATGCCACTCCCTTGGAAATCCATAGTATACAATATATAAGCTAACAATTTTGTCCTATTATATTTATGAGCTTAGTAAATATTCTACAATTTTTATGAAATTAGATAGATATTTATCTACCCTTATCTGTTTTTGGCTGATTGTCTAGTTGGGTGACAGGATGATTGTTTGGTAGCCTAGCTGATCTATCAACAACAAATGTTGACTTTTTATCATCTTATCCTTCTTGAATTTTTGTCAGACTTACAGTTTTTTCATCTTTTAAATTAAAATAAACTGATGAAATTATTCTTGATTTGTTCCATTGTTTTCATCCTTCTTAAAGTAATAAAGAAAGTAGGTAATTCATGTGTATCATTTTAGAAGTTCGACCGTATGAGATTTGGGTTCTGGATTGTTTTCATAATAAAATTTTTTCATAAAAATTCATTTATCATTTATTTTAGCAATGATAAATAAAACATGTGAATTTGATAAAATTTTATTTAATAATTTTTTACTTTTTTTATCATAGTAAATTCAGCTTAAAAGTTATATAAATTTGCTCTTTTACAATTTAATAGAATAAGTGTATATGATTTTCAGCTAGACTTACTTTAATAAAAAAAGTGAAAGAATTGTTAAATAAAATTTCATTAAATTCACAAGTTTCATATGTTATTGTTACAAAAATTGATAAAAGAATTTTTATGAAAAAATTTATTATAGAAATAATTTAGAGCTGAAATTTTAGGCAGTCGAACTTTTAGAAAAATTATAATGGAAGATCTAGATGACCTATTTTTATTATTACAACAAGAAGAATAGAAACAATGGAACAAACTAAGAACAATTTCACCAAATTTTTTTAATTCAAAAGATTGGAAAAATTATAAATCTAACAAATATTCAAGATGAATAAAAGAATAAAAAGTAAATATTTGCTACTGTTAGATCAGCTAAACATTCAACCTGTTACCCAATCAGACGATCAGCCAAAGCAGGTAAGGATAGATAAACATCTCTTCTTTAATAAATATCCACCGAACTTCATAAATAAGCTAACAATTTTGGCATTTTTTTTTATTGGTTTCTTCGAGATATGAAAAATTGAAAGTCAATAAGGCAAATGGAAATTTTAGTCCACATAGGCAGCCATGCACTTTATAATGTAGCTGGATAAATTTGTTGATTGGAATGAAATTTTGATCTCTTGGAGAGAGCCCGAAAGTTCAGGTTTAGTTCTTTCATAGTAATATGGTACATTTGACTCATTTTCAGATTTTTTTCTATGAATTCTATTTACTTGGCAATGGCGGCACACAGATAGCCACGTTTTGCATAAATCTTGGCTATTGAATTCTATACAAGGAAGGGTCAGAACGCCATTGCAGGAATTCAATTACCCTGCGACAGTCCTTTCGGCCAATTCAGAGTGGGTTCCATTTTATGGGTTTAAAATCCTCCCACATTGATTTCAGCCATAGAAATCTTTGAATATTGGATAGGTTTATTAGGCTGAAAACGGAGGTAGCAGGTGTTTCAAGAGTTGAGAAACCCTCGATTTCTCGACACCAACATCGTTAAAAGACTGTTTGCATAATGTTTGGATTTGATGTTTCCATGCAGGAGTATGCAGTTGATGATTTCAACTGAAAGGGTGCATATAACTGTGCCCTTTTTCATTAATGAAGAACAACAACCAACAAAATATTTGGCAAATGGCAAAACATCACTCCCTATGTGTCTCCTCTTTATTCACAGCCTCATTAATAAGTAATATTACTTTATAGACATCAATACAAACAGGCCATTATCCATCAATTCACCACGTTCTTACAAGCCGTCTTCACGGTAACATAGTTGAAAAACATGGTTAATTTCAAAGGAAGTTGAAACTGCTATTATTACGTACTCAAATAACGTACACAAAACGTCCTTAAAGATTGATTTGGAAAGAGGATATGCTGGGTAAAGGATACGAATCTTTTACCGCTTAATCTAAAGATAATAGTTTTTGAGGAGAAACCATAATTTTTTTTCTCTTTTAAATGAAACTAGAAGGTGAGGATAACATGTTGGATAAGATTAATTTGAAGGAGGCGTCTAGTTTTTTTCATTATGAATAGGTGGCTTCCGATGGGGTTGTGCATAATCCATTACGTCAATGTCCACCACGTTTTCCTTTTCTTTGGAACCAACTGCTTCCTCTGTGTCACCAGCTGAATTTCCCAGCATGGACCTTGTTACTCTCTTCAATCCCTATATATATAAGCAACAACAACAATCTTAGGATGTAGTTGATCTTGAAAACTTTAACCTAGATAATTCGTTAGTCAAATCACAATTGAATTTTTGAAATTGAATTCGTTGGAAAACAAGGAGTTTTGACCAGGACTTGAAGTTTATGAATTTGTTTTAATTGTAAAAATGTTGGTTATGTATATATGATCCATGATCTGTCATTTTTTTCTTACATTACATGCATTTTCATGTCAAGATGCCCAAAAGACCAAATTTCCTCTCAATTTTTTTTTAAGTAAATAGTAAATTTTAGTCCAAGTGCATGCAAACACATTCATGCATGCACGTGAAGACCATCTGCCTTCCGTCCTGACATGTTGAAGAGGATGGGCCATCAGTAGTCTTGGTCTTTACCACAACCAGTACTCTAACAACCTGAAACACATACAAAATCTAGATTCTGTAGATATTTACTTACCTCTACTTTTTCCCTGCCTTGCAAATCAACCCTAGAAGAAATGATAAGTTCATACCCTGCATGCACATATCAGCAAAATTGCCAGCAGCATCAATAATATGAAACAAGGTCTAAGACTAAAGCTGGATTTGTACATACACACACACACACATATATATGTATACACAACAAATTTTATATGTGCTATCTACGACTAAAACAGATAATGTTTTTTGTGATATTCGTTAGTACATATTCATTATACAACAGCACAAAACTTATAGTAAAGCCTGATCAACAGTTCAAGTTTTAATAAGTTGAAATAACAATAAACGGTGGAGTGGTTTCTAACAGTTTCAATTTCTTTCGTGTGATCAGTACTGTAAGTCAAAAGGATTTTCCTTCAAATTCCATGTTGAATCCGAAAAACAAAAAGACTCATTAGTTTGAATATAACCTGAAATTGCTTTTGCAACAGCTTCTTTTCCCTTAAGAAAATAGCTCAAAAGTGTTTGCTTCATAGTATTTGCACCAACCAAGTTCTCTTCTATTCTTCTTCCATGAACCCCAACTTCTTGTAATTCCTGTGTTTGTAGTTTCATTGAGATTGAAGGCCTCATCTGTAACTGATCATGGGGTTTTGTCTTATTAACATTCTGCATCAAATTTATTTATAGCTTAGGAATTATATAATTAAGACCAAAATTTTAATATATAAACAATAAATCACATATATTTTTGTACTAACCTTACTGGCAAGAAAATGGACATGATTGCCAGTCTCTTCAGCAGCTAAACCTAGACGACGACCATTGCATGCATGCATACAAAGACAAACGAGAAAGAAGATAGCATGGGAAGACATGATAATGAAAGAGCTTAGTTCTGATGAGAGGTTTATCAGCTTTGAGAAACACAGAACGAAAAAAGAGAAAAACTATGTGTGGTCTGGGGTGTTAGTTCAGTGGTAGGTTTTCCAAGTATTTGTACTGATAGAAGCATCAAAGGGCATTAAATGCAAGTTTTGTATTGAAATGGAAATTATTCTTTAAGAGAACATGCAGGTGTTCGGATGATGAATCTTGAAAACGAAATTGAAGATATTAGGGGCCTACATTTGTCCCTTCACTTTTTAATCAACTTTGCGGTCCCAATCCCCAAAGAAATTATAAGAAACAATTATGTAGGGGAAATGGGCAAGGTCTCAAAGATATTAACAAGGGAGATGATATATTGTATAATTTACAAATTATTAATGGTGTTTTTTTTTTTTTTTCTTAAATAAGTTACTTCAATGGTAAATTGAGACATAAATTCAAGCCAATCAGATTTATGTTGGAATTCCAAACATAATTGATGAGGGAAAATTGAAAGGAAAAAATTCCTTTTCTGTCTGAGGATAGGTGATGACGTTTTGTGATGTTAAGTATTATGAAAACATGCAAAACAGGAGAATTAAATATGATCAAATTAAAAGAATTAAGAGGAATAATTGAAAAAAGAATATAATTGACAGATATTCATAGGATTTGGAATCAGGGTGAAGAAGTAAAATTATAAGCAGCAATAGTAAATCAATGTCCTACACCCATGTGTTTGTGCTGAAGAAGTCCACTCCTTGCCTCCTAATTTTTATGGTAGAATTATTACTGCATGGCCTTTGATTATTTGTTTTTCTTTGACCATATCATTTTCACATATAATTTCCATCTTCGAAGTTGTGGATTCAGTTCATCAGAAATGAAGAGAAATTAAAAAAGAATATTTTCATTTGAACCTCAAGAAATAAAGAAAACTAACTACAAAATTGAAGGAGTGATTTTCAGATGAGAGCACCATAATGGCATCTGTTATGTCTTGGTTTACCTATGAACAAGAAACAGCTTTGTCTGGGTTTGGTTGGGTTCCTTGGCTGTGTTTAATTAGGATGATTAGGACCATTCCTCTTATTGAGCAACCTTGAGTTACCTAGCTCCTAGCTGCCTCATGTTTCGCTTCATTTTATTTGAAACCAAAAAAAAAAAAAGGCTTTTTTCCAAAATTCTTGTATGCTGAAAACATCAAAAAAGGCTTTCATTAAACTCTATGACATCCAAGAGGAAAGGAGTTATATGTTTCACTTAAGTTTAATGTAGATAGATTAACTAAGGGTAAAGCAGGGCCAGCTGGCTGTGGCGGGGTGCTGGGGAATACTGACAGTAATATCCTGGTCTATTGTCTGGTGTGGTAGGAGTTCAAGATTCCAATGTTGCTGAACTATTAGCCATTAAAGTTGCTTTGGAGGTCGTTTTGCAAACTGATTGGAAGAATAAAGTGGGATTAATAGTTGAATTTGATTCCAAGATTGCTGCTAATTGGTATAAAAAGGTCCAAGTCCGACCATGGCGACTATGGAATGTCTTCTCCAGAATTGATTCCTTGTTAAGAGATTGGTGTTGTGAGATTGACAAATATTTTTCATGAAGCAAATGGATTGCCAGATGCTTTGGCAAAGGCCGGGGTGGAGCGTGCTGACATTTTTATGTCATGGTCGTGATATTAATTGTACGTTAATAAGGTGAGGGAGTCCTGTAAATGAGGCTTATTATTAACATGCATGTAGAAATCATGTGGAACGTCTAGCATTTATCATTAAAGTGAGGGGGAGGGGTGCAAAGTACTGCATGGGTCCGACAGGGGAATGGAGGGAGGTAGGGGCCTGTGGTTTCAAAACAAAGCTGCATGGCCAAACCGCCACTTGCATCTCCTCTTGAGGGACATGGAGGGTCAAGTTTCCCCCCCTACAGCCGGTACAGGGTATGCATGCCACGTGGCTTTCACTCCATGTGCTATCACATATCCTATGCCGCCACTTCAGTCACTGGGTCGTCCATTGGGTGGACCCTAGCTCAGCAAGCGTCCCTGTCCATGGTCTCTTGGTTCAAGTTTTTGTCTCGTAGTCTCCATTGGGCGTGAATTGGGCATCTTGTCTCAGTGTACGGGGCTAGAAACATGGTCCGGACCAACTCACAGCGATGTAGATGCATACAATAGGCTTTTGCATGCAATCGGTCTCCCGTTGGAACCCCAAGCTAAAACTCGTGTGGTACTCGCTAGCTATGAGGGGCGAGATTTTAACATAGAAACTAGAGATTAAAAATTTTATCATCAAAATAAACAAATTAGACCATGATTACAAAACTAATAAACATGGTCCGTATTCATGTTATCTCATTTGATTTTATCCTAATATTTAGGCAATGCCATATCCTTCAAAGGTTAGATTTCAATCTCTCAAGCGATTAAGACGTAAAACATTAGACTAATTCGAAGATAGATATGATTCAGACAAGTGACGCACCTGTTTGCTCAATAGTTGAGACAGATAGTAAAGGATAATATTACATACAAATGTTTCATCTCCCAGTCACAATGTGAATCACATGTTCTTCCAGGTTTTCGGTTCAATGTGTCTTCTTGAAAAACAGGACGTCTGTGTTAATCTTAGTAAAATGTTCAGAATTTTACATGTGAACAATATGGGTTTCTTATAACATTCTCATTTTCCTCACTTTTCCTGAGGATGCGAGGACGTGACTGAGATATTAGATAACAGATCGCTAGCCCACCATGTTCCGTAAACACCGGAGAATATAATGGGAAAGATCCAAGACAAAAGAGAAACAGATCGCCCAAAGCTCCCGGTATGGTGACTCAAAATAAAAATTGCTTCACAAATTGAATGCTACCATCGCGCAACAAAGAAAGGATTTAAAGTGATAAAAGATTAAAAGGAACTTTTAACATTGTGCGGAAATCTTGAAAGTTATATACAATATGCAACTGTACACTATATCATTAGCAGGTCTTTAAATATTAGCAATAACCCAATTACCAGCACAAGGCAATGGAAATGGTGATTATAGAGATAACATATGGAATGGTGGAACGAGGAAAGGATAAAAGCAAACGTCCCAATGAATCTATCAAAGGCTACTGAGAACTCGGATGCCCAAATGTGTTCTCCCCACTGTAAGTAACATAAAGAAATCCATCTTCATCCTTCTTCTCCTCATATATGGCACACATAATGGCACCTAAAAAACCAAGAAAAGAATTGGCCGTTTTTGAATCAGCTAGCAAAGGGTAAAGCATCAAGCATCGAAGGATATAATTTGCATGGCACTACCAGTCGGTGGGAGGACATTGTCCACAAATATGAATATTGCTTTTTCTGCACTCAGTTTGATCCTCTTACGGATGACATAAACAAATTGTCCAACAGTCAAGTCAGCTGGGACAAGGTACCTGAAATTTCAGAATCATATTACATTGGCATGCTCTCTATCGAAGACTATATAACCAATTACTATGATCCAGCCATTATTTAGTCTAGGATAAAGCATTAAAGAATGAAATGATGATTGCAGGTGGAAAAGATCAAGAAATGGAAATAAATAAGCAATTGAATGATTCCATAAGTACAAGGCAGCCAATTGCTATAAAAAAATAGGGAATAGCTTCAACATTAACATGGAAATGAAGGTACAAAAAAAAAAATAGTAGAATCATCAGCATTATTAACATCATCAATAATTACACCTTACCATTTATAATATTTCTTTCTAGCTAGGGATGTCTATGGTCAAAGCTATTGTGGCAGATGGAGATGCAACAAGACAGAGAGAGAGAGAGAGAGAATTCAAATAAACGAAAAAACAGAAGTTGTTTTAACAGAATAAGCCAATCAATGAATAAAATCTAGAGCCATAAATAAGATAATGGTGATGCTTACTTTTTCTTGTCTATGTTTGGTATATCACTTCTCTCCACCTTCTCCACAATCACCTTAAACATAAAGCAAAGCAGGACAATAAATCGTCAAGCTTGGAAATGCAAGCAATGTCTATATTATAACATTTATAATCACCAATAAATATATGGGCCTATAAAAGTGCACATATGAGATCAAAGCAAGAACAGATTTATCACGATTGAAGGTAAAGTTCAATCCTTACCGGGATTCTATCAGGGTATTTATCCCTAATCCTAGCAGCCTCTGCCCTCCTCTTCTCTAAAGCCAGAACCAAACAATAAAATCATGAACTTCAAAACGATAAATAATTGATTTCCCCATACATACCATGATTCACATTGATTTACCATAAATAAAACAGACTTTAAAGAATTAAAAAAAAAAAAAAAAAGGTTCTTTAAACCAAATTCACAACAAAATAATGGATGCCAGCACAGTACATACCAAGATCATGTTCTTGCTTGAAGTAACTCTTTGCCATTTCTCCTGAAATTACCAATCAAAATTAAGTCAAAACACTTGCTTTTTCAAGAAAAATTCCTTCTTTAATTCTTGACGAATTTCCAAAGTCTTAAAAAGCTATGATTGTGCGAAAAAATATATATTATGACCATCAATTCATGCACAAACAATTCTAACCAAAGATACAGATACAAAATAAAATCCAAAACCACCCAAGTCTTATCGCCGATCAAAAAGTTGTTTCTTTGCACAAATTTTTGAAGAAAAAAATAACAAAAAGCACCAAATTTCAATTCAAAGTATCCTTTTTTAATTACCCACACAAAAAAAAAAAAAGCAGAATCCGGAAAAAGAAAAGAAATAAACATGAAACTGATCAAATATAAAGGAAACCCCAGAAGGCAAAACCTTGTGAAGATGAACCCAAAAAGGAAGCTTTTGTCTTGATCAACAGAACTCTTCAAGGATTGAAGCTCGTGGCTTGCTTCCAAAGACAAAGTAAATAACGTAAGGCGGCTTGTGCCTTCAAGCTTTCTACTCACCCAAGTTCAATTTTTTTTTTTCAATTAATGATTGCTGAAAAGATTTACATTCTTTTCGAAAGCTTAAGATGTTGTAATTCATATGTATGAGTACACGTGGATTGAGTTCAATCTAACTAATCCCGGTTGCTTACGGTAAGACGACAGATCATTTTGATCTGTCGCTGTTTTCAGATAACGGTGGAAAAGTATGTGCATCCGACGGCTAGGAGTATGATAATCATGGGAAGTTGACAATCAGGTGGTTTTAGGGCAGATCACAGTGGATAATAAGAATATGCCCGGGTCTATCGGTGAATCAGCTTTATAATTGGACCCTACCCCAGTCTGTTTTGACTGTTTTGACCCCACTTAGACTTTTTTATATTGAACTGTCATTTGGCTTCAGAGGAAGGGTAAAACAGGGATTGCGAATCATTCTTAAGCAGTGTTCGTCATGGTCACCTTCATCTTAATCATAATTATTCCTTAAAAAAATAAATTATTTCGACGCCACCAGATTGCTGTGGGTTTAGCCCAAGTAGGCATGTAGAACAATGAGCACAATTTAGGCCCAAGTTCTTTCTTTTTTAGGCTTTTCTAATTTCAATTAAGAAAATCAGACTGGGCCAAGTTGCCCTCAAAATACCCGGCCCAACCCACCCAATACAGGCTACTTGTGCCCAAAGGAGAACCTCTTGACGTTAGTTTTCATGATTTTGGAAGGAAGAGAAGGGAAAGACCTAAAAAAAAATTTTTAAGTAAATTTTGTGAAATTTTTTATTAAAAAAAATTAAATTAAAAAATCTCATTATATAAATTAAATATATAAATTTTGAAAAAATTTTAATAATTTTTTATATATATTTTTAGATAGATATTTTTGATGAAAATATTAACATAATTTTTATTATTAAATAATTATCAAATAAATTTAAATTATAAATAATATTTTTTATATATTATTGATCTCTACATTCAACTTTATTAATTTATCAATTTAAATTTTTTATTAAAATTTTATTAAATTATTTTCAAAAATAATTTTTATAAACTTCACGTAAAAATTTTCATGAAAGTTTCGTCCGAGAACAAATAGTATGCATCCATCATTTAGCATGCGGAAGAAATATGAAGAAAGAAAATGGGCAAAGCCAAATTTAGATCGAAACCAACAAGCTACCAAAAAGCATGTCTCCTCCTTTGGTTGCCACTTTTATTTAAGAGTTTATTAACCTGATGATGGTGATCTAATGACTTGTATTTTTCATGCCTTTTCTTGGGGCCACCCTCCCCAACAGACACCTAACTCATCATGCCCCATTATCTATTAAAGTCAATCAAACACTTTTACTCATATGCAATAATTGGTTAATAGATCAGGTTTTTCCTTATGATGGCCCAAATGTAGTCATTCTTAGCTTTATATATATACATGTACATGTATAACTGTAATTTAAACTATGATAAGGATTCGTTTTTCATTGAAAAATGATTGATTATATGTTATATTACTTATGTACTAAGTACGACCCAAACTGTTCGCCAATCAAGTTGATGAAGAAGTATTATACTCTCAACGAATTCATTAAATCTAATAAAATTTATTAATAATGAGATAATCTGATAGTAGAATATTGTACTTTAATTTTGGACAATGATCGAAATGCAAATCATTATGACTTTAGATATATAAGAAAATATAATAAAATTTACTTATATAGAATAAAAAAATTTAGAAATTAGGTATATATTGCATTCTTTTGTCCTTTTGAAATTAAGGCTTAATTTGTACATTATCATTATGCATCACATTACATTGGTTCCCAAAATAACATTTTGAATCAACTCGAATAAACGTTAAACTTAGTTTCGATGAGATAGTAACAAAATTAAAATTAATAATAAAATGTGTTTAGATATAAACGTAACGATAACATTAAATAAAATATAATGAAAAAAAAATTATCATTAAAAATATTATATTAAAAATTAATAAATTTATATTGATAGATAATAATTATTTTATTAAAAATAATTTTAAAAAAAAAAAAGCGATAGATTTATACTTTATTGTTTCAATGAAAAAAAAAAAAAACAAGACTTTTTGAAGAAAAAGGATTGCGGTGAAAATAAAAATTCCCACTGAACCCCTTTCCTTCCAGTGAGATTTTCTACCCACAATGCAAATATTTTGTATCAATCACATTGTGGTAAGGCATCCAAATGCCTTTTGAGGTTTCAATTAAACAAATTTTGAGACTAATCTCATGGGAACTCATGTCCAATGGATCCAAATGTAACCTTAATCTCATTGGACCCATCCAAGTGGAACCCATGTACTATTTTTCATGTGCACCCCTTGAAAGATTGAAAGAACTACATTGGGATTTGTCTGGGGCGAAGAAAAGGTTGAGGAAGGTATGATTATTTAGGTTAAAGTCGGTCTGATATTATATCATTATCATAATGGTTAAAAGCTGACAAAAGTTGCATGAATTAATATTACTGTAAACAAAAAGTCCACAGCTTTACAGTTTGAAAGGCCACAGAAGATCAGTAACACTGATCTAGGCATTCCAATGAAAAAATCCAAAATACGTCATACTATATTATATTGAAAAGACCTTGAAATTAGTTCTTTTAAAAAAACAAAAAATCTTGAGATCCATGTTGTCTATTTGTTGAACTCCGAGACCCACATTGAAAGTTTACAAGGAGAATAACGGAAAAATTTTATGTAATTTTTTAGATGAAATTTATAAACTTTTTTATTAAAAAAATTAAATTGATCGGTTAAAAAATTTTATTATATAAATTAAGTATATAAAATTTTAAAATTTTTTAGTAAATTTTGATATATATTTTTAGATAAATATTTTTAGTAAAAATATTGATATAATTTTTATTATTAGATATGTATTGATTAAATTTAAATTATAAATAAAAATTTTAAATTTTTTTATATATTGTTAATTTTTACATCGAATTTTATTTATTTATTCATTTAAATTTTTTATTAAATTATTAAAAAAAAACTTTACAAAATTTATCGAAATAATTTTATATAAGTTTTATACAGAGAACAACAGCCTTTACTTATTCGTAGCCGAGTTAATTATTTTTATAAACTAGATTCATTTTTTATTCTCGGTAAATTCATAACTTCAACAAGAATTTCATTTGATATAGGAGAGGAGAATCTTGTACAATATATCGAACCAAAAGCCTTTGTTTATATCTATTATTTAAGATAAAATTTCATTCAAGGTGTAAATTAAAGCGATTAAAACAAAAATGGGTGTCATGATATGTTACATTTAAGACAACATATATTTTTGTGTCTGGCTGTGAAAGTTTTTATTGAGTCAATCGAATCCCTTTCGGCAATAATAATGTTTACTGTCATGTTCCCAAACACCCTGTGGAAATCAAACCAAGACAAATAGTGTTATTATTTGTGGAAGCCTCTTGGATGGCAACTTCTTGGGTTTTTTTTTTTTTTTTTTTTGACCATTAACATCAAGAAATGGTTTAGAGCAGCAAACAAATTAAATTCTAGCCTATAAAACAAATTGTCTGTTACATTTGAACTTTGAAGGTCAATATCAACAGCAACATTATCGTTGTCGGCCCATGCATGTATCTTGTCCTAAAATGTGTATGTTTCGGCTGCATGAATCGTATGAATCTTTGTCATTTTTATTTTTTTTTTGCATGTGGCCACGTATAAATCATGTTAGGTTTTGAATTGAAATCTCTCTGTTTTTTTTTTTTTTTTTTTTTAATTTTATTGGATGTCTGGGAACAAAATTTGTCCTCATTATAATCATGTTTAATGCAATTCAAAATCTTCCAATCTGCTTCCAAAAAATTCCTTTCAAAATATGGCAACCCCACCAGGCACCAGCCAAGCAGAAGATGCAATCTTGCTATATGCAATTTCCATGATCTCTTTTTGTTTGTTTCATTTTCATCATATTTCCTTGTCAGCTCATTGTTTTTCTAAAGCCAGCAAAGAAAGAAAAATATAAATAAATAAAAGGGGCTGCTAAGAAAACAATGAGAAAAAAACGAATATAAATTAAAAAAAAAAAAAAGAGAGAGAGGAAAGGAAAAGAGAGAGAAAACTAGATAGGCATAGAGTTGGGTCACTTTCCACTTGATCATAAAATGGAAGGAGAGGTTCTGTTAAGGCATCACATGGGCCTGGAGATAAATACAAACTCCTTCACCCTGACATGTCCAAATCATGTTTTTCCCAAACAATTTAAAGATAGCACGTCCCTTCTCCTCTCCTCCCCTCCCCTCCCCTACACAAATTGCCCTAAAATCTTATTTTGTTTAATGCATATATATATATATATATCTACAGTAAGAGTATAATAGACAAGGGAAAAAGTACTCTTTTAGGCTATGCCTCTAACACTGCCATCGAGCAGTTCCTGTTATTGTTTTCTTCTTCTGCCTCTAGCTAGACAATGATACAGGGAAAAGATACAAAGATGATCCATTTAAGACAAAACCAGTCAAACTGGGGTAATTTGTTTTAGCGTGTTATAAATTTTAAGCTAAAGTTTCAATCTTTTTTTAGACTGTAACTACTACAAGACAGGAGCTCTCGAAAAAGACCTTTAAACATGACTATATAGCAAATTAAGCGTTTGTGATTCTTGGATTTGCCCCAATCACAATTCCAAGGCAACCAAGTGAGAGAAACAAATTAAAGTAATAAAAAAAGAAAAGAAGTGATAGCAACACTCAAGAAAATGTGATAATATATCTAATTAAGTAGTTGAGCAAGATTTTCAATTATTGGATTAGTGGAACCCATTAAATTCCATCTGTATTGTTAAAGGCAAATGTAGTGAAACTGTTTAAAAAAAAAAAACTTTTTTAGAATTTTGAGCTTTTAGTTTTAAATAACAAAGTTTCAAAATTTGAGAAAAAAAAGTTTCTATTTGATTTTTTCAAAACATTTAAAATTAAATTTTTAAATCTTTTTTAATGAGTAAGATTGTGTGACATGTCTATCATGTGTATAACTTAGACATTCGATTTAAAACATGATGTGCCATATTTTTAACCAAATGACATGTTTTGATTGGTCTATAATACATCACATATTTTCTAAATACAAGTACGACAAAAAAATTTTCTAAACTTCAGGGACTAAATATGATATTACCCCATTTTCATATCAAGGGCTAAAGTTGGAATGGAACAAAAATATGGTGAAAAAATGAGTGGTGAGGAAAAAAACAATGTTCAGACAAAATGATAATCGTTTTTGCTTTAACTCGAAACTCTGTCGCATTGAAAAACTTTGTGTACTTACTATAAACAGCTGCCGCTGGTACGGCTTTCGTGGCAACCTCTGATATTATCTCCTGATCATAGGGATCTTTTCGTAAAAATATACACGTGAGAGCTATAATAAGGTACTTCAATACTCATGATAGGTATTTGGAGGGACTAGCAAAAATAATCCAAAATTTTAAAACAGAACCTTCCGTCCTTTTTTCCTTTGTCATGTTTAACCTTAAATTTTACCGTCAAAGTTTATTTGAACATGAAAAATCCATAAACTCCCTTTAATTAAAAAAGTCAATAATTGTTTAATTTAAATTTAAATAATTCAAATTTTATTTTAAAACAAATTGAATTTAAATTTATTTGATTTTAAATGTCATAATTTTAATTCAAAATTATTCAAACTTTAATAATTTAAGTGTTAAACGTGAGATGATCCAAAATTAAACTAATCTATTTTTTTTTTCAATCCAAAATCATCCAATGACAATATATCCAATTGTCACCTAAAAAAAAGTGACGATGAGATATTGGTTTAATTAATAAAGTAAAAGTTTTGAAATTTTAAAATCAAAATTTAAGTTTTATTGGTGCGAGAGTTAATCTAATTTTATATTAAATTTATTTAATTATATGTTGATTAGTTCATTAATTTATTTGTTTGATTTAATACCTTTTTATATAAATAAAATACTTTGATTATGATTATAATTTTTTATATTTATAATTAAAAATATTTCAAATTATACAAATCAAATGAATAATAATTTTGAAAAAGGGTAAAATACAAGAAACTGATATAATTATTGTAAATTCGTAATTACCCTATTCTATTTCTACCAAAAATAATAAGTACTTGGAATTTTAATTGGATAATAACGAATAAAAATTCTTTTTAATTTTTAGGTTAAAATATGTTAGAGGTTCTTGTACCTTACAAAAATTATAAATTTAGTCATTGTATTATAATTTATAAAAATTTAGTTATTTTAATTATTTTAATCCAATCATAAATTTTATTAATTTATTATTATTAAAAATATTGATGTGACCGTTAACTTAGTTGATATAATGTTAACTTACTGATATGATAATTTCAATTTATAAAATCAATTGTTAAAATATATAAATGATTCATGTACTCATATGAAATTTAAAATTTAGTTTTTATATTTACACAAAATATAAAATTTAATCTTTATACTCATATAATATTTGAAATTTATTCATTATAATATAAAAATATTTTAAATTTTTTAGTTTCTAAAAATATTAAATTTAAAAAAAACATCTTAGTTTGTCTAATATAAAAATATTTTTTGAAATATATCAATTTTTATTATATATAATTACTTATTAATAATATCATATTTAATCAAATAGTGACGAATTTGTATTATATATTAAAAAATTTGTGATAGATTTTTAATAGATGGTATAATTTTTTATATGATCACAATATACTATAATTATGAGAAACGTGTAACAAAATTAGTAATAAATTTATATTTTACAAAAAAATGTAACACGAAATAGTGACAAAATTAGTTAAATATGGCAAATCCACCCATGACCGATAAGTTTCGACCCGAACTAATCCGATTGCTTAAGATTGAATTTTTTTTTAAATCGAGTTTCGGGATAGGATCGTGTAACAACAAAAAAATTCCTAGATCAAGTTAAGGTTGTATTTTAGGCAAACTTACCCCAACCTAATATATATTTATAAAAAAATATTTGTAATTAATTATTTAAATTTAAATTTATATATTTATTTAAAATAATATTTATATTAAAAAATATTTTATTAAATTTAGATCAAGTCAAGTACTATTTTATATAATATCGAGTTGGGTTGAATTTTTGTATAAAATATTTTTAAAAAATCAAGTTGAATTTGGATATTATAGGTATAAAATTATATTGAATTCGGGACGAGCATCTCACTTGTTGCTATCTCTATAATTAATAATAATATTTTGCATGAATGATAAAAAATCGTGATAAATTTAGTGATAATATATGAATTTTATGATAGAATATTGTAATAGTTTTTTAAATTATTGTAATAAAATACTATAAAAGAATATTGTGATAATTTTTAAAATTTAAAATTTTTAAAAAATAAAATATTTAAAATATTTTTTTGTATTAGATGGATTAAATTTTTAATTTAGTGAGTATATGGATTAAATTTCAAAATTTGTACAAGTGTAGGATTAAATTTCGAGTTTTATATGAATATAAAGATTATTTATATAATTTAATAATTAATTTTATTAATTTCAATTGGTATGTTAATAAGTCAATGTCGCATTAATAAAGTGAATGATTATATCAATATTTTTAATGACAAAAAATTATTAAAATTAATTATTAAAATAAAATTATTAAATCAAAATAATTGAAAAATTAAAATTTTATGAATTATAATATAAATATTAAATTTTTAATTTTCGTAAAATGTAAGGACCTCTAATATATTTTAACAAAAATTTCAATTAAATACAGCGGATCCTGTCTTTAGCATAGTTTAATACTTTGCTGACCAAAATACCCTTGGAAAAGGGCAAAAAAAAAAAGACAAAGCTCCAACTTTTTACCCCAAAATGACAAGGAAGTCCCATTGATCCATGAGGGACAGTAAAAAAAGTAGCTCTCTCTCGCTGCTTTTTATTAACCCGCCTTTCCTGCCGGAGTCTGGTAAAAAGTAAAGTAAAAAAAAAATCAAACAACAGTAACCAGAATGCCCCCTCAGTCTCTGTGACCTCGCCGCCATTCACACAAATAAAGACTCGAGCAATGAATGCGTATGCCCACGCGCTGTTAGCCTCATGTGGAGCAACTCCAGATTAAAGTTGGGCCACAATCCTGAAAGATGAATATGATTGGACCGTGTTGTGAAATCGCTTTGAGCATGCGGCGCAAGCTTTCTTTTCAGAGTTAACTTTTGATCTGAACCACATATTTTTATCTCGTTGTTTGTACCTAATAATTTTTGTAAGTTTCTTTTGGCCGCTTATTATTTTCTACTTTCGCTTTTACCTTTTCTTTTTGCTTACAAAGACAAGTAATATCTAATAATACCGGTGATTTAAAATATAATATAACGATTAGATGTAAAAATAATATAAATAAAAATTATAAAAATAATATAATTTAAAATTTTAATAAATAAATATAATTAAATTCAATGAAACTAAAAATATATTTTATATTTTTATATTTATATAAATTATTAATATAATTTTTATATAAAATATAATATAAATACATAAATTAATAATATTTTATACTATATAAATATACGAAACATAAAATTTATTATAATTCTCACAAAACGATGTCGTAGAATTAAAATTTTTTTTTTTTTTTTGATTTCTTTGATTATTAAACAGATCATTTTCCTCTCAAAAGTAAACTAGACAACATAAAGTATTCATACTCGTTTGTTACATGCTATTTCTACACTAATTGTAGAATGATATGAAGATTAATGCCAAAAAAAAAAATAATAATAATAAGCAAGTGGATTCATTTGTGGTTTCTACCAACTTGAAAGAAGATACCCCTTTGGTTTTTTCAATCCTCCCTCCCAAGGCGAATTTAGCAAGAATAATTGTTCATCAATGGAATCTTTTGAAGATTGCAATACCAATTATTACGATGTTAAATGACAAATTTGTTGCATGATTAGCCTTTAACCACAGCAAAACGTCAGCTTGCAGAGTGAGTAGCCAATGTTGACGCAAACCAAGAAAAAGTAGTATCTTCTCCATTTTAAATTATTTGAATGTTATTAAATTTCATAAAATTAAAAAAATTAATTTTAATATTAAAATTTAATTTTTTATAAAATTTAATATTTAAATTATATAAAATAAAGATTTTAAATATTAAAAAAATATAATTTAATATATCTAAAAAATTGAGATGGAGGGAGAAGTAATTTGGCAAGATGACACATTTGGTAAGTAATAAAGAGAAAACATGTGGGCAATTCAAGGACAGTAAGAACATTAACTTTTTGGCTCTTTTTTGCTTTTATGACAGCGGGGGTCACAGTCTGTCTTGGTGAAAAAAGTAAGTGTAAATCTTTCATTGATTTGGGCGCCCTGGCCTTAGCTCCACGTTGCATCCTGAAAAGGTCCATTGTAGAGTTGTGCCGGGCACTGGCACTGGCAGGTGATTTCATTTCTTTTCATTTCACTAGCAGTCAGTATTAATTTTACTTAAACAAAAGTCAGTCATTAATCAAATAAAATGTTCTTGATCCACTACAAAAACAGTTCAGTGACAAGATCTATAAACTAAAGAATAATGGAATAGTTACTGCAAATGCATCTGTCTGCCAAAGAGCAAAAAAAGTACCAATGTTTCAATCCAGCATATTAATAAAAAAGGAGGGGGCTGTAGTGTAATTACAGTGGTTGTTCGTAAGGTCATATGACAATGGAGCACTCAGATGGAGTTTGCCAATTAGCAGTTACCCTTGTTTCTTAGTATAGGTGTAGTGGTATTTTTCTTGAAGGACAATATTTATCTTCTAAAATAAGGGAAAGACAATACAGAATTACCACTGTATGGAGGGTGATAGTAACCCCAGAAATGTAGAGAGAGGAGAGAGGGAAAGATGTGTGCATTGAAATAGATAAAAGCGGAAAAATATATTGGAGAAGCATAGAGAGAGAAAGAGAGGGACTAGAGCGAGAAAAATGGAGAAGAGGGAGAGCACTTTATTACCTTTTTTATGATGCACGCATCCATGGCACCACAGAGAAGGGTACAGAGTACTGCTATGACACAGGGGTAGAAGAAGAAGAACGACAAAAAGAGAAAAAAAAAAGAGAGGTGAAACTACAAAGTAAGGAGCAAACAACAACTGGAAACATCAACATCAGCAATAAGGCCATAAGCTCAAGCCAGAAAGAGGTATAATAGTAAAAAAGTTGTAAAACAACTGGTTTTTGCAGAGTGGGAGGAGAGAGATGGAACTGAAAAAATGGAGTTGTTGCAAGATTAAGGGAGATTAGTGAAAGATGGAGCTTAAGAGAAAGAGAAAGAACCGAATGAAGACAGCAAAAGGAGCTATTTTGGTGAAATGGGTGTTTTTTCATTGAAGTTGGGAGATTGATTTCATGTCATGTGAAGAGAGATGGGATCATCCGCTTGCTTTGTAGGGAAAAATCTTGTCTTTCTGTATCTCTGATCCTCCAAAAAAACAGCTTGATTGTCCTTTCGTTTTTATACAATACAAATGCACTTTCAGATACAGGCTAAAGGGGCGGTAGAACTCGCGGGTTTTGCTTCGATTTGTCAACAAGACAAGTGGATAAAGCAGCTGGAAGCTAATAGCTTTGGCTTTGCGAACAGCTTCTACTACAACAACGAACAAGAACCGACTTCTGTTCTTCATATGAGAAGAAGCCAAAGCCCACCCACATCGGCATCCACTATCTCTTCTTCTTTCAACGGCGGAGCCGCCGGTGCGGGCGGTGGAGGTAATTCCACCGACAACACAACCACCACGGCGGCCACCATAGCACCACCAGAGACTCCACTTCCAAACAACAACAAAGAAGAATGGGCCACGGACCTTCAACCGATCCCGAGTGAACTAGACCTTGTTCCAGGGCCTGGAGGTGCTCAAAGATGCAATCTCGGATTGGAAGATTGGGACACTATGCTGTCTGAATCAGCGGTGTCACCGAGTCAAGACCACTCGCTTCTGCGCTGGATCGCTGGTGACGCCGATGACCAGTCTTTTGGTCTCAAACAGTTGCTTCAGAGTGGGAGTACTGGTCCTAATCAGGGTCTTGATTTTGAAGGCAATGCAGGGTTGGGGATTGTTGATCAAGGTCCAGGGTTTGACCTAATTGGTAGCCTTGTTAGTTCTGTTTCTTGTAATGTGAGTGCTGCTTCAAATTTGGGTGGTTTTCCTGGTTCTGGGTTTGTGCCAAATGCCTACAATAATGGGAATGGAAATATTGGCTCAGTCATGCCCAGTTGTTCTTCAGTTGGGTTGGTTAACAATCACAAGGTTCTTGGTGCTACTGTTGGGTTGAATACTAACATTCAAAATCCAATGTTCACTTCTCCAACTGACAATATTGATCCTCCTGTTTCTTTGCCTATGCTTTATCAGCAGCAGCAAGGTCAATATCTTGGAAGCCAAGAAGAGAAACCTCAGATTCTGAACCAACAAGTTTTGATGGGTCAGCAACAGCATCCCCAAAGCCCAAACTTTTTCTTGCCATTACCTCAAGAACAGCACCTTCTTCAGCCTTTACCAAAGCGCCTTAATCCTGGTAACTTAGAACTTTCTTCTCAGATCCCAAAACTACCATTTTCTGATGCCGGGCATGAGCTGTTTATGAGAAAGCAGCAGCAAGAGGATATGGGGTTTCCTCAGGGAGTCCAGATTGTTTCTCAACAGAAGCCGCTGATGGTGGCAAAACAGAAAGTGTTGGGTCCAGGAGAGGAGATGCTTCAACAACAGGAACAACACCAGTACCAGTTACACCAGCAACAGGAAGCCACATTGTTCGACCTGCTTTACAAGGCTGCAGAGTTGGTTGGGACTGGGAATTTTTCACACGCGCAAGGGATATTGGCGCGGCTCAATCACCAGCTGTCCCCAGTAGGTAAGCCCCTTCAAAGGGCTGCTTTCTACTTCAAGGAGGCTTTGCAATTCATTCTCCTCATGAATAACCCAGTCTCTTCCCCACCTCCGAGGAGCCCCACCCCCTTTGACGTTATTTTCAAAATGGGGGCTTACAAGGTCTTCTCTGAAGTCTCTCCGCTTATCCAATTCGTAAATTTTACCTGCAACCAGGCCCTCCTTGAAGCTCTTGGTGATGCTGATCGGATTCACATTGTGGACTTTGATATTGGATTTGGTGCTCAATGGGCTTCCTTTATGCAGGAGCTTCCCATGAGGAGTAGAGGAGCTCCTTCTTTGAGAATTACTGCATTTGCCTCACCTTCAATGCATCATCCTATTGAGCTTGGGCTTATGCGTGAAAATCTAATGCAATTTGCTAATGAGGTTGGTATAAGTTTTGAGCTTGAGGTGCTTAATTTTAATTCTTTAGATCAAACCCCTTATTCTCTGCCTATGTTTCGATCAAATGAAAATGAGGCAATTGCGGTGAATTTCCCCGTTTGGTCTTCTTCGAATCAGCCCTCTGCTTTGCCCAATCTTCTGCGCTTTGTAAAGCAGCTTTCGCCAAAAATTGTGGTATCTTTAGACCGAGGGTGTGATAGAAATGATCTGCCATTCCCGCAACATATAGTCCATGCCTTTCAGTCATATATAAACCTATTAGAATCACTTGATGCCGCTAATGTGACTTCTGATGCTGTGAACAAGATTGAGAGGTTCCTTCTTGTGCCAAGAATTGAAAGCACTGTGTTCGGGCGTCTGCATGCACCTGAGAAAATGCCTCTTTGGAAGACACTTTTTTCCGCAACTGGTTTCTCCCCGGTAACGTTCAGTAACTTCACCGAAACTCAGGCAGAATGTGTGGTAAAGAGGGCTCAAGTGAGGGGATTTCATGTTGAGAAGCGCCTGGCTTCACTTGTGCTTTGCTGGCAGCGTAGGGATCTTATCTCAACTTCAGCTTGGAGGTGCTGAAGAGCATCATCAGACAGGCAGGGGAGGTTGGTTTTTCAGTAACTCACAATCTATCAACTCTATCCTGAAGTATGAATTAAGTCGATAATTACTGAACTTAGCTGCTTTTATGACTTAATACTTGTGAATTGTCCTGCTTGTGGGTATCCTCTGTTTGTTTATCTAGTATAGACACTATTCCAGTACAAGAAAACATATGACTGGAAAAGTCTAGTAGGGGCTTTTTGTATGGACATAATGAAATCACTGCTATGGTATTCTGGTGTCTTTTTTTTCTATTTTTGTTGGTGAGAAGCTGTATTTTGTTCTGCTTAAGGTGGTGATGATTTGTTGAATATTTGACAACAAATGAGAGCTAAAATTGCAAATACAACTTTCCAGAATTTAGTTCTGTGTTTCAGGGGTGCTGTTGATAAGTTCTCAAACTGTATGTTAGATTGATATTGGAATCCTAATTCCAACATTCCTATTATGGTGGATAAAATGCATATTTTAACATGAGACTTGTATGCTTCTTTGTGTGGTTGGAACGAGTGCCCAGCTTAGAACTTGTTCATCTTGTGCCTAATTACAGTTGAGTTTTCTGTTGATAAGGTTGAAATTTAGTTGAAAAGTTGATAAGCTGTAAGAAGTTCTAAAGCAAGCAAGGAATCAGTAAAAAATCTGTCCAAGGTCGGTTGGCCTTGGCGTTTAACTACCCTGATAATATACCTTACCATCTTAGTGTTTAAATATTTATGAAAAGAAAATTTCTTGTGGGGACATAGTGATTCCTTGATTAAGCAATACTTATGTGAAAATCTTTCCTGTGTTTCACCAGCAACAGGCTGCCTGTTCTAAACTTTTAGGTGCTTAAGTAGATGTTCTTAATCATATCTGTACCAAAAAAACAGGTAAATATCTGTTCGATCCGCTAAATTCCCACACTTATCAAGAAAAGGTAATAGTGAAATGTTATTTATGGTAATGATTAAAGATTGGGCAATGTCTTGAAATCTATCTAGAGTTTATTATTCACATTCCTGCTTGCTTCTTCACTTTACCTAGCTTGTCACAGGTCATATTATCCATCCTTATGGTCTGAAACCCATTTTTTTTTCGTGTTTAAAATCGCCAGGTTACCTTCAAGTTATATGTGATTTATGCACTCTCCTGTGATGAATTACTCAATAGTAAAGATTTCCTTAGGGGACCCTACTGGCGGTCCTTTATTCTGTAAGTCACGATTGTTGTATCTGATGTTCTTTCGGTTTCGCATTTAGTTTCCATTATCAGTGTAGTAATTGAGTCCTTCCTACCATAAGTCACATATGAAACTGCTAAAATACAGTGCATGTCTCTTGTTTTGGATCCCTTTTCAATTAGTTTATTTAAGTCGATGTGCTTCAGATTGGGGAATTAGTCCTTTAGAATATCAGACAATGGCATCCCTAGATTCTGTGCTTTATATATCATTTGTAGAATCAATATTATCAGAGCTACCCACTTTGCTTAAATCTATCCTGATCATCAGTTGGTAGAAAAGTGATATTTCTCCAATTCTTAAAAGTTTGATTAAAGAGGTAGTTGATTTAGAGAAGGGTGTGAACATTCAGGCTTTAGGAAAGGTTTAAACCTTATAGCCTGTTTTACCCTTATCAAGTCAGTGCTTCCCAAGCATCGCCATGGAGGCTTCTTGGTTCCTTCCCCTATCTTTCCCTGGGAGGCTGGGACAGCCTGGTAAGAAAAGACACCTAAACAAGAAACAACCTTTGATTAGCTGATGACCTGTTATAATGAAACCTTGGAAGACAATAAACACAGACACCTAAGATTAACTATATTTTGCTCAAAACTCTCTTGAAACAATCATGTAGGCTACAAATAACATGGTTGGATGCTGAATACTTTAAATTTGTCTCCCTATGTTAGAAAATTATGTTTTTGCTTGCTTGTATTACACCAAACATGTAACGCATCGTTCTCTTTTTTTTTTTAATTATTAGTTATTGGATATCTACTAATCAAGTCACATGGGTCATGTTTGATTGAACACCTTTGCTTGCTTACTCTACTCATTTTTTTTTCTTTTTTTTTTTTTCATTTTGGAGGGGTATAGTTTAATCTAATTTTATTATATAAATAAACAAGGTAAACATCGGTTTCATTGAATTTTATATTAAACCCATGATTTTTTTTATTGGGTAAACTAAGGTATCAATAGATTTTGGCTGGTCTAATCTGTTATTTTATTTTGTGATTATAATAACATGTAAATGTAAGAGATATGGTTGCTAGATTTGATGAAGGAGAAACAATAATATTTTTTCTGCTCTGACCGATTGCTTTCATTGCGCTCACCTCAATGTTTTTTTTTTAATATGAGATTTAAACAAAAAAAAAAAAAAAACAAATTAATCACTACTAATAATAATAGCATTAAACATGATGGCTAAAGAAAAATATTTTAATTGTAAAGCGTGGGATGTGTCTACCGTCCACTGTCTAGGCCCAAACCAATTGTAAAAGATAGTAACTAAAATGATGGATAGCTGTGAGCCATTTAAATGGTTCTGGTATTTGGGTGCAGAAGTGGTCTAGCCCAGTAGCTTGAAGGCACTTGTCTCAGTTGACTGCTTGAGTGGGCCATACATATTGAGCACATGATTAAATTTGATTCTGATTTTGTAATCCACAAGTATTTAGGGACCGATCTTATGCGCAAATTCCAAATCTTGAACAGGTAAACAGAATATTAATTTTATGAACTCAAGTTCAACTCATCGATGAAGTGATGGCGACCGCAACTGCAGGATGAAAATGACTTAAGATTTGTCACGTCCCTTTAGCCGTGGGGTCCTCCATCTCAAGACAGATATTTTATCAAAATCATGCCACGTGTACGGATGATAAAAGCTGGTTGTACGTGGTTTCAGAATATGGTTTTGGTAGTACAGTTCTTGATTCTTTTTATCAAGCCAAATGGCCAAATGGGTTCTTTTCACTATTCAATTTTTTTTTTTTGCCGGTTGTTGTTCCAAACTGAAAGTTCTAAAGCAACATATCCCCATGCAAAACACGCCCGATTCTCCTGTTTTGCAAACATGAAGGACAAGGGGATTGCTTGGGAAAGCAAGGCATCTTCATATAAATATAAATATAAATATAAATATATATATATATATTCTGAAAGCAAGATTTTGTTGTCGGTCCATGCCAAAGAAATGGCTTTGTTTAGATTAAAATGTAGTCACCCAGCCACAGAAACATATAGCCAGAATATTTAGGTTGGCATTGCCTTTTTTTCTGTCCCATAGCTTCTTTCTTTATGCATGGCATGGAGTATTATATTATTGGCGAATAGGGTTGATTCCAACCTTCATCAATCAAAGATGATTAAAGGTTTCGTATAAATTAACGGTAAGATTAATTTTAATAAAATTAAAAATAATTATAAAAATTATTGTAATTACAATTGAAAAAAATTTGATCAAAAAATTATATTAAATGAATCTTATTAAAATTAATATTTAAATTTAATTAAAATTTATATTAAATGAATATCATTAAAATTGATATTTAAATTTAACTAATTTTACGATAAGTATATATTGATTTATTCGCCCTTTCCACGTAACAATGATGACTGGATGAGGATTTTAGTACAAATCTAAAGTCAAATAATTGTATTTATTTTACATTTGTTGGAGTGGTTCAAACTCTATACATAATGGTTGTTGTTCATATAAACAATATAGCACACTGTGTTATATATAATATTGACTTTTAGAATACAAATTTTCAACAAATTTTTTTTTTCTATCACAAAGCTAACCTGATTTTGGGAAGTCAAATTTGCATAGATAATCTAGTAGAAAACGGATTTTCCACTGCCAACATTGAACAAAGTGGTGTTGTGGTTGATGATTATACGTGTTAAACAAAGTTATCCAAAAATTAAGAAAGTGAGAGAAAACAAGGGAATAATTCAGAGACTTGAAGCTATAGGAACCATGTCCAACGTTTATCCAAAACACGACAATAAAACTTGGAGACATCAATCATGTCATGTATACTAGCTTAAGGTGCCACCCCAGCTCTTTGTTCTTTGTTCCGAGAATTTCAGTTCTCTTACAGCAAGCAAACACAGAATAAATTTGGCCTAATTTCAAGACACGAATATATATATATATATATATATATCTTTATATTACATTTTGGATAAGTTGAATATGTTGTACTACTTAGAAACCAGGAGCTTTATTCCATGATTCGACTATATAAATTTCGCATCACTGTCGAATAGGATTATAATTTCAAACATGACATGATAATAACTTAGCATGAAATCAGAGAGAAGAATAACCAAGAGGGGGTGTTACAGGATTGCTCATAATCCACGTGATAGGCATGAGTCAAACTCAAAGTCTTTTTAATTGTGGCAGAACCTGTCCTAGATAGGGATAGATCAACTTCTGGACGACAGAGCACTGAAAGCTACAAGATTTTTTTTTTCTTTTTTTCTGTCACCCTTCTACATGGAAAGTATAATGAGAAGAGTACTTTGGGTAGTTTTTATTGCAAGTGGGGAAGTGCTTTTGTCATCAACAAGCCTCCTAGGAGTGAGGGATTTTAGTTGGACAACATAGATGCTCTCGTGAGACATGAACCAGCTTTCTTTCATAATCTTCCATCATGTTGGCCAAAGCAATGTTGAGTGGGTCGCCACCCATCAAAACCTACTTGCTAATGATCCTTTCACTTTTCCTTTTCCATTTTTTTAATGGCCGGCCATACTAACTAATAGAAGTCTTTTCCAGCATACCATTTCTTCAATTTTCAACCAATGGTAATAATTGTTCTAGTTTAATGGCAATATTACAGCAAAGATTAATGGCAAGAGCGACAACAGGGACATAATTTGGACATATGGCTAATGTTAAAAGAGTAATAAAGATGGGTTGATTGGCGTGCGTGTGCAAGGAAAGTTGAGGTTGCCGTTGCAAAACCTTTCCCCTTCTGTCTTTTATAGATGCTTTGCCACTATATCTCCTCCAATCCGATCTTTTCAAGTGTCCCTCATTGTTTTTATGTCCCTATATATATATTTTATTTAGCGTGAAAAAAACGCATTATTTTGATTTATTTTATGCCAAAAAGGAGAAGAAAACCAAAAGTGAGCATTCATGTCAAAAAGTCATTGAAAGGGTAGGACCCCAAACACTCCCCATCTCTTCTTTGTCTGTCTATGCAGTCTCATTCTCTCTCGTATGTGTGTCTCATGCTGGACCGATTTTCTTTTTCTTCGAACCATACAGCTCAGTGGAGCTTTGGTTCCACAAAAACTCTTACATGGACAACTTGGGTGCCTTCCAAATCACAGTATTTTTCATCTTTTCTTTTGCAATTTGCTGTGATATAATTAAGGTCAACGATGCATTTTATTGCTTGGGTCATTTTCATGGATGTCTAACGTTTTGCTATTGGAAAGATATTATAGTTAGAGACAGTTTTGTTCCATTCACTACTATTATTTTCTCTCGTGGTCGATCCTCCTATCATTCCAAAATCTCAATCTTTTGCTGGTCCTTGCTTTCCTTACCATACTTTGCTGTCAAGTGTCAACTGACACATCATGACAGAAGTTTGACACAACTTGTTGTCTCAAGTTCTCAATAGTTAGTGGACAGAAGAGATTATTGCAATCACTGCAGAAGCCACCAAGAAAGCTAAATCTTCTGCGCTTGTAGCAGTTAAAAAAGTGAGGAGACCTCTTTATATTAGTTTCCTTTCGGTTGTGGGATAAGAAGAGGCTTTGTTCTCTTCTGCCCACAACTGACATAACATATATTACTATGACATTAAAGATAGTTATCAAAACTTTTCGGTTGATGACCAGCTGTCTATGGAGATTTCCCCATTACTCTTCCAAAAAGTGAAGCAGGGCCACTGTCCAAACACCGGCTCTGTGCAAACTATCTAGTTCTTAATCTGCAATACATATTCTTTTCAGCCTAGATAAGGGATAATCCAAACACCGACCAAGTGACGCAGTCATACAATGACAGGAACTGGCGACCAGATTCAGTACTTATACACAGCTAATCTGATAAAGTAACGGAAAAAATTAAATACCAAGCACAAATGGAAAAAAAAAAAAAAACTGAATTACTTTTTATGAAATAGTGATATCAGTAGTGCTCTAGAATTAGAAACTGCAACTGCAGTTTAGAAATTGCGGCCTTCCAAATAGAAACAGATTAGCCTCACTGCATGGGAACAGTTCAACAACCTAGGAAAATGTGTGTGTGTGTGTGTGTGTGTATATATATATATATATATAAAATTCTATCATGTAAGTGAAGTTTGATCAAGTAAATCAATCACCAGGATATAAAATGGCAGTAATTTATTTGTCTCAGTCCCCACTCCCCATGAATCCTGATGTTATCCTTTGGCATTGTTTGATGGACTTGTATAGATCTTAAACAACTTCTAGAATCCAACATTTAAAAGGGATCATATCATCAATGTTTAAATATCTAGAATCCGTTCACATGAATCGTTCTCAAATTACATTATTGACAGTGGAATACATGTATAATTTAGTTTCTGGCAGAAGAAATGACTATTTGTTCCAGTAAATCCAACACTGCAAAGTGCATATACTCACATTTCCTCTCTAACTAGAGAGGTTGACTTAAGCTCAGCCCAATTAGATTGTTTGTGGTTAAAACATTGGAAAACCAACTAACACCAATTCTATTTCTATGGCATATGCTTTCATATTGGTGAAATAAACAAAAACACTATAGTTTCAAAGCAGCGGATACGTGCCCTTTGCTAATTTGACCCAAGTGACTCTTCAGGAGCCTGAAACAAGTAGAGCCCATTTCTCCTTTGTGTTTGCCAACTAGCCCAAAGGCTAATGCTTTTTTCTCCTCGGAAAGTATGGCCCAGTGGATTGCAAGACCAATGCCCCCTTTTCTCGCCCTTTCTCTGGCACTCTTATTAAGGCAATCGACGATGCCATTTTCACTAAAAACAGTAAAAAATTTTGCGTTCACTTATCAGATGCTTTGTTTTGGATTTTCTGACTGTTTAGCTTTAGAGGATTTGGATTACGTCGGGGTTTGTATACGAGACAAGAAAAGGCAGCAAAGAAGAAACGTGGAGAATGGAAAAGGAGAGGGCGGCAAAGCTGAGGCCCTCAGCGGTGATACAAAATTTTCTCTTTTTTATGAAAATATAGATTTATTTTTAAAATAAAAGTTATTATGATCGTATGTATAAATTCTATGTTGATAAATAACTCGAGTACAGTATATAAAGAAAAAAAAATTATATTATTAAAAAGTGAACAACAAAAAGAAAGGTGGGTTGAGAAACGGGAAGAAGATGATAAATTCACTATTTTTTAAGAAATAGAAAGAATGCACGTTATTGAAAGTGCGACTAGCAACTACATAGCCATAGGACCCGCCCGTAACAAAAGTTCAGCTAATTCCATAAAGCTAACAACTAATGGAAACACCAGCCCAAGACCATCATTTTTTCTGCCCTTTTCCTTCATCATACTTCTCCAGATGAAGGAATGTAGAGGACAAAAATGCAGAAGATCCTAGGAGATAGTCGCTTATGACTTCTTCATGATATATCCCATAATTATGCCCAGCAAGCCGATGAAGATGACAAACATGAATGACACACCACCAACGCTTTTGCTGCCTTCACGCCTTAAGAGTTCCTAAACATGTGTAATCTTTATATGTAAGAAGTTTCCATCGCTCAGAGATCGAGAGAACATAATAAACAGGGTGAAGACAAGTAAATCAAAAGCACAGTCTTATCAGTGATCGGAGAAATATTTCCTAATTTTCAACTGCATCTCACAAGCAACTATAAACAAGATGACACCTGTTTTAAGAAATAGGGAAGAAGAGTAGGGTCATGCTGAGGTCTGAGATGTAGAAGGAAAAACAAGGAAAAGAGGTACAATGTTGACTCAAAATTTTCAGCAACTAAAACAAATTATCAAGAGAGGATAAAACATAAATAAAGGGTCAATGAATTTACTGATTTGGTCATTCAGAACCAAAGAAAAGGGCAGGGGAAGCATAGAAAATATCAGAATAATTTTTTCAGCAAATTCAAAGAGCTTTTTGTTGTATATATGCAAGCATCAGTTAAAAAGTAACTGAGGGAGGATAGAACAGATAATTCTAATCTACACATTAATCTTAATGATAATAATATATAATTATTATAATCCACATGGTAAAGTCACAGTTTATTCCCCTTACCAGTTCTTGATGAAGTTTTTTATTTTGTTGAATTGCGTTATTTTTTTCCTCAGTCAGCTTTGCTATAAGAGCTCTTGCCTGAAATTATAGAAAGCATTACTGAGGGTTATTATACTTGCAATCATCAACATCAAATGCTATATATGTCAATGATAACAGAGCTTCAGGCGCTGTTACTGCAAAAGCAGGCTATATATGCACATAAACAAGGGGAATAAATAGCCAGAAGAGCTCAAGGGAAAATAGCAGTAATGATTCCTGGCTGCAGACAAAACATAATTGACACTGCATTCAGTAAACCCTACTTGCATAAGACACAAATTGGTGGTACATCTCTTCCACAACATATCTTCCTTTGTCCACCTTATGGAATAGTAGTTTAGCAGTAAAAATAACAAATTCATAGAAGATGGGCTTGTGGGCACCTTGTGCAGTTTTTTTTTTTTTTTCTCTCTCTTTAAGAAGAATACTAGAAATATGGAGTTAGCACATGATTAATTACAGTGGTGGGGTTCTTTTATTTCTTTGTGGCCATTAACTAAAATGGTTGTTAAATAAAACAATGGGTAGTCAACATGAGAACGTGGCTCACTCAAATTCCCCAAAAGTTTAATTCTACCATGAGCAACAATATGAACCTATTGCAATAGAAGTACAATAAAATTTTGTACAACATTAATGATGGAGTATATACCATAAACAAAGTTCTAATTTCCAAGATAAAATGCAAAATAACACCTAAGAAATTCTTTTAGAAGATTAATATGTCAGAAAAATGTAGCATAGACGGTTAATTCAGCTCCTAAAAAGCTATGATAACCATGTTAACACACGTTTAAATCAGCACATCATTCAATATCAACTTAATCCCAGTTCCTCTTAACTGATAATTACTTTCAATTCTAAAAATACTAGTTCCCATCTTTGTAGTTTGGATACAAATCCATTAGCTATGTGTAGGATGATGGGGCTTCAGTAACTCCTACATACTATTACTACCACGATAGCACCTGCAATCTTACCTACATTCATATGGTCTGCTCTTGTAATCATTGTGCATTTTGTGAATTCAAGACAAATTATTCCTAATGGTAAATGTAGCAACCTCCATTATAATAATAATAATTAAAAAAAAGGTCATCTTAGACCACACCCTGATTCAATCAAAATGATGTGACTACTTCATTTGGCTCCGGTACACCCAAAAGCCTCAAATAGCTGAATACTACCCTCATTGATAAGGTACCTATCATAAGAAAAATGTGGAGCCATACAGGGCTACTGAACCACAGCTCTAGACTCACAAGCTCAGCGAAATAAGTAGTAGCTTTAAACATTTTGGTCTGAACAATTAGAACTAAATTTTCGTAAAGGGATGTAAGATGACTCTAAACCCCCCACTTACCCTAGCACTCAATTAGTGAAAGAGCAACTGAGCAAGTGAAAGCAAATATCTACCGACGAATGGTTGGCTTGAGTGGCAAAGAGAGTGTGCTCTTCTCTTTGTTGCTTGGGTTCGAATCCATTGGGAGGCAGTGAGAAGGTAATTCCCATGAATTCGCTAGGCCCAGAGTAGATAAGCCTGCTTGGACCAGCCTGGAGAAGGGATGTACTGAGCAAAAAAATCCCTTACTGCTAAATAAAAAAAAGCAAATATCTAACCTGAAAATATGGACCTTTCTATTTCCAGATTCCAGAATACCAAAAATGACTGTTACCAAGACAAATCAAAATCAATCATACATATGCAGCGCCACACAGTAACACAGAAGACACAGAATTCAATTTACCTCAGAAGATTTATCTTGAGCTTCAAGCTGTTCAGTAAAGGCTCTTGCAGCCTGCATCCAGAACAAAATGAACAGTATTAGCATTCTAAAAAATAAAGTACAGAGCAATTATGAAAAACATATGTAGCGAGTTTTTACTGTAGCAAACTCAGCAGCATTTGCATGACCATTGTCTGAAACAAAGCCTCTTGGTGAAGACCCTTCTTCGGAACCTTCACGTACAGGTGAAGGTGGTCGAGGTGGAGAAACATACACCACTCTCAACTTGCATTCCTCAACCACATGCCCAGCTTCCTTATTGAACTAAAAAATGAAGATTCCCATAAATCATAGAACTTTACATCCTAACCTCAAAGTAGCAAGTGATACCGTGTATATAAAGAGGTATGTACCGCTTCTGCAGTTATATCCTTTGAGGTTGCACCATCATTTACTTTTACACTTTGAAGGAGGAATTTGTCCCTGCATTGCATATCAGGAGGAGCCTCTTTTTGCGCTTGCATGGTAACTAAATCAAAACCAATGATTCTTTTATAAGTCATCCAGAAGTCAATAATGATAAAGATAGAAACCAAACAATCAAGCAAAATACAATTGATTTAATTTACCCATAACATCGCATGTAGATTGAGGCAAGACGATCCCAGTGTTGGGACGAACGCAATACTTCTTTGGATTTGTTGTTTTCACCTGAAAACAAAATCAATTAACTCAAAAGAAATCTACAAATTCAATTTGCGATTTGAACAATATAATTCAAACAAGCTATTGCTTTCCTTTCAGGTTCAAAATCTTTGTTAATTCCTTATTCCTGATTTTACTCAGCAACCAAACAGAGCATTACGGCATCGCATTATTAAAAAGTAGGAAGATTATGATAAATCATAGATCAAAAGTTATAAAATTCGAAAACGAAGAATACCTTGAAAGCTACAAAATTATCAGTTTTATTCGACAATTGAAGAGAACAAGAGATCTGCTTCCTCAGCTCAACTATTCACCAAAACACAAAACAAAAATAAAACAACTCAAAATAAACCCTAGAAATCGTAGATCCACGAGAAAATGGAAGAGGGAAAAAAAAAAGAAGAAGAAACTTACAAGGAAACTTGAGCTCTACAGGGTCGATGTTTAGAAGGTCGCCCGTGCTCATTTCGAAGCTACGGCTTTTAGCCAAGGAACCGCCTTCGAAAGGATCTGAAGGAAGGAGGAATGAGAAATTTATGTTATTTTAAAACAAGATTGGGCGGAGAGATCGAGAGGAAAGAAAAAAATTACAATGATGACGGTTTTTTTCCTCTGTAGTTGAAAAAAAATATAGTATTTTTAATGTTCTTTCTAAAAAAAGGAGGAGGGAAAAAGAGAGAGAAAGAGGGAGAATAATGAACGTGCGTCGTAGAAGAAAAGAAAGGAGAGGAAGGAAAATGGAATCCGATCTTCTACTCCGATCTCTCTCCTTATTTTTAGAATCGGCTATTCCCATTCCATTTGCCTAAAAAAACACATTACCCCCGATCCATCCCCCCCCCCTCCCCCCCCCCCCCCTTTTTCAAAACGACATCGTATCCTCTAATTCCAATACCCAGAGTTTACTATGACCGTTGACCAAACCTTGGTACGTGCCCGACATGCACAAATGAATTTGGTTCTAGAAGCATTCTTCGATCCAGCAAGTAGTGAACTCATCATTGAACATGCTTTTTCATGACTCCTACAATATCATAAACTCCATAATTTTTTTTTTCTACAATCGGATAATTCCACCGATAAAAATATAAAGGCAGATCTCTATGCACAAAATTCTTCGCTTTACGAGAAATATGATGAGGGTTTATAATATATAATTTTTTTTATATATTTTTATAAAAAACTCGAAATTATGACCGTCTGATAAAAAAGAAACAATCTTACCTTCAAGACATGTCAAGCATGTAAAATTGTGAATTCAGATTCTACGTGCCACCTGGGGAATTAGCAACTCCTCATAATCATCCACACCCACCTGATTCTATATGCTAATAGGGCATATAGACGATCAACGTTATTGACTAGATAAATCCAAGGCAGCCACTCCGATGACATATTTGGTCCATATGTAAGTAAGTGATGAGATAAGTCCAGTGAATTATAACATAACAACCCAAAGCTCAAAGCCCATGTGTTTAGAGGTTCATATATGAGCTATTCTCCAATACCCTGTCCAAAATCTTATCTCCAGGCCCATATTTGATCGCATTTACAAAACACATATATCACCATTCTTTTTTTTTTTTTTAATGAAATTGACCAATGTGGCAACAAAGACATAGCAAATGAAAATATAATTTCCCGTAGATTAGAAACAATTATATATATATATATTATAATTTATGGAGTGAAAAATATTCCAATATGCTTTGGTCATGGAAAGAACATAATGCTTTGTATACCATTCTTCTCTAGGCTACTCAACAGAGCCATTAGAAAATTAAGAAGAAGAAGAAGAAAATAGTAAATTTTAAAAAATGAAATATATACATCACAATCATAAATTCATATGGTTTGTACATTCTTCACCGAACTTCATTAGAAATATTGTAGACTTATACAAACAACTAAGTGGACTACGGAACAAAACCATTTGGCTTATGTACATTAATGTAAGCAACAGAAATATTCTGGTTTTGTTCTAATCATTAAAAAAATAAAAAATGGTGATTGATGAAGTAATGGGTCACGATGGAGAGAGGTAGGTTGGCTGAAGATCAAATTACATAAATGTATACCAATATATGATTGGTTATGTCCCCTCTCATAGATATGTTGTCTGCATAATTCACCTCATTAAAGCAAATAATCTGAAACATCGTTCTCTCTAAAGACCAACCGAAACTTCAAGGAAATTTCCTAGCAGGCCCCACTTTTCATTCTAACCTGAAAACCATAGATATGTGTGATCAGAAGAAATAATTAGGATATGATGTATTGGCTTCTACACCGAGTTGCATCATCATCGTCATCAGCATGCACTTATCATTTTCAATCGATTGCATAATATGTATGTATATTGGAAGTGATGAATGTTTGTTTAGCCAGAAATTAAGCCAAGAAACGGTATTTGTTGGATCTTTCTTAGAAATGGAAGCAACATGAAAGGCCTTTGATTGGCCGCAGAAATCTTTACTCATAAAAAGAAAAAGCTAACTAAAGTTTACTTGACATTTGCCACAAGTAAAAAGTTCTTAAGCTGTCAAAGACTCGAACACAGTCTCCATATATTCTCTTGCCTTTCACTGGTACATTGTACAGTTCGCACATATTTCATTCGCTAGAGACTAAACGAAACCCATACAACAAAATTTCAACTTCTTCGTAGATTTTTTTTTCAGTTCTTAAGTTCCATGGGGCTGCACTTAGTAGCAGTAGCCAAACTCAACCTCTTATCTCCCTCCCATAGTTTCACTGCTTTCGTAGCAGGCTTGCTTTGCCCTTTTGTGCTGAAATTTTCCTTCAGTTTGAGGATTGTTCGTCGGGTTTCCATTGATGTGATTGATGCATCCAGGCTCTTCTTTTTTCAGTTGAGTCAGATAGCCTTCGAAGCTGATCAGCGGGCTCCGGGCAATGGCGACAGATGGCAGCGAGCTCTTCGGTTAGTTTGCCAGAGGATAACCCATGTGAGAAGGTCTCTAGAAGGACAATCTGACGAGGATAGCTTCCATACTCTCACTATGCTTTCACTTTGAGCTGATGTTATAGATGACGAGAACATGAGAATTTTATGATCAAAACTTGAAATCCAATTCTCATGAGCATATATGTCTGGATTTTTCTCTTCTTTTCTTTGATTTTTCAATCTCCTTGAAGAATGAAGTGGTGTCGGATGTTCACGATTCTGCATTTTCAAGTCAACATGAACAAGAAAAATGGGATTCCATTATGAGTTTTAATTTGAGATCGCAATGTGAACAAAAATTTGTGTTACCTTAATTAATTTATCTTTCTAGTTTGCTTTTCCAAGTGTTCCCACTTCCCAAATGAATTGCTTTGCCTGCACATGCCTTCTTTACTAAGAAAACTTAAAGCTCCTTCAAAACATTTTATTCAATATATACTGATTCTGGTATATTAACTTTTAACATTCATTGATTTTAGAAAAAGAATTAATCAAAGCCAAAACCCAAAACTTTTCCCAAGTTTTTTTTTAGTTATAAGGTTTATTACTATGGCTTTGCAAGTGGTGGTTTTGGCTACCCTTCTATCCCCCTCTCATGGTATAAGTCCCATTCTAGCTGGTTTAGCCTGCTCTTTTCTACTTAAACTCTCCTTCAATGTCAGCCTCCTTCGTCAGGGTTGTATCGATATATGCCATGGCATTAGGCTTTTAATGTATCAGATGGGTCTTTGACAGCCAAAACCGTAGATGGCGGCAAGCTCTGCAGATAGTCTTCGGAAGAGTAATCAATGTGAGAAGGTCACCTGCCTCTGTTAAGACTACCTTCCATGCCCTCACTATGCTTTCACTTTGACCATATAATAGTAATATGTTGCGAATTGGGGAATTTTATAATCATAACTTCAGCCTTTCATGTAAAGTGGCCACTACATTTGTTTAGGTTAAGTTCTATACTTTTTAAATTTCTTCGGAATTTCTACTTGTAGATGGATACTGATGTTGTGAAATTAAAGGAAATTGGTACATGAGATTCCTCATTCCATACTTATGGTCAAGAAAAGGCATAGAAAAGATTCTGTTTTCGATATATATATATATATATATATATATATATGTTCCTTGGGAGTTAAAGCTTACTGTCTAGTAATCTAATTATTCGTATCTTTTGCAGCAAGTTTATGGGAAACATGTTTTTGAATCCACAGCTGCTCAAATGTTCTTAGAACATTAATAGATGCAAAGAGTTAAAGACAATTGAGTTCGGTTTCAGTTTTCATTCGTTTGTTCTTTTTCCAAGTTCTTTCAGAAGTCTTTTTGGGTCATCCCAGGAAACAAGAACTATGAATAAGATAACATCACAAAATATAAGCCAATGCAATAAATTTTCATAACATTGAGGAACTTTAATTACAAAGAGCAAAATATCAAAGCGCCCATCTCACTTTCCCCCTCTCATTTTCAAGCTGACCATCGACAGCTCCACCCACCAGCCCATGACATTGCCCAGTCAACACCCTAGAAAGTTTTTAATCTATGATTCTCTCTCCCAAAGCAAGGTTGCACGATATACGCTTAAACCAAAAAACTGAAAGGCCGAGTTCAGCATAGCATTGATTATTTGTATTTGTCCATGGGCCCATTTGATATTGGATCGAGGCCGAACCAAGAAAAATCAACAGGCCTTATTTGGTCGTTTACTTCGCCCGAAGAAAGAGCCTGGGTCAGGTCAGGACCTGCCTAATTGACGCCCATACCAACAATCATACTTAAGACTGGTAATTAGAGCTTTAATTTCTTAAAAAGAAAAGAGGATTGTATACTGTTTGTGACATTTAAAAATTTCATTGGATCGGATAATAATCTTTAGTTTTCAAGTCCAGAGTATGTACCAGTACATTCCTTTAGTGACAAAGGTTGGTAAGAAAGGAGAATGAATTTTGATGAACATTTTCTACATTTTGTTCCTATACATATAATCCCCCAATTCAACCATAGCAGTCGTACAGTCACACTTGGTTGATTTATATGTTTAAAATATGTTTGGGTTAACCACTTGATCAATTAAAGTTGGCAATATACGAAACAAAGTGCAACATATGAAAAGTATTATAACGCTTAAACTCAGAAAAAAAATTTTTTGTTTCTTATATTGTACTCAACAATTATCCTTTTCTTTTTTCTTCTTTTTTTTATAATATCAATGTTTCCAAGTAGAACAAAACTTACATGAAGTTTTTTAAGTGAAATATTTGAATTTTTTTAATAATTTAATAAAAATTCAAACTAATAAATTGATAAAGTTCAATATGAAAATCAATAATATATAAAAAAATATTATTTATAATTCAAATTTAATTAATACTTATTTAACAGTAAAAATTTTATTAATATTTTTATTAAAAATATCTATATCAAAATTTATTAAAATTTTTTTCAAATTTTATGCATTTGATCTATGTAATGAGATATTTTAATTTATCGGGTTTAATTTTCAATTTTAGTTTTTATTTAATTGTTTATGAGAAAAATTTTACGAACTTCACCTAAAAAATTTCATCTAAGTCTTTCTTTCCCACTCTCCCTAATAACCTCCTTATTTTAAGAAATAGCGAGCAAAATATCAAATTTTCTTTTACAAAAAATTGTAATTTAGAAAGTGAAAAAAAGAATGCCAATGTTAAAATTTAAATTTTATATTTATTGATTATCATCTTATAAATATAATTATATAAATTAATTGAATTAAGTATCAAATTTAAAGTCGATGAGACCTTAGTTTAATAGCAAGAAAGATGCCCTATAACCTAAAAATCCTATATTCAAGTTTCACTATGTGTGGGTTTGTTTGTTTAGTTAAATTATGTTTATTAGTTGATTATTCAATAATGTAATAATTGATTATATGAATGTAATTTTAAAAAATATCAAATTTTATTTTACAATAAAAACTTGTAATTTGGAAATAGAGAAAAAAAACACTAAGTGTTGAGATTTGAATTTTATATTTATTAAATATTATTTTTTAAAAAATAATTATATAAATTAATTAAATTAAATATTTAATTCAAAACAAATATAAAAAATTTTGTTGATTGTGTTCGAATAAAAAAGGTGGGCAGATTTTTGGTAATTTTATTAATTATGTATCCACTTGGAGTAATGTACACTATAATGATGTTGAAAATATAATCTTTTTTATAAAATCATACATGAGTTTAAAAGAAAAAAGGCAAGGGTGGAGCATAACGAGAGAATATTGTTTTTAATGTTGATACAATCTTAAGCTTGGCTGATGATACAAGCAACCAAAAGCATAATCCCCCAAAGCATGGGATCTTATTTGGAATATTCTTAATTCATCTATGGTTCGACCGATAAGGGAAAGGCCACTTTTTTTTTTTTTCTTTTAAAAAAGGAAAACCTTTTGTGTAACCAAAATGAGTGGTTATTAATTTTACATATTTTTAATAATTGATTTTAATAAATTTAAAATATGATATTAAATTATATGTTGTTAGTTTTATTTATTTTATTTATTTTTTATATTTATTAAATTTAAAAATAAAAAATATGTTAAATATTTTTTATTTTATATTGTATAAATAGATATCTTCTTTTATATATTTATATATATATATATATGTAATAGTGATATTTAGACTATCTAAATCTTCAAGTTTATATTTTTATTTTTTTCTCTTATTTTTGGAATAATTGCAATAGTTACTTGAAATGATCATTAATAATATAGTATTCAACGAGATTGAATGATTATACAACTTTTCAATAGATCTGACTTATATTTAATTTTTTTTAATATTTAAAATTATCAAAAATTAAATTAAATTATTAAAATTAAAAATCTAACATCTTATTTTTTGTATTTAACTTTTGCAAATCACTTGTTCATAATGATAATAATAATTATTAAAAAAATACCGTTGACTTATAGTTCGATTGGCTTTCTAGGTCTTGGAGATAGACTTCTTGTACATGATGCTTGTAAAAATGATCCAAAATTTTAATTTATAGTTTATACTGCCATTGTCATCTTCTTCCATGATTGGATACAATTTGAGTTTGAGAGGAATAGCTAGGAATCAACCAAATGTGACAAGAAACATGAAGCTCGATTAGATTCTCTATTTTAAGAACGGGTAGCAAATAAAGATAAGTCTTAGAATCATATTGAATATATAAAAATTCAATATAAATTTATATTGAATTGTAAAAATTTATAATTTTATATATTATTTAAAAAATTAAATTAAATTAAAATAAATTAAAATTATTATTGCTTTTATTAATTTCGTCACATAATATGATATGTATTTTTTATTTTTATCATTCGTGATTATTTAGTTATTTTTTAAATATAAAATTTGAAAGAAACTCTCCGTATATTTAATTAAAAGATTACAGTAAACCTACCTGAGTATCTATAAATTTGAAAGTAAGATATTGAATAAAAACAGAAAGTCGACCTAATTCCTACATATAAACCTATTTTAATATTTCTAAGAATTAATTATAAATTAAAGGGATATTTGCTTTGATATCATATTAAATATTAAAATTAAAATTAATTAATTATAAATATAATAATTATTTTTATATTTATGTAAAAACTTTTCTAACTTAATAAGTTTTATAATTTTTTGAATTTATTACATAATAAATCTTCGATGTATTCGTGATAGGATTTGTTAAATAACGTAATTTCATGTTTGTTAAATCATTATTTTTTATATTCAAATTATATTTTTTTATTTGAGATTAATTGATTTTTTTATTAGACGTTTAACCGTATGTATCAAGTTGTACTAGTTGTACAACTGAGAAAATCATGACTTTCTCATCTAGTGGTTTCTCATCTAGTGGCGGCAGAAACGTTGAGGTGGACTTACTCCTCAGTTCGACCTAAAAATTGAATATTTAAAAAAAAAGGATCAAATTGAAAACGAAAATTTCCTAGATGCCCACTTGCAGTAAATTAACATTCTTTTAAACACCTCCTCTGCTTCCGTGCTTTATTCTCCCTATTTATCCACAGTTTATATGCTTTGGAAAGCTTAAAGAGTTGCCATTCAATAGAAAAATAATAATAATTTTGCTTAAGTTCCCTGTATTAAATGCTGATTATTTTCCACTTCTAAAGGCAGTTCTTGGCTGTTTTCTTTTTGGGTTTTTTTTTTTAAAATTTATTTCTTCCCTAAAACCTCAGAGATAAGGGAAAGAGAAACGAATTAATGGGTTGGAGCGGGGAGAAGCGAAAAGGGGTTGTTAAATTTTTTAGAGTCTTGTTAGTGTTGCTGGTGGTGGTGCAAACAACGGCGTTTCATGGGGTGAAGTTGAAGAAGAAGGAGCACCGGAACGCTTATGCAACGATGATGTACATGGGGACGCCAAGAGACTACGAGTTCTACGTGGCGATACGTGTCTTGATGAGATCGCTTGTTAGGCTTCAAGTGGACGCTGATCTCATCGTCATTGCCTCCCTCGACGTTCCCCTCCGTTGGGTTCGTGCCCTGTAAGTCTACGTAACATTAAAATGCTTTTCTTTTCTCCTTCCTTCAATCTTTCTTTTCTTTTTTCCAAACAATTGTAAAGGTGATTTCTTTATTCATTAAATCAGTTAAGACAAAGGAAAAAAAAAAAAAAAACAGCGGTTGTGTCTTTGGCTTATTGGTTAGAAAAATGTCATGAAAATGGGTCTCTCTTATTCTTTATGTATAGGTTTCAATCCAAAAACTCTGTCCAAAATGTGATAGGACAGTTTGCTTTTTTTTGTCTTACGAAAAAATGGTGGGTCGGTTCGGTTCAAATGATGGAAGAAATAAAATATAATTTTCTTATATTTATTTGCTTTTATATTTTTCGACTTATTTTTCACGTAACGTCTAAACTTAAAAAAGCGAAAGTTTTAAAAACAGGGATGCATTTCTGTCTTTTCCCTTTCTAATTTGTTTCTAAGAGACCATTCGTCAGCAAAATGAAGTGTATTGATCGGATAAGAAGGTGTTTTGCTTGCCGAAACTAACCCCAATAGGTATCTAAGATGTTTCCTGGTAGCAACGTCATATGGTTTACTTTGGCCGATTAAATAGTCATATTTCATCGTGTTATTTGGCTACCGTGCACTGCATATTAACATTTGAGTTAAGAATATTAAAATTTCAACCACATTAGGTAGAATCGTGCTACCTAGCGTGGTAGCAATAAGATTTTGTGAGTTTTAGGCTTCTATGAATGGAAGCGGATGGTACTAATAGCTTAGCGGATAAAATTAATTTTGATAAAATTAAAAATAATGATAAAAATTATTATAATTATGATTGAAAATTTTTTTATATTAAACCTAAAAGTTTAAGTTAAAATTTTACGTTGTGATTAATTAACTGTATCTCATTGATTATTCGTTTAGATTTCACTATTAAATTTTTGAATCTCAATAAAAATGTAATTACATCTAAATTCACCTTTAATTTTTATGTGATTTCTTTCTATTTATTGATCAAGTCAAGTTTAATTTTTTGCATCCTTTGATTAGTTAGTGATAGAATCATAGAAACACTATGGGAAAGAGAAGGTAACCCTTCGAGATTCAAAGATAGTAGAGTAAGAATTAGGACTTGGGACTTGGGGCTAGGGGCAAAACTTAAGACATGTTATGGCATTTCACTTTATCTGTGTTTTGAATCACTCCTAAATGGATAAATGCAACAAAAAGAGAGAGAAACTGATCAGAACAGAGTTCCCCCACATAAGACACCGTCCATTATATTTTAATGGGAGGGTGGTAACTTCTCGTCCTAAATATATTTCGGGTGGGATCCAACTGAATTAATTAATCATCATTTCCCACACTCACTTTCAAGCAGCACAAGAAATGGTCTTAGATATTATATTAGTCAACTAAAAGCATGTGGGAGTAGCTTGTTTGGCGGACAATTGAAAATGACGATTATTGTTACATTATGTGGTTTCCTTTTCTTTGATCCTGTCAAAATGATTTGGAAGACTATGCCACACCGTCCACGGCCTGCTGCTAAAAGGAATAGCTGCTGGATTTATGTCACAGAAATAATAAATTAGATTATCACTGTTTATACTGAAAAAAAATAGCTGCTTAATTACCAAGCTAGTTGGTCAAACAAAAAAAAAAAATCCATTGGCTTCATACGGTGAGTGATCATTTGGTCTTTCTGGTGAAAGTATCATTCCTTTCTTTTTGACTCTTTCACAATCAATCAGTTTGCTTTGCAGTGTGTATCCGAGGATACCGGCGATATCTGTGATGCGTGTCTTGGTGAAAACAATGTTCCTTATTATAACGAAGAAAAAAAGTGACCGGTTCTGTTTTTGTGGCATAGGGAACATGAAGACGGAGCGAAGGTGGTGAGGGTGGAGAACATTAATAACCCTTACAAGGGTCAACAAAATTTTGATAAGAGATTCAAGTTAACACTGAACAAACTTTATGCCTGGGGTTTGGTGGACTATGACAGAGTGGTCATGCTTGATGCAGACAATCTCTTCCTCAGGAAAACTGATGAATTGTTCCAATGTGGGCAGTTTTGTGCAGTCTTTATCAACCCCTGTATCTTTCATACTGGCCTCTTTGTGTTGCAGGTAAAGTTTTCTTCTACATATGATTCATTTCAACGATTCACTAGTTGTTATACAACTTGTTCCTAAAAAAATTTTATCTGCAGCCATCATTAGAGGTATTCAAAGACATGATTCATCAACTGGAAACTGGTAAAGAAAACCCTGACGGTGCTGACCAGGGATTTATCGGTGGCTATTTCCCTGACTTGCTCGACCAGCCAATGTTCTATCCACCCCAAAATGGCACCGTACTTGATGGGCAATACAGACTTCCTATGGGCTATCAAATGGATGCCTCTTATTACTGTGAGTAAAATAGTGAGGATCTCATCTATGATGATTCCATTCATTGATTAATTTGAGCTACAAATCTAACTTCAGACTATCTTTGATTTTTCTGCTGGTCTCTAGATCTTAGACTTTGCTGGAGAGTTCCTTGTGGACCTAACAGTGTGATCACTTTCCCTGGTGCACTATGGTTGAAGCCATGGTATTGGTGGTCTTGGCCTGTACTGCCCCTAGGCATTCAATGGCATGAAACTCGTCGTCTAACTCTAGGGTAAGATAAAACAAAGAATAATACAACACTGACAGAGAAAAAATCTAGCCACTTTGTATAATTACTGTGAGTTTCAATTTCTTATACAGGTATGCAGCTGAGATGCCCGTTGTGATAATCCAATCGATTATTTCTCTTGGAATCATCGTGATGACACGTCTAGCACGCCCCAGCGTCACCAAACTATGTTACAGGCACTCAGACAAAAACATATCTTTGATGCAAACCGGCCTAAAGTTTATAGCAATCTGGTCAATTCTTGCAGCCTATATAGTTCCCTTCGCCATTATTCCTCGTACAATTCATCCATTAGTAGGTTGGACGTTGTATTTTCTTGGTTCAATTGCTCTTTCCTCTGTAGCAGTTCACTTATTTTTGCTGCCAGTTATTCCAGTTTTCGTTCCTTTGATTGGGATTTTTGGGTCTCTTTTGGTCATGGCATGTCCTTGGTACCCCAATGGAGTTATAAGAGCTTTAGCCGTTTTTGGCTATGCATTTTGTTGCGCTCCTATTGCTTGGGGGTCATTGGTTAAGGTCATGACACGGCTTCAGGTCTCACTTGAAAGAGAACAATTTTTCCCAAAATTAGGTGAATCTTCACCACCTTCCGGCTCTAACAAGTTGTATTGAGTTTTACCCATGATAAAATGCAAGATTCTTTTTTTTCCTGGAAAAAGAACGATATTTGACAGAATTGGTAGACTTTGGTGAAGACAGAAGGAGGTGATTGGAAAGTTCATTCAACGTTCTACAATTAAACGGATAATAGAATTTTGTGATTATAGGGTGTGCAATATTGAAGGAGAGCTAGATTCTTGTTTTTTTTTTTTTTGTCAATACAAGTTTTTGTCGTTTAATTCGTATCTTTGCCTAAATTGTTACCGGACAATAGACACGTTCTTTTCAACTGGATTTCTCCAACCAAAGCTCCAGTTTTCGTCCAAAAGAAAAATCTAGCAATTACGAAAAAGATCGTAAACATTGAATACGAACGAATAAATGTATATTTATAATTTATTCATTTATTTTTAAAAATATTCGTGTTTAGTTCTTTTTTATTAAAAAAATTATTTTATTCATTTTTATTCAATGTATTTAAATAATAAATCAATTAAATTAAAACAACTCGTTTGAACATTTTTAACTGAGTTTAACCCGCTGAAGCCCATTTGATCCGGAAAAGAAATCTGTTTGACCAATCAAAGCCCATATAGCACACCCATGTTCATCATCCAATACGAGGTGTTTTGTATATGGACGAGCAAGATCAATGTGAGACCAAATATTAAAGCAACGTGAAAAAACACTGGATTATCCCACGTTATCCACAAAGCCAATCTGCATGGCCATGATTTGAGGGCAAACATGTCCGGACCTACAATGTCTTGGAATCACAACCCTGATCAGAACGTTAGCATCTTTTTAAGTGGGTCCCAAACTTATAATCAAGCCAATCATCACCATCATCATAATCAATGACTTTTGTGGCAATTTTTTATTTGTAAGATTTCGTCGCAAAATGAAGGAAAGGAAACAAACATGGACTTACCGGAGTCTGGGCATTTTTGTCTCGAGCCTTAATCGTGGAAATATTGTGCAGTCCCAACGTTCAAAAAGAAAAACAAGTGGACACCATTAGGAACCAGTTCAAAAACAAAAATTATTTTTAGGCCAAAATTGTTAAATAAAAAAATAAATAACATGAGCCATGCCTGGACCATCATTCTTCATGCACGCCAACACCACCGGACGCTGGATAAAAAGTGACCGTTTTCTGGATAAAAGATTAAGCCTAATACTTCACAAAGAATGTTGGATTGGACAAAATTATGCTTTGTGGCGCTTTTTTTTTTTTCCTTCATATGTAGTCTTGGATGGTCTTTTGCCATGTTTAAGGCAGCTCACAATTTTTGTGTAAAATTGAAAAATAATAATATTTTAAATTATGATAATTGATTTTTTTTTAAATCAATTGTTATATTTAATTTCATCATCATTATTATATTTATATTTAAACATATATTTACATAATTATTTTAATTTTATCATTATATTATAATATTTAATTTTATCGTTATAATAATAACTATTATCATTACTTTTAATTTATTAAAATTAATTTTATCGTCCGTTCGAATAAATCCAAATCTATGCTAAGATTTATATTCGTTGGTAGGAATCCAAATTAGTAGATACAATGCAAAGCCAAAACAAAACATACGGCCCCCATATTGAGACTTGCGTATAATGCAGCCAAGAGCTACCATAAAAGCTAGCCTAGGACCGTAACAAAGCTAGCTTCAAATGTAATCCACCTCCTTTCCAAGGAACAAAAAAATTACCGTTGCAAACACCCAAATTTCATTCTCTAAACAGAGGATTGAATTCATAAATAAATAGAGATTCTTCAACTCAATTAGTTCATATGATAACCATGTCTCTCTTTCTCTTTCTTGCATTATATATATAAGATCCTGAATGCAAATCATTAATCTCAAAAAAAATCCCACATTAAAACATTCTTTACATTTGTATTTCTCTCTTTCATCGTTTCTATTCTTTTACTATTAATGCTATTTTAATGGAGTCTTTCAGTTTCTTCTTATTCTTTTACTTCTGTTTTTTATTCGTTTTTGCTTCTTTCTTCTGTCCTGCGCCGCCATTATCAGTAGCAACAAGCTTGGTCGTCAATGCAACTGCTTCTACAACTAACTCAACAGGGCACCACCATAAGTGGGTCGGACCCATCGGTTACCTGTGGATTACAGTGGACGTTAACGGGTCAGGTCATTTCCGTTCAGTCCAAGATGCTGTTGATGCAGTCCCAGAGAATAATAGAAAGAACGTTCTGATTCAAATAAGCCCTGGATATTACATGTAATACTTCGTTATTTATTGCTCTGCGTTATCTTTAGCCTTCTTATAAGGAGTCTTTAAAGCATCATTATATTCTCAAACATGAAGAAAAAACATTCTTAGAAAATGCTAAACAACAATGTCAAAACATGCTTAGGAGTCTAAGCATAATTATCATTATTTTTTTTTTTTCTGAATGAGACTTGATATAGCGTGGTGGCGTTGCAGAGAGAAGGTGGTGGTGCCAGCGACAAAGCCATACATCACGTTTCAGGGCGCAGGGAGAGACGTGACGTTCATAGAGTGGCATGATCGAGCGTGTGATCGAGGGGCCAACGGCCAACAGTTGCGTACTTATCAAACTGCTTCTGTCACTGTATATGCTAATTATTTCTCCGCTAGAAATATCAGCTTCAAGGTAAATATAAAGCACCGTAGAGCTAAGAATATATACTACTACTTCAAATAATTTCTCTTAAAATTTCCCCAGCAAATCAATAAGCTGAAAGCCAAGGACAAAGTGCAAATAGCAGAGAACTCCCTAGCAGTGGCTCTAAAAACATTAAATGTGCCCTATATTTCTATTATTAATGCTGTATGTAAATTGTATGTATTGGATTTTCTTTTGTTTTTTGAGAACCATCATTTTTGTGATTGATTCTGCAGAATACAGCACCGGCACCAATGCCAGGAATGCATGGATGGCAAGCAGTGGCGTTTCGCATATCGGGCGACAAGGCTTATTTCTCTGGCTGTGGATTCTATGGTGCACAAGACACTCTTTGTGATGATGCTGGTCGTCATTACTTCAAGGAATGTTACATTGAGGGCTCAATTGACTTCATCTTTGGAAACGGCCGGTCAATGTACAAGGTAAGAACATTTTTGTTTTGTTTCATTTTGTTTTTAGACATCTATATATCATCTACAAAAACAAAGATAAAGGGTTTGATCTCGTGACTTCTGATTGAGATTTGCAATGGAGATGATTCCAATGAACAATATGCAACATGTTCAAGTTGATAAAGGAAAATGAAAAGGACGTTGCATTATTCTATATCAAGTCTGACTCTCGTGTCCATGAAGCTAAAAAAGGAAGAGAGCTTTCTCTATCAACAAACGCTTTTGTCTGTCAGAAAGTAGCGGTATGATAAAACAGGGCTGAGAAATACCAAGTAAACAACCGTAGCAAGACTAAGCACTAAAAAGCTAGCAAATCGGGTTAAAATACTTGAGAGCCTGAATTAAAATAGTGGGGTTTGAGATTTTGTCCTTTTTCTCATTTGGTTGTTTGAAACCTCATGGCTTATGACATATCGCAAATTGACCTCTTAAGCCATCTTCATCGAATCAAAGAGCAAACAGCAGCATAATCTGTTTGAGAACCCTCTCTCTCTCCTCTCCTTTCTTTTTCTTTTATAAATTTTTTTGTCAGTGAGTATTTTAGTACAGTATTTTATGTTCACTCATGTAAGGTTTGGTTGCTTGTTCAGGATTGTGAACTGCATTCAATTGCCACTAGATTCGGATCCATTGCCGCCCACGACAGAAACTCACCTGATGAGAAGACGGGCTTTGCTTTCGTGAGGTGCAAGGTGACAGGTACTGGTCCACTTTATGTGGGCCGAGCCATGGGTCAATACTCGAGGATTGTCTATGCATACACTTACTTTGATGACCTGGTTGCTCATGGTGGCTGGGACGACTGGGACCATGTTAGCAACAAAAATAAGTATGTTCCCCTGATTCCCCTCCTATTTTAAAATGCAGACTCAATTTGATCAAATCATTTGTGGAACTCGCATTAATAGTCAAAGTTAGACAATCATCAACAGTTTCAGAATCAACAGAAAGCTGTCTTTTTTTCTCATTTTTCTGTTAGTAGGACCCAAACAAAAGGGGCAAGTTCAGGATTTGATACTCGTTAGTCAATAATCATGAGTGGATGATCCTATTACATTCAACAGTCAAGCAAACATAAAGGCACACATAACAGTAGAAATGATTGTAGTCATATTGGCCAATGCCTTTTTCTGTTTGATCCCTTTGCAGGACTGTGTTTTTTGGGGTGTATAAATGCTGGGGTCCTGGAGCTGCTGCTGTTCGTGGAGTGTCATGGGCCAGGGAACTAGATTTCGACGCCGCCCATCCGTTTCTAGTCAAAAGTTTTGTCAATGGGAGACACTGGATTGCACCATGGGACGCTTAGCCAAAGACAACATACTCTACATTCCAATTCCTTCGGCAAAATTCAATTTTCAATAAGCAATCATCTTTTACATATCGTAATAACACAATGTTCTTTCATTCAATTGATTCTTTAAGATTTAACACATGCTTTTGCATATTGGTTCATATCTGAAAATAAAATGGTTTTATGAAGTGTTCAGTATAGTTAGCAGAAAAATTTTCAAAGAATCGCCAAGCAAATTGCACCCTGAACCTTGGTCATATAACTCATAAACCTCTTTTCCCATAATCATGCATAAGCTTAACAAGAAACTAGGTTCAAAACATTGAGCATGTAATTTCTTCAAGGATTGAATAACTTGGAAGTTAAAAGGCAAGTTACTTTATTTCCCCGAAAGGTTAAAAGAATATCCATTAAATAGAAGGAAACATAGTCTGCAACAGGATATCGCCTCACATTATACAACAGTTTTGCTGTGATTCGAGCATTTCTGGGGATCTGCAAGAGTAAAAGTGTTTGTTAGCTAAGAACACGAGGAAAATGCTCTGTATAACAAAACCAATAACAGAAAAAATTCATCCAACATTAGAAAAGGAAACTACGATCTTTAATCTATGACATTGCCACCGTGAGTAATATCTCAGTCAAGCTAATTTGGAGCAGTGAAAATCCTCAAGTATCAGCTGTCGCTTTGAGGAAGTAAAATCAAGGATTGACCACTTTTTGGTTAGGAGAGCCAACCTAAAACCTAAGGCAGCCCGTTCTACCCCAGTAACATCAGACCTGAGGTCCACAGCACCATCATCATCATCCCAATATTCAGCTGATCAGCAATTCCCAACAATTATTGAACCAAACAATTGATTCCGATTTGAGTTACAGTATGGTGATCCTTTGGAAAACACTTTCCTAGGTCATTTTTTCTTGCCAAATGGCCTTTCACCAAAATTAATTTTCATAAATAAAGGACATGCAGATTAGTAGGTTGGACGAAAACCAGAATATTGCAACTGAATGGTTGGTTTAGATTGCTGCAACAGAAAAAGCACTTACAGCTGGCCAAGATTAGATAAATCAAATTCAGGAGCAATCTCTTGCACAAGATCATTTGGTGGCTGACCACATTCTTGCATTTTTTGCATGAGGTCAACAATCCTGGTGAAGTCATTAGGATCATTTTCATAAACTCCGTTAAGCTCCTTTATCAGTTCATATTGGTGGGAGTATCGTTCATATTCTTCTTTGCTCAAACTGGTTCTATGCTCTTGTAACCACTGTGGGTATCTTTCTCCAATTTCCTTCATGGGTTCATGAAGAATCTCCTTAGACAAAAGTTGTTGCATCATAATCTCCACGATGGATTCCATGTCCTTATCAAAACAAAGAAATAATTAAGTACTTATTCCCTACCATATGCTACTAATGAAACCTAAAACCTAAATAAAGTAAAACATGACTGGGACTATGACTAACATATTAGATGATAAGATATGTTTATGAATAAAGGTATGCCGTAGATTGTTTATATGTATGTATGTATGTTTGAGACATATGCATGACCATGCAAGAAAGCATACAACAATCAGTAACTTATAATGCTACTACCTTGATGCCTCAATAGGCTATATAACTCAAACAAATTTGCAAGTTTCAGATGCAACTCAAATAGTACATGATAAGTGATAACCAATCAAAAGCTATCTATTTTGAGCATATACAACATGCCAGGCTTCCAGCCATGTCAAATTTTACTTCATCATTGGAGTGATGCATACCAAAACACAATGATTTCCTCCTTAAAACCAACCTTTTTCTTAGGGCTTTTGCAAATGCATCCTCCCTTGCAACAAAGCAACAAATGTTTATACCCCCAAAGCCCTTAAACTGAATCTCATGCAATATGTATCAACACATGCAGCACTTTGTTTCAGGTAAAGTTTCTATGCAGTCAGAGTTGGCTTCAGATGGGGTTGGGGGAGGTTTATTGCAAAGTTTTATAAATTTGAGGTACTTCACTGGTTCACTTGGAGCAGATATAGAGGACAACGACGAAAGCCATAGAATGCACAGAACAAAGCAGACAAGATTAAATAAAGCTGGCAAAAGCAATCTTACTACTGATCTTGTCATGTGAATTCTAAGTGTTCCTGAGAGACACCAAGCCACATCCTCCCCCCCCCCCCCCCCCAAAAAAAAAGAAGAAAGAAAGAAGGGAAAACGATAAACAAACTATCTTGATTATCATCTCACAACTAAAAAACAGTTGATAATTCAATGTCCAAGCCAGTAAATCTAACTAAATTAATTCCAAAACAATTAATTGGATAAAATGTTACAAGTTTGGTTCACAAATACTGCAATACAATCTCCTCCAAATATGTAATAATGTGCAAATTCCAACTTAAGGATCAACAAGCACCTGCTTCACTGGTAAAATTTAAAGCTAATGAGCCAAAACTACAACTACAGCCAAAAAACAAACTGAAGCATACAATATCTACCTGACATTCCACAATATAAAAACTACCAGAACAAACAAGTATAAGAGAGATAAACAAAGCCTTAAAAGGAACAAGAAAACATTTAAGAAATATACCTGAGACCCAGCAAGCTCCTCAAACTGCTTGACCCAATCCTCAATCATGGCATCCTTACCAAAATCATCTCCTACAGGTTTCGACATTGATTCCAATCCTTTTACAGTCTCTCTGGTCTGTTCTCTCAGTTTATCAAGAGCCTCTGTGACATGGGACTCCTTTGAAACCTTTTGCTTTCCCTTTTTCTTGCTCTTCAAGTCAGGTAATCCCATTCCTAACCCTTGAACCCCACTTGGTAAAGAACCAGATTCTTGCTTTTTTCCTTCACCATCTCCTTCTCCTCCCCTGGTAAGCAAATACAAAGCTAAATACTCGGAAGAAATTGTAAGAAAAACTCAACCTAGGCAAAGCACCAGAATTCCTATCCAAGCTATCTAATCGAATATCTAGCTTTTGACAAAAAAAAAAAAAAGGTCAGAAAAAGGAAGGAATTTTTAGCTACATATAAAGAGAAATTTTTTTAAAAAAAGATGAAATTTGTCCATGTATACATATAAAAGTACATGTAGACAGAAAGAGGGTACCTTTGAGGAGGAAGGGTAAGGTTGAGATTCTGGAAATCATCCAAAGCACCTGAAAAAAGGTTCAAATTTCAGAGTTTTTTTTTTGTCCAATAAATTTCAGAGGTTTAAGAAACAGAAGATTAAGAAAAAAATAAGGCAAAGATTTTAGACAGAGAAACATACTATCAAGAAGTTGGTCTAAATCATCAGAGTGGTCTGCCATTTTTTCTATCAGAAACTTCTAATCCTCTGCTTTTCTATATATAGTTAACGTTAAAGTAACGATTTTTGGTTTTGTTTTGTTTTGAGAGAATCTGGATTGAGGCGAATAAGAATGGAAGAGCAATCAGGCGGTGCAAAGTGCAACCGACATGGGTTTTGGGTAGGATCAAGAACCAACGGTTCAGATTGCTGGAAACCGTTGACCTGACATTCTGGAGTTTGTCTTTCTTAAGTTTTGTACTATGAAAATGATAAAAAGACAAACACTAGTAAATTCTAAAGTCTATCTCAAAATATCTACTTCCATTCTTTATTTCCGAACTTGGAAGGATGATAATAAATAATGATATCTTCAAAATTATTTGTTTTCTCAAAAATTATATAATTTTTTTTAGAAAATGACATTAATTTAAAATTGATTATTTAAATTAATATAAAATTCTATATAAATTATACACACATATTCAAATTGTTTTACGTGAGGAGCTTATTTAATAGAAAACAAATAGGTCGAAAGAGCTCAGATTTTTTAAGTAAAATTTTAATTTTAAATTTTATAAATAAAAAAATAAATTTAAAAAATTTATTTTTTTTAGATCTAATTTAATTTAATTTTAAACTAATCAAAATTTAAAATAATTATCAAACATTAAAAAATCTCAAACTAAAAAATATATTACTCATCGATACATAAAATAAGTGAAATCATGTTTTGCATTAAATAAGCTTTTCAAGTAAAAAATTTTGGATGTGTATGAATAATTTATGAGATTTTACGTTAACTCAAATCAATTAATTTTAAGTTAATGATTTGTTTTATTTTTAAAAGAAATATACTCGTTTCTTTTCAAAATATTTGAAAAATATTAATTTTTATGGAGTTAAATTTTTTTATTTTAATATATTTAATATTAAAATTAATTATTTAATAAAATTAAAATTTTATGTTTTTTAATGTTAAAAATTAAAAAAATTATGAAAAATAATTTAAAAACATAAAAAATAAAAATTTTAAATATAAAAAAATATAATTATGAGATACCAAAAAAAAATAGCGAAAAGAAATAGGACAAAAGAAATATATAAGTTTTTGAAAGCTCAAATTTATATTTTTAACTTTTTGGCCAATATTATATTTTTTAATTTAATAATATGTACTTATTACATTACGGGTTTTAATTGAGAAAAATAAATAAATAAACGGTCAAGATGAAGATTACGTTAAAGCCACAGCAGCAATTAAACAGCACATTCCAAGCCAAAGAAGGGGTAGCAAAAATGGCGGCCGGGGCTGCTGCTGCTGCTGCAGCGGCTTTAGCACCGGCCGCTCCTCTCCGGTTCAAGCCCTACTCTACTGTCTGTATACTTTCCTTCTATTCCAAAAACCTAACATCTCGTAGCCTTTTCCCGCCAATTCCTCGCCGGCCGTTCCCATTCCACTCATCCATTCCTCGGAAACGATGCTTCCTCTCCGTTATTTCCGCAGGCTACAGTCCGGAGAAAGGACAAAAACGGAATTCCAAGAAAAGAAAGTCGGCGAAACGAGGAATACAGTGGGCGAGTTTAGGAAGAAGCTCAAAATCGCCCACATCAAAGGAGGACCCGATGAAGGTTTGGATCGGGTCGGCCAAACTATGGTGGTTATGGGTTGGGTACGGACTCTTCGGGTTCAAAGCAGCGTTACATTCCTTGAGGTAACAATTAAATTTTTTTTTTCGTTTCCTTTTGTTTTCAATTAATTAAAATTGATGATTTTATATTTTATAGGTAAATGATGGTTCATGCCTTTCAAACATGCAATGCGTGATGAATTCGGACGCTGAAGGCTACGATCAAGTACTGCCAAATCGAATAATTATGCTTATCCTTTCTTATCCATGAAATTGAATTAAAAAGTTCTTTCTTTTTTAATTTGTTTCAGTTTCTTAGCACTTTTTTATAAGTATCCAATCCCATTCGATTTGCTGTGCAAAGTTAAAATCTCAAATTTTTATTTGGGATATGTCTTTGTTGATATAGTAGCCAATTATTTACGTGTTCAAGCTTGTAGGTGGAATCTGGCTTGATTTCTACTGGTGCATCTATACGGGTGCAAGGGACTTTGGTGGCTAGCCAAGGATCAAAGCAGAAAGTGGAATTGAAGGTTGAAAAAGTTGTTGTGGTATGTTAAACTCCCCCTTTTGTGTTGTTGAAAGTTTATTATTGTGATATGTAGGAGTTTATCCATCCATTTTTCCTTGAGAATTGACTCAAGCGTTCTGCATCTGCAAGCTGTTGAAGTTGCTGTAAGGAATCAGAAAATTTTTTAGTTTTTTTGGACTTAAATTTAGGAGAGAAAAAACAGTTGTTAAGTTAATAAATTTCACCCATCATGCTGCATTATACATTGTATTTCGTGATTCCTCTCCTTTGAGAAATGACAATGAGTGTGTGTATTACATTAATGTTACTGCATGTTCCTCTCTTGGGTCATTATTTGAAACTTCTCTACCAAATTAAACATGAAATTTAAACTTCTAGTAGCATCTTTGTACTAATTGCATGCATTTTTTTTGGCAGGTTGGAAAAAGTGATCCTTCCTATCCCATTCAAAGAAAAGGGTCTGCCGAGAATTTTTGAGAACTAAAGCTCATCTTCGTCCTAGAACAAACACGTTTGGTGCGGTAGGGTTCTGCTGCTTGTCACAATCATCTCTAGTTACTGTTATATTAATTTATTTATACTGTTGCCATAATATGTGGTAGGCATTTGGTGTGAAATGGTTTGTTTACTGTGTTTCTGGTTTTCTTTTTCTTTTTTTTTTTGGTTAAATGATTGCCTTTCAAATGAGGCTATGGTAATTTTAGTTGCTTGTTTGTTTATCTATTTTGAGTGTTCTCTTTTAATTTTACAACTTCCTTATAGGTTGCACGAGTGAGGAATGCTTTGTCTTATGCAACGCATAAGTTTTTCCAAGAAAACGGTTTTGTGTGGATCTCAAGTCCTATCATTACAGCATCAGATTGTGAAGGAGCTGGTGAACAGTTCTGCGTTACTACTTTGGTATGAACCGTAGCTATAAAGACTTTAGTTTCTTTTTTCCTAATAGCGATTTTGTTTTTCTTTTTAGGTTATAGTAGTTTAAATGTAGTCCATGATTCCGTATTACTTTAAACAACTTTGCATGTGTAGAGTTAAGCTCTTATTGTCTATGTATATATTTGGAACATCTAGGCTTGAAGGGAATATGTTCTTATTATATTTTCGGTTATTTTCTGGCTTTCTTATTGTATTGTTGATTCCTATCTCCTTGGAATGGTTTAGACTATACAGGTTCGTTGAGTTAAATATGTAATCTCACAGTGCATGTTAAGGTTTCAGTAAGAACTCATTATCAATTATGGTACAATCATGTTATGGCTTTTCATATATCATTATGATTCATAAAGTTTTTCTTAATTGATAGATTCCAAGCTCCAAAGAAGCCGCTGATTCTCCTCTGAGTGCCATTCCAAATACAAAGGATGGATTAATTGATTGGTCACAGGTGACATAGATTTACTTCACTTTGTTTCCAATACTACTAACTATATCTAATCCCTATTCAAAATTTTTAACCTTTAATAATTGAAAATGCTTACTTTTGCATTTCAAGGCTCTTCAAATGCAGAGAGACAGCCAACTGTATGTGGTTTTATAACTTACTTGGCTCCATCTGTCATCTATGCAATTACTGAATTGGTTCATAAGACATTTCTCTGGAAATGTACTAGTAAACTTTTCTTGTGCTGCGATTTTGTCATTGTCTATCTGTCTTTATGTCTGAAATTACATTGGATGCTGTTTGCAACTCTAAAAAATCACTAGTGTTTTGAATGCCACTAATGTAATTCTATTGTCCTGTTTTCATGTGTCAGGATTTTTTTGGCAAACCAGCGTTCTTGACAGTTTCAGGCCAACTTAATGCTGAAACATATGCTACCGCTCTTTCGGATGTATACTTCTTCTGCTTGTTCTCATATTAATTCAAAATGGGGAGGTAACCAATTGAGAAATAACACAGTACTAATACTTTGTCAGGTGTATACATTTGGACCCACATTTCGAGCTGAAAACTCGAACACATCTAGGCACTTGGCTGAATTTTGGGTAAGCATTCTTAGTTTAGACTTGTAAATTTGTAACTTTCTATTCAACTTCACATCCTTGTCCTTTTCTTGTGCATTTGACCCTTGCCTTACTAAACATCGTCTCAGAGAACTTATTTTTCTCTTTATTTAGATGATTGAACCAGAACTTGCTTTTGCTGATCTGAATGATGACATGGCTTGTGCAACTGCATATCTCCAGTATGTAGTATGTTACTTTTCACATTTATTTTTGAATTCGTCTCTCTGTTTTCTATACAGTCAGAAGCTCATAGGCACACATTGAAATTCTTTTGTGGTACCTTTCGGAGTGAATTTGCTGTAACATATACTGTTTTCCATGAAAGGTGAGACACGTGCTTGATAATTGCAAGGAAGACATGGAATTTTTCAACACTTGGATCGAGAAAGGGATCATTAATCAACTGAATGTATGAGCTCTATGTGTATCTTAACCTTAACTTTTCTTCTGAACTAAGCTGGGTGGGGTTATTACACATTACATGATCTTCTAGATTTTGACTACCCCTTCTATTGAGTTTAACACCATTACTGGTAATGTTATTGTACTGATATGTGGGTTACTTATATTTGATTAACAGGATGTGGCTGAGAAAGACTTTGTGCAGTTGACTTATACTGATGCCTTTGAACTTCTTATAAAAGCAAATAAGAAATTTGAATTTCCGGTATTGCATGTTTATTTTTTGTTCAAACCTTAATAAATATATTTTCTTGTATTACTCTTTTTTTTTTGTTAATTCATTGCTGGTTAGAGGTCAATCCCATAGTTATGATTTGAGGCTTCATTTGTTGTTGTTGTTGTTGCTGGTTAGAGGCCAAGATAACCATTTTCTGGTCATGAATATAACCATGCTTACATTTGTAAGTGTTAGCCATGCCTTTCATACATAATATTGTCATGAGCTTGTATGAATAGTTATGTCTATTGAATATTTCTGACCCTTGGTTTCTTTTGCAGGTGAAATGGGGATGTGATTTGCAAAGTGAGCATGAACGTTACATAACTGAAGAGGCATTTAATGGGTGCCCTGTTATAATCAGGGACTATCCAAAGGCATGCAATTTGTCTCTCATCACTCTTCTCTATGTTGGGATTTTTTTTGTTACCGCTGTGTTTAATGCCTGAAGTTCTTTAATGTAAATTCTCACGAGATCAAGGCATTCTATATGCGGCAAAATGATGATGGGAAGACTGTAGCAGCGATGGATATGTTGGTACCTCGGGTAATTATTATGTTTCTTCATTTATGGTTGCCAACAAATTTGTTATGAATCATAAGTCCATATTACTATATTTTTGTCACTGTATATTCCAATGGATAAGTTTAGATGCTGTATGTGATGCTCCTTTTTTTTTATACAAACTTATGTGATGCTCTTCTATAAGAATGTTATTGTTATATTCTTTTCCTTAGTTGGCGAGTTCATTGCAGTTACTTTTCTCGTTTACATTTTGTTAGGTTGGTGAGCTCATTGGTGGAAGCCAAAGGGAAGAAAGGCTTGATTATCTGGAAAATCGTTTAGACGAGCTGAAGCTTGATAAGGATAGCTTCTGGTGGTATCTTGATCTGCAGCGTTATGGTTCAGGTTAGAGATCCTTCTCATAAACTGTTACAATAGCTGCTGTGCCCCCGAGAATAGTTCAATTTCCACAATTTACTATCCTTTTCTCTATGTAATTTCTATCTTCTTAGTCTTGTAAGTTTTTTTTTTTTTATGTGCATGAAATTAATACAGGTCACTTATCTTTGGGGTACTAAAAAGTGGTTTTGGATCACCTAGTCAACGTGCCCTTAACGGTATGGGTTAAAGGCCTTTATAAGTGGTAGGGGCAGGTCAAGAATGTCATTTTTTGGTCATGTTTAGGACAGAATACATATAGGGTTTCAACCACTCTGCATCCACATAATCTCAACACTATATTAACAGGAATTTTCGAAGTCTAAGGTGCTTAATTTTTCTTAAATGTTACCTGTTGGTTTCGTTTTCTTTTGTTGAAACAACATTTGCTTAGAATGTGTGCTAACACAGGCCATTCAATTATAGAGAAGGGGAAGGTTCCCCTAAATACTATCAAACAAGATCCAGACATGCAGGATGGTGTACGAATGTACTGTATTATATGCACACTAAGGATTACATTAACTGATGATATAGATTCAACTCTATCATTATTTTCTTGAATGGTCAAGCCCAGCAGTAACTTCACCATTCCAAAGAAAAAAAAAATTGGTAACTAGTTTTAGAATGCACCCTCCACAAAGTGCTTGAGGGCCCAGCCTGGTAATTTCTTCATGGCATTACCCAACTTGAATTTCTTTCACTCTGTCTAGATTCAGTTGCATAGCAAGGCAATATCAACTCCAACCTCTTAGACTTATATTATGGAGGGGTGGTGAACTGATTTGTATGTTGTAGAGGTGAAGTGCGAATGGAGTCGTGGAAGAAAAATTATTCTCAGGGTTTTTGTGTAATGACTATTAAATTCCATTTACCATCATAAAATCCTCTTTTAGGATATGGCATCATAACCTATTGATTTATCCTTTGCCAGTTTCTCATGCGGGCTTTGGACTTGGCTTTGAAAGACTAGTGCAGTTTGCCACTGGAATTGAGAATATAAGAGATGCAATACCTTTCCCAAGGACTCCTGGTTCAGCTGAATTTTAATGTTGCAGCTAATTTAGAATTTTCTCTTTTTTTTTTTTTTTTCTCTTTCAGCAGTTTTGAGGTTCTTTCTTTTCCTTCCTCGATACAGTTTTTATACTAAAGTCTGGAGCTCCCATCTCCGTTTGACATATATTTTTGTAAATAAAAAAAAAGGTTATATTGAAGTTTATTATATTTAAAAACTGAAATTAATTTTGTTGTAAAATAAATTGACAATAAAATTAATATATAAGTGCATTCTCATGTTTAAAACTATTATTTTATCTTGGATTATATGGAGTTATAAATGTATTGCACCATATTTTTAGTTTAGATCCAGACACGACATAAATGTGAAACTTGCAATTCGAGTTAGGTATCTTATTTGGCCAACCGCTTCCCACATTCCTCGTAATGTATCTTCTTTAGTTAGCAGAAACTCTTCGGGAAAGTGGGAACAAAAGTACTAGTAATACTCTACTTCCACAAGTTTTCTTAAATCACAAAAGCAATTGAAGGTAAAAATTCAAATTTTAGTTTCATCTGGAAAATCCAACAACTCGTTCATATATAGGCATTGCTAGCAATACAAAAGAGCAAACATCTTATTTTTGCAAATCAGTACACTATCTTTTTCCCCTCGAGGATCCCTTTGCATCTTTCTTCTAATCTTTCACCTCAAGACAATATTTCTGTTCTTCAACAAATGAACAAATGACTGTACAACGGTGCCTGCTCAGGCTTTTTTTTTTTTTTTTTTTTTTATAGTTTGTTTTTTAAAAAGCTTCTTGAACCCTGTGACATACAGATGAAATCTGATAATACAACTAAATAAGCAACTGAATTTCAAAATACAACTAAAGAAAGGGTAAAGAGGCCAAGAAGTTAAGCGGAAAAGAAGATAATTTTTGTTTCCAAACCAGTTATGGTGCATGCTGCCATTTTGACGTATACTTGAAAGATGCAGGAACTGGAATATCATGAGTATGGAATTTGATTGCTGGTACAAAACTTTGATATTTACATCTTGACTAACTCTTGGCTCAAAGTTCCACCTCATGTAGCTCATCCCCAAAACTACCATTCATTGGAGCAGGCATAAACGAAGATGGGAATGCCTCCCCAAAAGGTCTGATTTCAGCCTTATTAGGGGGACTTAATGCATTACCAAAGTTGCTTCCACTCCATGAGGCTGTTCGTCGTGAGTGAGGTGAAAAACCATTGGCATTTGTCATAATGCCTTTCTGAGAAATATTATCCATGCTAGAGAACCTTTGCATAGTCATTGATGATGAAGGCGTGGGAGATTGATAAGACTCATTGGCATTGGATGTTGTAGGATTGTTACTAGTTGTATCTTCTTCTAGTGCATTTTCTGCTATTACCTCCATTGTTTGTTCACTCGTTGATGCAGGTGTGGGAATAAAGAACTTTGCATTTGCAGCCACTGCAGGTTTAACAGAGGGAACAGCAGGTGATTGAAATAAGTTGGCTTGGCCACCACCACCTTGGTTGAAAGTGTCCACATACCTGTCAAGAGTTCATAATACCATAAAAAAGGGAAAACAAACGAAAAATATAAATATTATTCTCTTGGTTTCAGAAGTAACACAACAAAGACAAATAAAACATTCAAACCAAAAAATTTTTGCTAATTTCACCAATGACAGTGATCTGGGCATTTTTATATGCTTATGAATTCTCAGATGCTTTCATGGTCATTTAAATCATTATTTCTTAGCTAGTTGTTACCCTTTTCCTGGTAGGAAGCTAGTTATTACCTAAGTCTAAATATTTTCTACCTTATCTCACTTTCAACATTCTTTCCTTCTTATCCTTTTTCCACCAAGTTTGCTCCATAGCATCATTTAAATGCAACAGTGGGAATTGCAAAAAAAGTAAAACTTCAGAAGTACCTTGCTCGAACACCCATTCGTCCACGAGCAGAGAATTGATTGGAGCTGGAAGGAATAGGCGGGATCCCAGAAGCATGTTCTATTGGGGTTGGATTTCCGAATGTTGGGCTCCCATTAGGGGGAGACCCCTCCCTCTTCAATGCAGAGTTCAAGTTGTAGTCAGACATTCCATTCTGGAATGCTGCAGTGGTTGGAGGTGGTGGCAAGGCCGCTTCTTCAGCTGGAGGTTCAGCACCTTCCTCCACCCATCTCCTAAGTTTTTCATCATAGTAGAATTTGTTCTTTTCACCCAGCTTAGCCTTCAGATAACAATGGAAATTAAATTAAATCAAACAATTTGTGTATCAAGAGTGATTATCCATGCTTCTTCAACAGAAAACTAGGAAAAACTAGAGCAACATGAAAATAATAACATTAAGAAAAAGGAACTACCTGTTTATCTGGGCGAGGCCTTAAGACTAACCCCACAGTCTTCTGTAAAAGCTGTGAGCCAAAACCAAAACGAGCAAAGCGAGATGCCCCAACTGAGCCCGATGATTTGCCTTGAGCAGTGGATGCTCCTGCTTCCTTTGATGAATCAACCTGACCCCATCAAATATCAGGAAGACCTCATTAACTTCATTCAAGGTAAGATACACAAGCAGTTAGCAGCAAATATAGGTTCTTCAAGTGGAGATAATTGTGAACCTGTCTTGGAGTTCTGCCGAAGTCTGGCTCTGAAACACTTCTATTATGCATCGTCACTTTGCCATCAGCCCCCCTGCTTGCCCAATCACTTATAGGCTCCATTGAAGCAGAGGACATCAACGATGACATGGCCATTGTTGACTGGCTAGCTGATACTCTTGGCCCAGTTTGTTGGTGGAAAGGATCATTACCTTGAGAATTTCCATTTGATGCTGAAGGACCAGGTGGTGGTAGACCTCCCACAACACGATGAGCCGTGCTGTCAAAAAAGTTTAGCAATTTACCAACTAATTTTGCTGGAGCCAAATTTGCAGCATATCCCCCCTGCAAGATGAAAACAAGCACGATATGATCAGAGAAAAATATTGATTGGAAGCTAAATTGAGAAGCTAAATAGTTACCTGTTGATGGATTCTTATCCTGTCCTCAAGAGAAAAAACTAATTGTTTCCAAGTTTCTACCTCAGGCGCTCGACCAGTTTTCAGAGATTTTAATACGGCTTGACAGTACCTGAACTACCATTGTCAAGTTAACAAAATTGAAGGTAAAACACGTTCAGAAATCAAATGCAAACAACTTAAATATGCTTACTTCAACGAATCTGAAACCTTTCCGACTTCAGCCAGCATGTGTGCATATATAAGCTTGTATGGCTGAAATGGTAGCAGGATAAACTGAGAGTTTCCCAATACCTTCGAATATTCATATAACTCAGTCCTCTGAGAAAAAAAAAAAAAAAAGAAAAGGTTAAAGGCATAATTGACAGGCAATATCTTAAAAATTACACATTCAGGACAAAATAAGAATCTTGACCATCCATGGACAGCCGAGATTAGGGTATTATATACAACCAGTTAAACAACAGACACATTTACCATTGAAACAACAAATTTCATGAGGGTAATACATATGTATGTATGCGTCCATGTGTGTGTGTGTGTACTTATAGAAAGAGAGATGCTGAGAATGAATTTTCATTTACCAACCGAGAAAAAGCAACCCTCAACTACATAATGTAAATTAAAACAGTAAAGAAGTGCTTAAACGCGGGTAAACATGATAAATAGTTTTCCAGACTTCTATAAATTAGACAATGACACAATTATTAAGGGTCAAATAAATTTGTAGAGCACCTGGATAGCCTCTGGACTAGCATAGGTTCGGGGAAACTTCCAGTGATCTGCTCCAATAAGACAAAGTCTAGCACTATCCGAATATGACTCAAAGTTTGCTTCCGCAACTAAATAACAGATGTGCGCTGCAGTTATCTGAATTAAAACTCTCAAGTAAGAGCCTAGTTATAAACATCAAGATTAAGCAAATAAGCTAGAGCGTACTATCAAAATGGAAAAAAAATGAAGCTAGAGGAAACAACAATGTACCTCACTTCTTTCTTTCCAAAGACAATCTCCAAGATGAATAATTACAAGCTCATCATCTTTGGTTCTGTTTGCAGTTATTACAGCCAAATTCTCTTCCCAATCATCAAGCATGCGATTAGCCCCTAACTGCCCACAAAAAAAGACAAGCAAGGGAATTCAGTTTCCTATGGCAAAAGTATTCCTATTAAAATTATTCAAACATATGGACATCAAATGAGAAGAAACAAAATGACATATAATAGGGGCAGTAGCTAAATGAAGCATGAGTTCTCCACAACTAAGGTATTCTTCTTGTCAAAAATATTGCATGATCATTCCCAAAAAAAAAAACATACATGTAACAGAAGCATCAAAAGTGTATGAAATACAATCCCTTTAACCTATGTAATTTTTCTCATTGGTAACCACTTCACCATGCTGGCATTTTTTTTCTTAAATCTCTTACTAAAGAATCCTCAAATACACCAGAAAAATGATCAGTCCATATTAGTTGTGTTAATAAAGTAACCCTTTTCGATAGGCTCTTTTCCTTCCTGATAAATAACCATTAGAATTGAATTTCATGCACCAATGTCTCACCTGTGCATGCTGTTGAGACATACCCATGCTATTAACTTTGGTGCCCGTGGAAAAAACTTCTGCTGGTTGCCCTGCAATTAGCAGGCATAATGTCCGTAAAGGAGAACCTGCTACCAGCTGATGAAGTGCCATTTGCTTCACAGTATCAACATAGAACTGCAATGAAGACAAAAAGGTTAAGAGAGAGATCACAGCTTCAGCTAAAATCTTCCTTGAACATGAAAATCAGAATAAGTCTGCAACAGACAATTCCATGAAACAGAAAACAAACCTGATCACCAAGTTGTGATGCAAGAACAAGTGCAGGTCCCCACAACTGACCTTCTTGCGCATGCTGTAGAGCCTCTTTCTTTCTACCAGACACCAGAAGATTCTGCACCTCAAAAACGGTTGCCTAAAACATACATTAAAATTAATTTAGAAAATAAGATAAACAGCATGTATTAGTGACAATTGTAAAGTATAATTGATGGCTAACCCGAATTTGTCCTTCAGAAGGCAATTGCTGCAAGCACTGGCTAAGAGCACCATAGGGTGCGTCCTTCCTCTTTGCAGATGCAAAGAGTTTAGCAACTGCTGATTCTGGATTATCAGTCTCCTATCAATATGTACATGCCAATAAGAATGAAATACAATATAACAAGCCAAAAAAACCAAAGAAGAATAACAACATTCTCATTTTGCTCTGTTAAATCTCAATAAACCTCAGAAGATCAGTTATTTCTTCAATTGTGTGCTAGAAAGCCTAAGAAAATCAAACTGAAAAAATTCCAAGACAAGCATCTTCACAAGATACAATTAGAGTTTAAAAAATGAAAAATTTAAGGAAAGTGAAAACTCATTGCTACAAAAAAAAAAAGTTAAAATGATAATAAAAGTATTTACCTTCAACAGAGTGTCAGCACCAAAAGGAGACCGAAGTTTTCCATAATGCTGGCAAGCTATTTTAAGCAATGAGAGAAGCAGCCTCAAAACTTCACCTTTTCTGTAGTCCATGTCAGGTGATTCATAGCTGGCAATTCTGTCATCAATCCACTTGTTCAACTCTTTACTACCTACATTTCCACCAACCAATGGACCAGGGAAGGATTGCTGGCAGAGAGTATGAAAATAATCACAAGCTGCTAGTGCAGCACCAGAAACGTTTGTATTTCCATTGACAACTTCCAATAAATTGAGAACAGAGATAGAGGTGCCTACAGAATCCTTCAAACAAACACAATCATAAAACATTAGCATTTAGAAAAACAAACATTAGAGCAAAAGCATTTCATTTTTAGTACTTAAACTAAATAAAGGCTTCCCTTTCTCTCAACCTTCAATCAAGAAAGATTTTCTTTGCTGGAAGTTAAAACAACAGACATAACCACAGAGAATCTATTTCTTACTTTCAATAGCTTCTGCCAAACAAAGTAGATCTTTTTATAAATGAACAAATATATAAAGTCGAACCTGGGTACCATATGACGAGTTTTGCAGAGGACTACTATCTTTCATTACTATGAGTTTTCCACCAAATCCAAAAGTAACAAGTGCATGTGGAGGACGCCCAGCAGATGATCTCCCAGTGTTGGAAGCATAAGGAAACTGCTGGCTACTCTGAAGCGGCTGCTGGGAAACATTTAGAGAATTCTGGCCTCCATAGAAATCATTTGAGAAATGCATCTGTTCATTTTGCTTCAAATTTGTCTGATTAAACTGGTGGTTGAAGTTTTCACCAGGAACAAAGCTTCTTAACCCAGTAACACCATTGGCCTCAGTATGAACCTGATTAGCATTATTGAGTGACTGGACTTCGTGCAGAGAATTATAGGATGAGTTGAAGTGACTTGCATGGTTGTTTACAGGCATATTAGAACCAAAAGATGTATCAAATTGCTGGTTTCCAGCAAAGCTTGAAACTTCATCACTTTTGGCAACAGTCCCAGGTTGCCACATATTCAAACCTGAACTGTTATAATTACCATAGGAGTCTCCCCAATTACCATGTTCACCAGGGCTTCCAAGGCCTTGTGACCCATAATTATCAACTCGTCCATATTCACTATACACACTTGAACTTTTACTTTGAGAATGTCCAACGCTAGAAGCAAATCCATTCTGATTTTGCTGATCATGACCTGGAACCGTTGACTGAACAGAGGCATTGTAGCTCTCCAACGACCTCCATTCTTGAGCAATTGTGTCATAATACCAACCAGGGTATTGAGGGTCAAAAACCATATGTTCTGGATACCCATCATTCACCTGTGAAACCTGATTCCAATTTGCCACACCCTCCGTGGCACCACTCTTCTCAGTTGTCATAGTACCTGCAACAGACTGAACTGACTGCTGCAAATAAGAAACCCCCGCTTTCACATTGGTGGTTCCACTGCCATCAACACCTGAACTCTCATAACTCCCTTGAAGGTTCCCCTCGTAACCATTCAGCTGATACCACTGACCTGTATTTGCATCATACTTCCATCCCGGATACATATTCTCCCAGTACCGAATGCTATTCAGATCTTGCACATTTCCATTATCAGCAGTAGAAGCTCCATAAACTTGGCCACCATCATGATTCTGCCCGTAACTATTAACCAAATTCTGATCTAATACACTTGTTTTCGCATTTTCATCCACATGGAAATCCCCTGTGGAATTCTCCCCTAAATCATTGAAAAAATCGGAGTATGAACCGGACCCATGCACCCCATTCTCGCTAGAATCCGCATAAAACGAATTCCACCCTACTTCCTTAACCCCAGAATTCATAGATCCACTATTCTCACTTAAATTCGGATAGAATCCAACTTCTGATCCCGCACCTTCTTCCCCATGATTATTCGTTTGCATCACACTACTATCAAACCTTGGTGAATCATTACCATCATCATCTGCGTGTGCATTGGCCGGTGCTGCACCAGCATCCACAGCATCTTTTTCCTTTTCATCATAATTGTCAGCCTTGCCGGAACCTTCTCCGATAGTTAAATTCGCGAAGGCGCTGGCGTCGTCGAATTCGTTACCCTCCCTGGATTTACGGGCGGTAGGGCCCATGTTGTCATCATCATCATCAACTAACTTGTCGAAAAAATCTTCATCCGTCTGATCCTCCACCTGGACTGGAGGATTCGAAGCCATCGACCAAATGAGAAAAAAAAAAAACCTAACGATCTAATAACTAAAAGAAAATGCTTTACTGTAATTTACTCCGGAAAATTTCACGAAAAATAAATTAATTAAGAAATATCTTCTGAATTCGAGCTGAAACGGTTAAGCAGACATCGAGATCCAACAGATAAACGCCCGAATCAGATGAAATACAGGAACCAAACGAGCAAGATCTAGGGTTTTTGAGATCTCTGGAATCCTAAGACCAAAAATTCCGGTAAAAAAATTGTTAAAAAAATTCACAAATCGAGGCAAAACATAAACTGTTAAATTAAAAAGAATAAGAGAAACCTAATGACAATAGAAACAGAAAACACTTACAGAATCAGATGGAAATTTGCAGAGATAAAATTAGAAGTGAGAAAGAGAAGCGAAGAGAGAGGGTTCGATTTCGCACCAGCCACCCAACAAGAGAGAGAGAAAGGAGAAAGAGCGAGAGATTTGTTTTTGTTATATTTTTTTTGTTTAATTTATTATTATTTCTATTTTCCTGATTTTTGTGTTTTTCTTTTTTAATTTTACCGCCAGATATAAGAAAGATAGTCATTATTTTTACCGCTTCCACTCGAATTTGTTAATTAATTTTTTTGACCAATCAGTTTGTTAATTAATTACTGCTAATAATTACCGTCTATACAGTAAAAAAATTATGATCGAATCTACTTTTTGTGTTGTCCTTTTTCCTTATCTTCTCCGAAAGAAAACATGCGTGAATTTATTTATTATAAATTGTAAATTAAAAACAAAATTGATATGTAATTGTAATGAAGTGCAATTTTTTTTACCAACGAGTTATCATTGAAAAAGTATATTTATATTATATAAAATATTAAAATTTATATAATTATATTATATTTTATATAAAAAATATATATTATAATTTATATCAATATCAAAATATAAAATATTTTTTTATTAAATCTTTAAATAATTATTATTAAAATTTTAAATTATATCATTTTTATATTTTATTTTAATATTATATTTATAATATATTATTATATTATATTTTAAATTATCAAATTTAAAAAACAATAACACTGTTATTGAATTGGCATAAAAATAAAAGGACACAAATTTTTTAAACATTTTCCCTCCAAAGTAAAATATTAATAATTAATGGTAATTGATGTTACGATCAAAGTGATTTTTTCTTTACCTTAAAAATGAAAGTTAAAAATTTTTTTTGATAATTTTCAAAAGTAAAAACTGCACTTTCAACGCCACTATAATTTAGTTCATTCTCCTTGGACACTGGTAAAAAATAAGTAAATAAATAAAATGGTTCTTGTATTTTTGCAATAATTAATCATTCGATTTGGATCTAAATTTTTTTTTTTAATCTGAACTGTCTTGGCTTGTCTTATATTGTTTTTGTTTTTTATAGCATGCAAATTTGATTTTTGTGCATAAGATTTGAATATCAGTCCAAGCTCATAATTTTCAAGCCCAGTGAGCAAAAGCAATGACCCAAGCCAAAGTCCATTTTCATATTTGTCAACGCGGCAAGCCAAGGTTTACCATTTGTTCTTTGATGTGAGAATGAATAACTGCCAATTTGGCTTACTTTTTCTTGTTTGAGCGGCAGAGCTTTGGCAGTGTAATTACACTAATAAATTCATATTTTTTGATAAATCCATGCATATATATATAACTCTGAAATTGAACGAAAAGACTAAAAGATTTGCAAATAACACAATGTAGACATCTTGCTTAAGTAATTATCACTTTAATTTAAGTTTCCGGCATCGGTGCCTTTCATTTTTGCCGGAAATTGTCCGTTTGTCAGCAGCTAAAATGTGGACCAAATCCACTTAAACGATCATCCAAATCAATCTGCTTCACCCAGTTCAAAAAATATCACTTGTCTTTCTAATGGGTTTTTTTTTTTAAAAACTTTTTTATTTGTAAATTCCAATTATTCTATCGTCTTAGTTGGTAATTGGGATTGGTGAGAGCTATAAGCATCTCATTCCTGATTCCCATGCATGCGCCTGACCAAAACAGCGGATTACGCCATCCGTTTGCCAAAAAAAATTGAGGGCCTCGAACATTTTTTTATGCATTTGGGGCTCAACTCTCAAGCCAGCATTAAGGTCTAGATTGGAAAGTTGGGCCTTCGTGCATCACTTTTTTTTTTTAGTTTGGGCTAGCTTCGCTTTGTACTTCCAACATATGGGAAGGTGGGGTCGGAGGAACAAAGTTATCAGTAATAATAAATAATACAAATAGGGTCAATGAAAATCGACAAAAATGTTAAGGAGCGGATGCTAATGCATCCATGTTCGAATCTTTTTACGGTCTCTTGTCTCTTGTTGATAAATGATTTATAAATTCAAAAAAATTCATAAATAAAAATTCAATAAATTTGTAAATTCTAATTAAATTAGTGATTTATTTTGATTTTACAGACGAGACAACTTTCTCTTAAAAAAGAAAAAAGAATTCATAACTTTTTCTCTTGCCTTTGAAGTGATTCAAGGTGACATTAGGACTTTCAACATCATGTCACTTTTCTATCATTATGAATTTGCTCTGAAGGAGCTATCATGTAGCCATTGTTATTGCAGTATTTATACATGGATAAATTAAATTGTTATACAATTGTTAGAGCATCTTGATTCTTGACTCGATTATATATCAAACTTTTTTCATGCAATGAAGTTGGATTGTTGATTTTTTTTTTTCCCTCTAGCATAGAATGAGAACCTGGGAGTGGGTTCTAGGCTGTGAAGAGTCCATAATCATGAAATTATGTTGTCAGAAACCTATCATTTGAAATTCAGCTGTCAGAATATAAATTTCTAATCAACATGCTTTAATTTGGAAACAGTGTTCTTCACAAAACCCACAAAAGTAGAATACAATAATAATTACTGCTCACCATGCTCAACCAGAACAATTTTGTTTTCTTTAAATTATAATGAGTTCAGTAATTTTGAACCTTTTATCTATGATTTAACGACCATCAAACTTTGTGGTTCTATTTGTCTAGTTGAAGTCCTATTGTTGTCAAATTGATTACGCTGCTGGAGGACACACCTACTTTTGAAGAGGCAACCACTTCCCACACCTACAAGGCAAGTGGATTGGGAATTTAAGTACTTGTAGTGTGCAAGGATGGTCTATAAACTATCATACTAAAAAGGTTTAACTCTTAATCAATACGATAGAGCAAAAAGAGGAGACCAATTTGTGCAAAACTTCTGCACATTTATTTTGAAGCCATCAATTTGTTATTGCCATGCTTAAAAAGTGGGGGCCGGCTACAAGTACATCTTCCTTCAGCTATTATTTTAGGCTTTGGTTTTAAAGTCCAAGCGGTGGATGAGCAAATAGAAGGCTGCTATGCAAAATTTAAGACTCCCAACATCGACTAACTGGATCACAATTTTGATCAACAATAAAGTCCAGAATTGATAACTAGCTAGTACTAGATAAAGGCATGTGTGGTGGAAGGTGAATAATGGGTGCTGGCTCTTTTAGCTTCTTCAAGCCTCATATCTCACATGTGAGAGGCTCAAACCCTGCTGGCAATGACTAGGTCAACAAAGTCTCTGTTTGTAACCTAAAATGGGGCATGAAATCATGGCATTTGTGGCGTGAAACAAGGTTAAAAATGCCATTAAGTTTTGCAGAAAAAAGAAGGAAAGAAAATAGTACTGCCTGGAAAAAGACTGCTGGTAAAGTTAGCAAAGACATGTTACTTACATTACAATTTACATCACCAGTATTTGTTGAAGAACAAAGGGTGGGGAATAGGAACCATATATTTAGGGTTAAGCCACAAGCTTTGACAGATGTTTCTATGCAGATGCTCTGAATAGTCAGTACAACCAAAAATAAAAGAAACCCACCTCAGTGTGCAGTTCTTTTTTACTGTTCAAAACATACTAGGGCTAAATTTAGATTCTACATAATCTATGGTGTAATATGATTGAATTTATTATATCACTAATTAAATTTAACTATTAATTTTAATAAAATTCATTTAATATAAAATTTTCATTGATTTTTTTTATTTATAATTATAATAACTTTTATTATTATTTTCAATTTTATTTAAACTAATTTTATATTCCATCCAAATATAAATGGAAGAGATCGGAAAGAAACTGTAAACATAACCAAATTCATGTAAAGCCCACATAAGGAGGTGTTTACTCCAAACTCTGGTCAGTTTAAGACTTTTAGATTTTTTTTTAATAATTTTTAATTTACCTTTAATTCTCTTTTGACATGCTCATGGACGAGCTATCTGTTAGAATTCGAAAGATCACTCGAAAATTTAAAAGAGTTTGGACATAAATATTAAATCTGTTAAAAAAATATGGATAACTAAATGAAGTTCAAAAAATAGGATCAGAGTTGGATTTCACCATTTAATACTTGAGTCCGACTTAAAAATTTTAAAAATATTTTTATTATAATATGATAAGGTCTATTTACTTTATTTTTTATAATAGACAAGATGTATTTATTTTATTACTTATAACAGAATAAAACTTAAATTTTTTATGCAAAATATTAAAATAATAATTCAATTTAAATTATATTCAACAAAATTAAATTGAATATAAATCTAAATGACTCATAAATTTAATTAAAATTAATTAAATTAATTACAAAATAAAATACAAAAAAATGAAAAAAATTCTCAATTTTAAATATTAGTGTTTTAAACGAGTTTAGACTTTATTATTACGTATAAGAACGAATTTAAACAAAAAAAAAACCAAAAAAATCAAGTCGGGTCGGGTTTAAATTTATTTAAAATGCTAAAATACTATGTTAAGCTTAGGGTTGGCAACGGGTCAGAGCGGGGCGGGTTTTTGCTCACTCCAAACCCGACCCGACTTCATATTTGTCAAATCCGACTTTGACCAAAAAAATTTTTTTTTTCATACTCGAACCCAATCCGACCTAAAATTAATAAAATATTATTTTTTAAATAAAAAATATTATTTTTTAAAAATATAAAATATTTAAATATATAATTATATAAATATATATAAATAAAAAATTATTTTTATATAATATCAAGTTAAGTCAGGTCAGATTTATCTAAAATCCGAACTCGACCTCTTCTTAGCACTACTTGACGTGACCCGATTATAAACCCGATTTTCAAAAAAAAAAAAAAACTAACCCTATGAGCTCAGGTCAAGTTGAAACTCGTCGGAGATAAATTGAGTTATCCACTCTAATTAAGTCTTATTTAAATCTGACTCGACTTTACCCATAAGCAGCTTTAATTTTCTTATCATTTATCATTATGTCTACTCTACTGTAAAAATAATATGCACATAAACCTTTTTAAATTCATAATTTTTAATTATCAAATTTAATATCATATTAATTAATTTAAAGATCAGTTGACTTTGTCGTATGTAATCCATATTAATCTTATTTAATTAAACCATATGTAAATTAATGTAAATTAATTCCTTAAAACATTAATTGCCGCCAGTTTTCATTTCAGGTTCGGACCTTTGATGTATTCATAAGAACTAACGAAACGGTGGAACTATTTTATAACTCTACACAACAACTAACCTTTATTGCCATTTCTATCAATTTTTCTTTTTTTTTTTTAGCTTTTTTATGTAAATAAATATTTTAATAAAAAAAATAAGCAACGTAGTAGATCCCGTGGGGTCCACAGCCCTTTCTACAAGAAAAAGATATTAATACGTTGACCAAAACCGTCTGCCACTTCATCCTCAGTTCAGTTATTTGCTCCCAATTTTCGTAAAGAGTGGCACGTCTCACGCTTTGCCTATTCTCAATATCAATTTACTTATTTGCCCTCTCGTGAAGGCTTATTTACAATTATATCCCCTCTACAACTCTACGTTTGTGAAGTAACATGAATTGTTTAATTAGGTCTACTTTTTATGATTGATTTGTTGTTAAATGGGTATGATTTTTCGTCGGACATTCACTTGTGATTGTGAACACGGAATAGAAAAGTTCTCCTTGCGTTACTTTCATGAATAGGAAATTACATTCTGATAATCACATTACATAAAATGGTTCCTTCCAAGAAAAAAAAAATACATAAAATGAGCCTCATGATAATTAAGGGTCAAACTCAAACATGCAATTTGATTGAAGATGCTTTTGTTGTTTTTACTAAAGTTTTGCCTATAACATATCGCCTACAATCAATACATTATAATTAATCAATTATAATTTGTATTTACGTAAGTTCATCAAAGTTTTATGTTAAAAAATTCATATTTATAATTCATGAGCTCTCACATAATTTTTTTTTATTATGATTAAATAATTATAAATGAAATGCGTTTAATTTAAACTTAAAAATCTAAAATATAATATAATAACATGATACGAATATAATACAAAAATAAGATACGAAAGTTACATACTTAAAATTATAATAATAATTATATATGGATTTAACAAAACAAAAAAAATATATTTTATATTTTTACATTAATAAGAATTATGATACATAATTTTTATATAAAACGTGATATAAATACATAAATTTTAATAGTTTACACAATATAAATACACGAATCATCGGATCTAATTCAAATTAACTTATTCATGTGGCTGTCTTTTTTACCTTAATTTCTTTCTTCAATTGGTCCTTTCCTTTTCATTTTGTCAATTTCTAGAGATTTCTTTTATTTTTTCTTTCGTCTATATTTACATTATAAATTTCAACATTTTTCTTGTGTGATTTTGTCCTCAAATAACATGAAAAATTATTTTTTCACATTGTAGAAAGTAGTAATAATCAGTTAACTACATGTTTGTTAACATCCGCGTATAGTGTTTAGAAGAAATTAAGTAGATGCTTTTGAAGCAAGAAAATCACATGCATGCGTCAAAGAAAGGAACTCGAAAACCATTTTTTATTGACCAAAATGACCTTCGGATTTCTTTTAGGATTTGATTAAACAAAAAAAAGGAAAATTACAGCATCAAACCAAATGCACATCATATGCATTTAATAAATCTGACTGATTCTTCTATAAGAATAGCATGGCTAATGGCACCTTCTTTTCCCTAGATATTTCGTTCATTTCAAGGCAGATGAAAATTTTACATTATCTTTTTCATGCAGGAATTCAATGGATTTTGGATCTCCTGCTGGTCATCTTCAAAGATTGATTGCCAAGACCATGGACCAAGAACTGTAAAACCCAAGTTCCAGTGATGTTCTTTGAGTCAATTCAAAGTTTCTGGTTAATTGATACTCCAAATTGGAGCAGAGAACAAAAGAGATGTAGAAAAGAAGAGCAGAGCCCATAAAATAATTATTAAATACAGTTTTTTAAAGGTATAAACAGTTTTACAGACACAGCTGGAAAACATGAAACAGGACATGCTCACATAATTGAACACTTTGGTACTTGCAGAGACCAGTGCTTGGTCCACAAGCAAGCAGACCCTAGAAAAAAAAATGCTTTAGGCATTTTTTTTTCTTTCTGACATGGGGTACACTTGAAGTGAAATTTGATTTAAGTCATTGCTATCTGATTCCTCAACAATGGTTGCTTCGGTTAATCTACTGTTTCACCAAACAGTAATGCCATTAATACCATGACAAAATCTTGGAAGAAATGAAAAATGTACTTTAAGGGGGAAAAACACTTGCAATACTCAAAAGAGATTGAAGCGCATAACAAATTTCAGCAATTGCAAGTGTTTGAGACAAAACATTTGCGGAGCATTCAAGAAACGAATTGTGGGTCGGCAACAATGAAGAATAGAAAGAATTTAAGGAAAAAAAAAGCTACAAAAACATTCATGATTCATCTATGAATGAAGAAATATGAGCAACTACAGTAAAAAATAAACCAAGTTTAAAACAATGCGTAAAAACATTGAATGTATAGCATCAGATCCACGTGAATTCTCATAACTGCTCGATAGCCCCATCATTCAAGTTATGCATCTGATACCACACTAAACTCATCGTCTTCCAATGGAGCAGGCAAGTTTAGATCTATCAAATTGTTATTAAATTTAGTAGAATTTGCAGCAACAGCATTTGATGAAGAAGCTGCAGCAAGCAAATGAGATCTCTTGTGACCACCAAGTGCTTGTCCTGAGCCGAACACTCTGTAACAAAATGGGCACTCAAATATCTTGCTGTCTTTAGCAACAGCAGCAGCAACTTTACCTGCATTTTTAGTTTCAGAGCAAACCCTTTTATGTTCATCCAATGTGCCATAAGATCCGAATGCTTTCTTACATTTCCCACATCGATATTTCCCACGAATCTTCTTCTTGCTTAACTCATGACTCTCGTTATTCAACTCGATCTCTTCTGATTCTTCCAACAACTCAACTGATTTTTGTTCCGCAATGTTGCTTTTCCAAACATCTCTTGATAGCATCATAAGACACATAGCAACATTTTCTTCAGGTGAAGTATCCGAAACTGAACTCACAGGTTCTGGCTCTGTCGGTGACTCGACCAAACTGGGTTTCCTCAACAACTTTGGTTTCTTGATTTCGTCTGTTGTTGTATTAGTACCCACCTTCCGATTTCTCTTGGATCGTCGCCGAGTTAGGTTTCTTGACTCTGTCTCGCTTTCTCTATCTTGGACAACGGACCCAGAATCTACTACAAAAGAGAATTCAGGATCTGCAAACCTGAAACTCTTCTTGGGATTCTCTCTTAGCCCGTAAACCAAAGATTTCTCTTCAACTACTTCTCTGCTTTTCTCTTCTCCTAGTTCTTGCTCTTCACCAGATGAAGAAGATGATGAAGAAGATGAGTCAGTACGGTCACCGAGTTGGTGATGGGTCGTCGTCTTTGGGGGCAGTGGATGGTTGGCTAAGTGACCTTTCATGTGACCTCCCAAAGCTCTACCACTAGAGAACGTTCGAGCACAGAGCTTGCATTTGTGGTTCTCCATTGTCACAAAACAGAAGCAAAGCAAAGATCAAAGCTCTTTTTTTTCAAGTGGCTTCTCTCTAAATTCCTCTTTCACTCTCTAAAAAGCACGAGAAAGCAATAGCTAAAAAAAAAAAAAAAGATTGGGAACTTAAAAGAAGTAGGTGACAAGCATTCCTCCACCAAAAGACACACAACCCAAAATTATGATTATTTTAGTTATTTATAAAACATTTAAAATAATATAAAAAAACGATAATGTTGTTAGAATATAATTTTTTTAAAAAATTTTATATTTGATATACTAGTACCGTATAATAAGAGTTTGAAAGAGTTTATAATAAAAAAATGATAATATTCTTAATATATATTTAAAATAATTTATATTTAATATATTATTAATAAATTAAATAATAATAATTTATTAATAAGTAAATATCGACCCTTAAATAATATGTGTAGCAATTATACAATTTCTTGTTTGCTAATTCATTTCATTAATATTTATATGTATTTAATGAATATAATCATATCAATACATGAATTTGGAAAAAAAAAAACTTGTTATTTGACCCATTTAGGTTTTTTTTTTATCATGATATGATATTATTTTATGAATGAATTTTTAAGAGTTTAATCATAAAATGTAAACTTTAATTTCTTTAGCAATTAATGAAAATTTTATTAAAAAAATCTTTCAAATTACTTCAAATATTTAGTAAATCTTGTGGAGGGTTGAACGATCTGCGATTTTCTTTTATTTTTGAAAAAAAAAATAGTATTACCTTTTGTCAATATAGTTTTTGCTTAGTTTAACCATGCCATATGTATCAATAATATGTTAGCTTATTTGGTAAAAATTATTTTTTTAATATAAAAATTTTGATTTTGAATTTAACGGATATTTTATTTTTAAAATCACTTCAAATATAAAAATTATAATCGTTATTTTAAAATTTTTGGATATGATTATTTATCGTGATCTAAAAAGTTATATAACCTATCTATCTTAGATTTTGATTACCAAGAAAAAACTATGCCATATGCACGTTGTAAATGAATTTAATGACTGCAACAATTTTGCGCATAAAAATGGAGGGCAAGCAGCCTGTCAAATATAGATATGGCATTCTTAATTCAGTTTCTTAGGATTAATTTTATTTTTAAATCACATTTTAAGTTGAATAATGAAATAATAAAAACAATCAAGATTGGATCAAGATTAAATTTTAAGTAAACCTATCACGATTTGATTTAATATATATAATTATATTTTAATTAATTATTTAATTTTATATTTATATTAAAAATAATATTTTATATTTTAAAATTTTTATTAATTATAAATTAAATCGAATCGAATATAATTTTATATAATATTTATTAGATAAAAAAATTAAAAATATCATCGAATTCAAATATTATTGACATAAAATTGAATCAAATTCAAAATGAATAAAAATTTATCAATTGTCATCCCTGATCAAATAAGCAACTTGAATTTCTGCCCATTTATTAGTGAGTAGTGACCATAACCTGGTGGTTATTGTTTAAAAGAGGGTTCTTAGCCTTTTTGCATTTAGTCGATTGCACAAGTCAAGGAAAACTGTTGGGTTTGTTGCAACGCCAGCCAGCGACGGATGGTAGCCGTATGAGACATTCATGATAATACCACGAGCCAAGAGAAGTGCCAAACCAGCAACCTCATCATTTTTATCTTTTTATAATTGATAAAAAAATTATCTCCAAATTTATTTTTCAGATATCATAAATTAAAAATTGACCCCAATTAGACTTTTTAATTTCTCTTGCCACCCTCTCTACTATTTTATATATATTTTTTGAAAATTATGGGTCACTTATCAATTTATTAAATAATTCATTGTATTCCCAAAAAAAATTAATAATAATAAATTTATTTAATTATTCATGGATTGAACAATATCTTAAACTGATTGCTTAGAAAATAATGATATAGTTTTTTTTGGTTAATTATTTGAATAATGGTCAAAAAAATGAGAAAATTTAATCTTAGTATTGATAATATATTATAAAAGCGAAATTCTTCGGATTGAAATTGATATTAAAAGAAACCGAATTCCACTGTGTCCTAACAACTTTTACCAAATAATTTGGACTGTCTCATAGTCCAATAAACAGCTGGACATGGAAGGGCCCAAGAATATTTTACTTCCTTATTTTACCAAATCTTCCCACTGGACTGGCCCCGCTGACAACATTAACAATGGCCTCAAATTGCAAAAAAAAAAAAAAAATGATAATTCTCATGCAACTCATGCATTTTTTTTTTCGCCATCAAACAACGACCGTGTCTTCACTGTCTTGGAGGTGGCCTGGGAGCCTGGATATCACATTTTAAATATTAGCATAGTGAACATCAAAATAAACTTTTTTTTTTTTAGTACTCCCTCTATTTCATTTTCTTTATTTTTTTTTAATTTTAGAATCATGTCATTTTTTTAAACATATAACATATTTATTTTTTTATATTTTAAAATTATATTAATTATTTTTTTGAATACAATGAATTATTTAATAAATTAAGTATACAAATAATAAAAGTATATAAGAAGAAAAAAGTAAGCAAAGGGGAGAAGATATTGAGAACAAAGCATAAAAGGATCAAAGTCAAAAAAATTTTACATGTCTAGTTTGATTCTTTACATATATATATATTTCATAATTAATAATGCAAGGTGATTATTTATCTTGAAATCATATGCGAGCAATAATAATGTGATAATTAAAATATTATTGACGTAACCACTAAAATATAACATGTATATATTAAAACTCCATTGGAAATGTATTCTCGCGAAGTAGAAATTGCTAACAAAATGTTAATTAGGAATGAATTGGGAAAGGCCAATATTCATGCAAATTCGTTTTGAAAAATAGTATAAATAATTTCTAATATCTGTTATTTGAAGAGGACTTCATGATTCTTAATTCTTTTTTTTTTTTTTAAATAAAATAACATTCGGAAAGGGAAAAGAAACATGATTTGAGGTTTGACAGTCCAAGACCAAGAAAAGGCAATGTGCTTGAATATGAGATCACACCAAAGTCGAAACCGCAAATAATGGAGCAAAAGTGAAGCAAAGCAAGCAAAGAATCTTTGGTGTAATTGGGTTTTTAGCTGTCTTGCTCAGATGGATTAATATATACTTTTTTTCTTTCGGTCTCCAGCCTTTAGTTCACTTGTCATTTATTAGCTTGTTATAAACACGTTATTATTGGTATTAATTAAGTGATTAAAGTGGCCCCCCATTAACCAAAATGAATGATTTAATTATATCTTTCTCTAGGAATCTAATATTTATTTAAGTATTATTAAAAAAAAAAAGATTTAACTTATTTATTGTCATCACAATGTACAACAAAAAATGGGTAATTTTACTATCTTCAATTCTATAGGTTGAACTGACATATGAATCAATGAACTGAGCAGGAGGAAAAAAAAAGGTGAAAATGTGAAAGTGCTGATTTCATTTGTGCTGTTGCTTGAACTTTTGGTCAAATCTGAACAGGAATTGGTTTTGCAAGAGAATTCTTTTTCTTTGGATAGGCCTAAACTAAAACAAACTTGCTTTCTAGTAATCAAGATCAATGTGGGAACAAAGTAGATAGCATGTTAACTTAATAGAGGCTTCTTTGGAACGAACTTACTTTCCAAGCCATCCTCATCCGAGTAAACTTCTTTTCCTTTAGCCCATAAGAAGAAGTAGAGAACGGTGAACATGAGGAACATTCCAGCAAGGCTGCATTGAAAGAGGGATTCGTAGGACACTGGAAAATTTGTTTTGGAACTTAACAAGCAAATTGGTGAATCTGTAGGACACGTTTACCTTCCTAATGAAATTATTTCCCCTAAAGTAATGAAAGAGATAATGATTGTGATTACTGTTCCAATGGGGCTGAACATTGAGACAAGAACTGGTCCCTTCTTCTTCATTGCCCATCCATTGAAGCTTACACATGCTCCGCCCACAGCATCTCCCTGTGCACATCCCAAATGGGAATGAATAGATCATTGAAAAAAAGCTGCATTCAGGGTTTTCAATGTATAAAATGGTTCTGTACCTCCTGGCTTGAATTTGGTTTCATTTCACCCCCAAAACCTGCTTTTGCTTAAACGAAAATATATAAAAACTGAAAAGTAAAGCAAGAATAGATGTGCTTGCCATCATTTTATATTCAAGAAAGTTTGTTAAATCTTAGATTTCATGTGGTCTTCTATTCAAGTTCTGCCTCTCCATTTATTATCAATTGATTTCAGGTTGAATATGCAATGGGGTAATGAAATAGCAGCTTCACAGTTACTCGGAACATGGAAATTCAGTATTAATTAATTTATGTTTCATAGGAGATCATTGTATATGGGATTATTCAAAAAGGAAGAGAGTTGCATACCAGTAGAGAATAGCCAATTAGATCCCTAACGCTAACAAGGGACCAACCCCATTCCAAATCATGATCTTCGACCAACTGAACCATTGCAGTTATAATCACTCCGATCAAGGATGTTATCGCACACAAGGACATTGGAGCAGGAAAGTCACCCAAAGTTGTCGCCTGTAAAACATGACATATTAGGGAAAGAAAAAGAAAAACACCCTCCTGTATTTGTTTCTCAAGAATACCTGCAATACTACATTGCTTGAAAGAACTAGGACAGCTGCCATGAGGTACATGCAACCGATGATCTTATCTTTGTCGAAAACGACATCTGATCATCCTTGCATCTTTTGATGAGATAGTGCTCTGCATTATGCTTATTGTAAGGGCACCTAAGACACATAAGAATGTGCCTACAATCTGTACTTTACTGTATAGGCAACTTAGGGAAACTTTTTCTAACCTGCATCAGCATTGCAAAATTCATCATTGGGTTTTCATTACTAATTTGATTATGCATCTATTATAGACAAAAAGTTGTATTGAATTTATTACCTGCAAGTCCAAGCAATTATAAAGATGAGCCCTGGAGCAACGTTTGGCATGGCAGTTGCCACTGCTGGTGAAGTTAGATTAATCCCTTTGAGGAATACGGATTGGAACAGAGTTACCCTGAAAGAAAGATTAAATCCCAACATAAATGAAAATGCATTTTGTCCTTTCCAAAAATCCAGAAAACCAAAATTAAAGAACAAAGGAAAGGCATTTTCTCTTAAATATTTCAACCATATATATTAAGCTTGCATGTGTAATCCAAATATAAAAATGTAAATGAAGATTTCCCATACCCTCCAATGGAGATCAAAACCAGCTGAATTATCAACTTCAAGGTTTACTGGTTGGGCCATTTGCTCCTGCAAAATGAACATTCAACCTTCATCAAACTTAATTTCATGGCTAAGCAAACTTTAATGGAGACTCCAGAAAAAGAAAAAAAAAAAAAGATGAAGGGTACAAAAATTACTTCTCAAAATAAACTGAAAAAGGGGAGATAATTATGAAGGTGGCAAGGGTGCTGAAAATAACAATGGTGAAAGGGCTAAGGCCAATGGACATAAGATAATCAAGTAAAACTGAGTTCCCTGCATAAACAAATTGCATCCTTATCAATCCTCCAATTATTGCCACATCTTCAAGCACATCTTTCTTCATGTACACCACCATTTTAGTCCCCCACTTTCACTCCTTCCAAACAGAAAAAAACAAAAAGAAAAAAAAAAAAACCCAAAAGGTTATTTGTATATAACCTTCTTTTTTCTTCCCTTTTTTTCCTCCAAAAAAAAAAAAAAAACAGAGGGTCAAACCCTTTCTTTTTTTCCCATTTTTTCTTACTTATTTTTGCATTCATTTTGTTCTTTTCTTTATTTGTTTTTGGTCACCTTTATCTCTCCTTTGGACTTAGCTAACATTAAAGAGGCTTCTCTTACCAGTCTTCTCTAGGTTATTCGGAGGTTCGTAATACAAAGGGTGGATATCTTTGTCTCTCTATTTCTCTCGTTTTATAGCTTTGTTTAATGAAAATTTTGGCTCCCAAAGATTTTATCTTTTTTTTTTTTCTCCGAAATTCTCATGTTAGATTTTTTAGACTATTTTTAGAGCACGTATCTGGGGATTATTTCTTATTTTTAAGAACCCCATCAAGAAAAAAAAAATTGAACCAATACAATAATAGGTGCATTGAGCTGAGTGAACTCGTGTTTCCGCGTAACATTTTGAAGCTATGCAAAGAACTCTATTGAGGAGAGTACCAAAGTACCAGCCCAAACAAAGGAAGTCATATATTTCCCAATCAAATCACCTTATTAGCACAAATCTCCCCTCTCAAAGCAAAAATGCCGACGGCAAAGTTCCGAAGGAAAATTTTGAATCATGGCTCACTCTTGTTTCAGTCCTTGCCAATGGAGGGGCCGAAATGGACCTTACCTTACATAAGGCCTCGAAGATTCTCCACTCTGGCATTAAACCAAATGCCTACTCCCTAGTTCACATGGTTCGGGTCTCAACCGACCTGGGCTATGATTCCTATTGTCAACAGCTTCATTGCTACATTTTAAAATCTGGGTTTGTCTCCAATGTCTTTCTTTCTAACGCTTTGATGAGGTTTTATAGGCGAATTGACTTGCTATGTGAAGCGGGTAAGATGTTTGTTGAAATTCCTCAACCGAGTGTCATTTCTTGGAACTCTTTGATTTCTTGCTATGTTCAATCTGGGCAGTTTCGTAAAGCTTTGGGGTTGTTTATTGATCTTCAAAGGTCTGAAATTTGTGGCAATGAGTACTCATTTACCGTAGCTTTAGCTGCTTGTGGTCAGCTGGGGTTTTTGCATCTAGGCAAGTCAATTCACTCCAACATTTTGAAATTTGGCTTGGAATGTGGAATTGTTGTTGGGAATTGTTTGATTGATACGTATGGAAAATGTGGGGCTCTGGACGATGCTTTTTTGGTCTTTGATGGTATGATTGATAAGGATATTATTTCATGGAATTCTGTTTTAGCAGCATGTGCTAGAAATGGAAAGCTTGAACAAGCCTTCGATGTTTGGCGCCAAATGCCTATCCGTGATACAATATCTTACAATGAATTGATTAGTGGCATTGCTCAGTTTGGCAACATGGATGATGCAATTGGTATTTTATTTAATATGCCGAACGCAAATTCTTCTTCATGGACTTCAATTATGACGGGATATGTTAATAGAAATCAGGCATGGGAGGCTCTTCAGTTTTTCAGTAAAATGCACTGCAATGATGTTGAAATGGATGAGTTCTCATTTTCAATAATTCTAAGTGGGATTGCAGGTCTTTCAGCTTTAACATGGGGAATGTTGACCCATTGTTGTACAATAAAGTGTGGTTTGGATGCATCTATTGTTGTGGGAAGTGCTCTCATTGACATGTACTCCAAATGTGGCCTGGTTAAGAACGCTGAGTCTATGTTCCAGTCTTTGCCTAAGAAGAATTTGGTAACCTGGAATGCTATGATGTCTGGTTATGCTCACAATGGTGATTCGATGAAAGTGATCCAGCTTTTTGAGCAGCTAAAAACTGAAAAGGATTTGAAACCTGACTGGGTCACATTTCTTAATGTGTTGGCTGCAGGTTCACATAATGAGATACCACTTCAAGAGATGTATCAGCACTTCGAGTCAATGATCAATGATTATGGGATTAAACCCACCGTTGAGCATTGCTGTTCTATGATTCGGCTGATGGGTCAAGGAGGGGAGATCTGGAGAGCAGCGAGGATGATATATGAACTTGGTTTTGGATCACGTGGTGTGGTTTGGAAGGCTTTGCTTGGTGCCTGTGGAGTTTGTAAGGATTTGAAGGTTGCAATGATTGCAGCTGCAAAGATAATTGAATTGGAGGGTTACAATGATTATGTTTATGTAATGATGTCTAACATTTTTGCGCACTATCAGAAATGGACTGAGGTGAGTTTAATGCGAAGGCTCATGACAAATAAAAGAGTAATAAAAGAAGCTGGTTGTAGTTGGATTGAAATGGAAAATGTCAAGCTAAATTCATCTGTATAGAAATAGAATTGGTTTTGAATTGCTGGTTGAGTTGTTCTTAACAGAAATAGAAAAGGCTGGTTGTGTTGAATTCATCTGTATGGAAAATGTTTGTTTTCAACAGCATTAGTTGATAAATGTCGTTATTAATTTCATGATTATATACTTACAAACAGGCCATAGTAGCCCACCCCTTCTTAGGCATGTTTTTAGCTGATTCAAAACACACTTGATGTTGATTAAAAAAAAAAAAAAAACCCAGAAAATGACTTGTAAAAGAGTCATAAATCATAATAGATTGAGTATAAGACTGGGGATTTGTAGTTTTATACTATTTTTTCTGAATTGTGGGTTCTATATTTCATGTTCCATTTATTGTTGCCTTTGAAGATAAAGCGTCTGTGCTTATTGTTGACCCTTTTTTTGGGGTTTTCTTGTTTAATAATTCATGGCTTTGTCATATGGTTGGTTTCCTTTGATAAACGGATATTAAATTTTGAGGTACGTGCTTAATCGCATGCTTTTAATAAGGTTTTTTATATTTTTACTTTCTCCGTCTCATATTATTTATTGATTTTTATAAAATTTATAAAATTTTAATTTTAATATATTTAATAGTAAATTTTAAATTTTTTTATAAAATTAAAGTTTCATTATTTTTAATATCAAAATAAAGAAATCATAAATTTTTTTTTAAATATAAAAAATAAAAATTTTAAATACTAAAAAAAAGACAATTTTGAAAAAAAAAAAGAATATAGGATGGGAGTACAATTTTTTAATTCAAATTAAATTCTTCCCGCAAATCTCTCATATGATGAACTTACTCAACTAAGTACATTATTTAATGCTATTACTAAATTGACCCTCCTCTTAACGAAAATTTCCATAACACCCTTAAACTTCCTTAAAAACCGGAATAAAGCGGAGCATCTCTTCCCATCTCTCTCTCTCTCTCTTATATTCTTCGATTTTTTTAATTTGCATTTATAAATAATAATTCAAAATATTAAAAACAAAAGCTTCACATTCTCTCTCTCTTTTTCCTCATCTCTGTTAACGAAAAGAGAAACCGCCAAATCTGGCGCGTTTCGGAAACCTTGATGAGAGCGTTGAGCATTAGAAAGAAAGAAGGGAAACCCTGATTATTCTTCAAATTTAATCACCACATTCGTATTATTTGCAGTCATACCCTTCCCTTTCTTTCGCTCTTAGTCTTTTTTTGCTCTTTGATGATCGTTGTCGTTGGGAAGAGCGGGGGTGGCATGTGGCGTAAATAAGTGATGAAGTCGAGAGCAGAGTCGTTGTTGCTGTTGTTGAGTCCATGATGGGCGTAGCTAAGAGCGTGGAGGTTTAACGCGATATCGGCCAACCTGGCGCTGTTACAGCATCCTAACGGCAGCGTTCTAAGCAACAAGCATGTGTGTTACAGGTGGCGATCCTCTGCGACGCAGCAGAGGAAGCCGATCTCACGGTCGCTCGTCTGTGGCTTGATGCTCTTCTGCTTAGGCATGATGTCGCTCTTTACTGGACACGTGGCTTCTGATCTCGAGCGGTATTCTCAACAACTCATGAAACGAAGCCCCTATTTCAAATTGGTAAAATGAAAAAAAAAAAAAAAAGCTCTTAATTTTGATTTTATTTATATGTTTAAAATGCTGAAAGTTTCTTTATTATTATTATTATTTTTTTTGTTTTGCTGATTTTGATGCAAATGCTGTAGGATGGAAGTAACAGAGGACCGATTGATATATGGAAATCTGAATATGCAGAATACTTCTATGGATGCAGCCAAAGAAGTAGTCAATTTTCTCGTAGGGTTTTATTTTTTATTTTTAATGCATTTTGTTTATTTTTGGAAATTTTGATGTATTTAATTGATGTATAGCGTAAACTGATGCAAAGATTGTTGCTTGAGATGTTTATGTTAGTTTACTTGTTATGCAAAGTTCTCATTTTTATTATTTGGAAGTTCCAAATCAATCTTTAAGCTTTTGATTTTAGATGATGGCTGTAGCTTTAGGTTCTAATTACCTGCTGTCCTGTATCATCTGTTTCTACTTCTTAGAAAAGAAGCCATTCGACACTGTTTTCACTTCAGTTTCTCCAAACCGGTCACATAAGTTCTCTGATTCTTCATTTATGTTGATAATTTGATATCTAGATGCTATACATGAGCGATCATCAAATGGTTATTTGCTTATTGCGGCAAGTGGAGGACTGAATCAACAAAGAACAGGAGTAAGTGGAATTATTTATTCATTATGCTATATTTTTGGGTAAAAATACTAATGGAAGATCTTGCAATTGCATCAATGACAAATGTATCTTATCTATGAGTGTCTACAGAGTGCTGTTACTCCTGCATTATGTATATTGAACCTATAAGCTTTGCTTTGGTTAATTTAATTAAATTGAGTTTCGAAGGTGCCTGTGCTATCGGTTTAGGATTAATAAGTTGTTTCTGTCACCCAGATATCAGATGCTGTAGTTGTTGCACGGATTCTGAATGCAACCTTAGTGGTACCTGAGTTGGATCATAATTCCTACTGGAAGGATGATAGGTGAGTTGAATCAGCTTGTTGGAAGTTCTGCTTAATTGATATCATCCTGCTCCTCTGTTACCTTATTAACTGTATTTTTTTTTTCTGACATGCAGCGACTTTGTCAACATTTTTGATGTCAACTGGTTCATTTCTTACCTTGCAAAAGATGTTACTGTTGTCAAAAGAGTTCCGGATAAATTCATGCGATCAATGGAAAAACCTCCGTACACTATGCGTGTTCCAAGGAAATCGCCTCCAGAATATTATCTAGACCAAGTTCTGCCAATACTTAAGAGAAGGCGTGTAAGACCACTTTCAGATTCTCTAGCACTAATGCTGTATAGTTGATTGTGCATATAATTTCCACAGTTGAACTTTCTGTTTCTTTCACTCCCTCAATTGTCTATATAAATCCATAAATTGTGTATTTCTATGAAATTAAATGCATCTAATTCCACAAGTTGTCAAGACTTACAGTATCTTTGTGTCAATAAGATACTTTAAACGAAAGAGAGATGATAGAAGTTGTTAAAATGAACTTCTATTTCCTTTTAGTTGTCTGGGCCGGGAAGAAGTAATAAGCAAAGAAAATAAGAATGCCACAATTATAGTAGTTTTCATCTTTGTTTTATTTCTCCACTTTTGGAGAATCCGATTAGTAGCTTAGGAGACTTTGTATGCGACAATTTCTTCTCTCTCTCTCTCTCTCTCTCTCTCTCTCCTGGTTTTGTGGTTCAACGGAGAGAGTTTTAACAATCCTTTTTATCTTCTGATTATATATTTTCTAGGATATGGTTTTCATGTGGGAGTGCGGCAATAACACTCTAAAAATTTTGTAGGTCCTGCAACTGACAAAGTTTGATTACAGACTGGCCAACAACATTGATGAAGAGCTACAAAAGTTGCGTTGCCGGGCTAATTTTCATGCTTTAAGATTTGCAAAACCTATTCAAGAACTTGGACAGAAACTTGTCATGAGAATGCGTGAGATGGCAAAACGTTTTATTGCAGTCCACTTGAGGTTTGTTCCAAATTCTAGAAAGGTAGAATTTACTGTTTAAAAGTTATGTGCATCTTATAAGGAACTTTGACACTGTAACCTGTTGAGATGTGTCTCCTGAAATTGGTTTTTGTCAGTAATCCATGGGCACATATCTGCAATATAACACCTCATACTGGGGAATTGCACAATTACACTTATTTTAAAGTCCCTTCACATTCAGGTGGTGATCTCTAAGACTTTAAACCAGATAAGCTAGTGACAGTGTAGATTACCTTTCCCTTGAGTGCCTAATCCTCAAAATTTTGGAAATGCATCTTAACTTCGGTGAGTTTATATATACATTGTGCTGTTATGTTTGATATTGTATCAAGCAACTAGTTTCTGCATCAATGACTTCTGCAGCACTTCAATATCTGAGTGTATGTGCAATCAATAACAGTACATTGGCTCGTATGCATATGCTTAGACAGACATGTTTAAGTATGATTAAACTCTGCAAATGCATGTTTTCCTTATCTGAGTCAAACTCTTTTAATTACAGATTCGAACCTGATATGTTAGCATTTTCTGGTTGTTACTATGGTGGAGGGGACAAGGAGAGATACGAGCTTGGAGAGATACGAAAACGATGGGAAACATTACCAGTGAGATGTCATTTCTTATGACAATAAGACATGTTTTCAAATGAGAACTAATGGTTTTGTCTTTCACATCCTGTATTTATCTGGTAAAAAATTGCACTCATCCTTGTATTCATGCAGGATTTAAGTGCTGATGGAGAGAGGAGGCGAGGTAAATGTCCACTTACTCCTCATGAAGTAGGATTGTTGCTGCGGGCACTTGGTTTTGCAAATGACACGTACATTTACCTTGCATCTGGAGAAATATATGGTGGGGAAGAGACTCTGAGACCACTGAGAGAACTCTTTCCAAACTTCTATACAAAGGAGATGCTTGCTAATGAAGAGCTGAAACTTTTTCTTCCATTCTCTTCTCGCCTTGCTGCCATTGACTACATTGTTTGCGACGACAGTGATGTTTTCATCACCAATAATAATGGAAATATGGCCAAGATTCTTGCTGGTCGAAGGTGAGAAATCTAGTTATTTCTTGTATCATTGCTTATTTCTGGTACAGTCCCCTTGTCTTGCATGTATGTGCTAACTTTTAAGTTCATCCAGAAATTAATCTGTCGAATTACTTTAATGAAGATGTGAAATTTGGACCACACTATGCTCTTAACCTGATCATTTGTTAATTTGCATACTTCTAACAAAGGTGTGGGCTTTTGATGGCTAATATTTACCTCTTTTGTGGGCCCTTGTGCTATTGCATATTTAGCATCGTGTTGTTTCTCTTTGGACTTTCCTCAATTCTTAATGACTGCATGTTGGGATTCAAAGGAGGTACATGGGGCACAAGAGGACCATAAGGCCAAATGCCAAGCGGCTCAGTCCCTTGTTCATGGAAAGGGATCAGATGGATTGGGATACCGTTTCCGGAGAGGTGAAGGCAGTTCAAAGAGGATTCATGGGAGAGCCAGATGAGATGAGACCAGGACGAGGTGAATTTCATGAATATCCATATTCTTGTATCTGCGAAAAACCACTCGGTGCTATTGTAGGCAACAAGAGTGGAGATCCTCAGTCAGAGGAAATCAAGGATTGAGGAAGATGAGCCAGTTTTAGGAAGAAAATTTCCTAAGTGGAAATAACAATGCTGCATATTCTGATTTCATAGCCCCAGAACATGTTTTTCCATTGATTGATGATGATCTAACATATATGCTGCCTCTGCCTGACTATAGTGCCATCTTTGTTTACGGGCGGAAAATTTGACAGAACATGCTATTTGAGTCACAAACTGCTTTTTATTCTTCTCAGTTTCTCCGGTTGGATCCCTTAAAGAATCGAATCTTTATACAGGGAATGGGAAGTTTAAGAAATTCTGACTGTTCTGGTTAAGTACGAAACCGGACGTTTGGTAGACTATATTAATTCAAGACATTGATCACAATTCATAAATCCTGATTCTGGACCCTTGCACTAATTCCATGCTTTGCACTTAAACTAGCCATGATGCAATTGGGTCTTGATCACTCGCAATAAGCCAAACGACATTGAGACGTACGTTCCATATACAAAGCTAGACAGGGTATGGCCTAGAGAGAGAGAGAGAGATCACATTAATGTAATTGTAAAAAAAACTAAAAATCAGTATAAATATCTACTGCTACATCTCAAAAGCCAAAAAAGCAATGTTCGTTCCTAAGCTTTCTCTCTATCAGAATTTACACAACCTAAACTCGTCTATGTTGGTCATATCCAATAATCCCTGAATTTCTTTAGACTGGATTCCATAGTCCCAAAAGAGCTCCACTCAACCTTGGTTATTTCCTGTTATGGTCAGACAGTTAATCGTTAATTGCCATCAGTGCACATTCGGCAGCAAACAAGGCTAAAGCACAGCAACTTCGGCTTCAAGAATACCAAGTGGTAAAAGAAAATTAACGTTCACCTCTAGTACTCCTGCTTTGAGTTTTGTGACTTTTGTCGTGCGAAACAGAAGGAATTTTCGAGATAATCAACGAGCTTTGCAGCCCTTCCAATAGCTGTGGGCAAAATACAAAATCCCATAAGCAGATCAGAGCAAAATATATGGAGCACAAACACAAACACTTCAATATAAAAAAAATGCATAAAAATACAAGGGGTTAGTGATGATAACAAGTTTCCTTCTTTTTGATAACATACATTACCATCATCATCATTGCACTCAGACAAGTAAAAGCTAGATAGAATATGAGAGAGGCAGACAGAAAACTCTTAGGGTTAGGGGAAAGCGTTATGATGCAGGCACAGTGAAATCCTAGAAGGAAGCAACATATCCTAGTTGAATACAGTCGGCACCAAGCATAGGTATCTCATTTGAAGAAACAAAAACAGCAAAGCATAACATTCGTAAGTTCCCATTGTCGTCCAACAATATATTCTATAAGGTTTGAAACTACTAAAGTAACATGCCCTACTAGCAGAGTTTAAAAATACCCACTAAAAACATTTAATATTTTTGCTACGTATCTGATTAACCAAATATGTTAATTGTAACTCGATATAGATTTCCTTATTTACAATCCAATGGAAATATGGCAAAGGTTCTGCTTGTTTAGTCTCTACACTCCACAAGGATAGGATAATAATCCAACAGCTTTGCCAACCATACCACAAATTTCATTTCCTTATTCTCCAGGGGAAATGCTGTCCCTATATTCCAAGCAACCCCTAATTCCCAACTCGTACCCTAGTGAAAGTCTGAAACCAGGAATCTTAAGCAAAACATGTCATCCCCTTTCCCTTGCAAGCAAAAAAAATTTGCAAAGCATAACTCAAAGTTCACAGGTACACATGATATACAAGCAAAGAGTTCAATTAATTTTCCATAACTAAAGCAATATAATTAATATAAGAATTAATTTCATAAACTAGAAATTTGGTACTGCAATATTAAATACATAAATGATATCAACTTATCAAATGAGAAATGGCCATATCTATTTACTTACTCTTGATGTTGGCTGAATCCTCCGAATAGATCTGCGAGGTTCAACAACTTCAGAGATTGTTTTCATTGAATTGCCATTGAAAGCTTTTTCCTCCTCAATTTTAGCTAACTTCCCAGCAGCTGCTGCAAGTTTTCCTTTACTAATCCGTTCTGATTTAGCATTTGATGTAGAAATTTTCTTGGGGGGAGCATCTGATGAGAAAGCCACAGAAGAAAATAAGACAGGGCCCTCAGATGCTCCATCAGAACTTGAAAATGATCTAAACTCCTTTCCCGATATATTCTCAGCATGGCTTAAAGAATCCTTGAATTTTGACACATCTGCAGCCACATTATCATCAGGTTCCGAAACCACAGTGTTTGACAAGTTGTCCTGAGGGATAGTTCTACTAGAAATACTAGGAGGTTTTCCGGACTTGAGAACCTTAGGTTTGGATACAGCCATTCGTTTTCCCTTTGGTTCAATTTTACTTTTTGTTCCATGGAGCTCAGATCCTTGAGGCATAAAAAAATTTGTAAACTTAGCTGAATCACTTGTTTCATGAGTCTTACTTCTCTGATCTGCAACGTAATGTTTGCTTACTTCCATAAACTTTCTCTTCTTTCCTGGCTTAGGAACACCAAAAATCACTCTTGATCCTTCCTTCTTTAAACCAGTACGTATCATTCTGAGTGAAGCAGGCTTAATCTCATCACTGGTGCTTTTACCGATATTAAATATTTTTTCACTCGCAGAAAAATTCATCAATCTTGTGTCATCAGTTGTCCCAGATTCCTTAATGTCAACCCTTTTTGAAAGCTTATCTTTCCCTTTGGTCTCAACCACAGGACCACCTATCCTTGGTCGCTTTTCCTGTGGGGTGTCACCCTGAAGAAGAGATAAATGACTTAGTACAAAGAAGTAATTAAAAGTATTATCAGAGAAACATCAACCACAAGTATAAGTCAACATATCACCTCCTGGGAGGAGCCATTATTATCCCGAGAAGTGGACCACTCAACCCAACTACCATTCTTCCATATCAGAGAAGGACGAAGGAGCCATGATTTGTAAACAGATGTTTCTCCTTGTGCTGCAACAAAAATAATAACGAAAACCATTATTCTCAAAGCATATGCTACATAGACTTTAATACTAACCACATTACAATCAAGATTGATAATAAATGTTGTACTTGGTCACTCGTACCAGGAAAATTGACAGTAAATGAAGTTTCATCTTTCTTGCTCTTCTCTGTGACAACCCCCTCCCACCAGCTGAAAGACCAATAATCGAATATTATTTCAAACACTGGTTCATTTCTTGACAATTGATGTTGAAAGAACTTCATGCAATGGATGTTGTCTTTCCCCCTCTAAACACAAGAAGAAAATACAGGATGCATAGGAAATACAGAGCATTTGATTCAAAAACGTGGTCCAAAGCCATCCACAAAAACAGGGCTTAAAATTGCCATCTTGTATGCTTATTTGTTAAGACCTTGGCTTAACATCAGTTTCTTCAAAAGTTAAATAACTTGTCAGATTAAAAAATAAATAAATTTTAGGATTCCACAACAAGATCTACATATATTTTCTAAAGGCTGGATTGTTAACTTGTTATTTATAATCACTTTTGTCATAACTAAGCACAAGCTATTTGATGGGTTTCCGAGAAATTTTCCACTGTTAACCTCTGCAAATGAAAATAATGTAGAATTATTAGTTGTATAATTTATCTAACACTAGTTCCGAACGATTTTTACACATTTTTTTCACCATTATTTCCCGTACAGCTAGTGAGACTTTAAATATGCATACAGATTCATCTTGCAGTATTTTTTAGGGCACTATGACAAATCACTAATGTTGCTAGTTTGGCTCTCTCTCTTCTAGGTGAATCATTTTTGAACAATGGCATCTGAAAAATTAAGTGCTAGAAAAATTAACTCCCTATATATATATATATATATTTTACGATTATTTTGTCTTTACCTCAATGAACATATCAAATCAGGAATTCATTTCATTTTTCTGGTATTCAATAAGATTAGAATATGAAATATCATAATAATGGTAGAAATTGAATTATTATTATTATTTTGATATTTTATACAAAACTCCATAAGGCTAAATGGCATTAACTCCCACACTACTTCCTCGTAATTCATACAGATTTTTTAATGCTGTCAACAGTACCATTGCTGTCCAATGCACTACAAGAAGATACAGGAAATAACAAACGCATACCTATCTTGCACCCATGCATCAACCCTATCTCCAACAGACCAGTTATATTCCCCCATGGCTGCCCTGCGTCTCTTCCTCGTTCCTTCAAATGGCATGGCCGTAATAGGACGAGCACGGCGTATCCTGGGTGCTCTATCCCCTTCAGCTTCAAGTTCCACCCATTCCTTTAGCCTATCACCATCTATAAGGCGAGCAGTCAAAACAGGTGTGTTAAGAAACCATCATGAGGCAAAACTTCTAATTTTCTCTACCAAGAAAATGATTTGACATAAGTAACCAAAAATTGCAGCATACAAGGTACGTAGACAATTACATTAGAAGAGGAAAAAACCCTCACTGTGGTGCATTTAATCATATTTTCTCTCCACAAAAGCACACATCATACAAGCAGAATTCCTGATTCATCATACAGATAATCATGCAATAATCCCAAAAGAGAAAGTGAAATTGCATACACATCAAGGAGTTTACACAAAATTTAAGTACAAGGATTTTCCAACAGATCTGCTTTACTAGCTATCAACATTCGATTGATTCAACCAAAGCATGAGCTACAATAGGTGAAATAGCTCACCCTCTGATCGAAGTTCATTGTAACACACATAAGCTTTGCCATCTTTCAAATTAATAATATCAGCCAGGAACCATGCTACTTTCAAGCCACCTCCATCTCTCAATACCTAGAAAGAGGAAATGGTAAAATTGTAAGAAAACCATATACAAATTTAGGATCAATCAAACATTTCCAACTGCAAAATTTCCCTACAGTAACTAGGACAAATGCATACAAAATTTTTCAAAAACACCACTATACCAACATATTTCCATCAAATACAAGTGCACACACATTCGAGCTTAGTAAAGTATACTAAGTAAAATATTTCGGCTAAAGATAAAAATCTCAACCTATATTTCAAGTAAAAATCACAAACCTCAACACGGGAACCCTCCCTTATATTGTTATCCTTTAAAGTTTCCCCTGAATTTTCTTGTTCAGTCTGAGTGATCAAGGAAGGAGATCCAGACCCAATCTCAGACTCAGAAGCGACTCCCTTTGTTTTGACGATATCTGAAGCTTTGCGGCCCTTTTGTCCTTTCTTTTTCTTTCCACTTATTGCAGCAGCACCCAAAATGCCATCGGTCAACCTAGAACGATCCTCCATAGACTCCCTGGTCATCTCCCTAAGAGTAGGTGACATTCCATGGTTATCACTCTGCTTTTCCCTCTTGTCTACTGGAACCTCTTTTGGATGCTTGGCAGATGAACCAGGAAAATCACTACCACATTTGTCTATGCATTCTTTGATAGCACCATCTGGCTCAGCAGATGCTTGGGGTACTTTCCAATATGCTTCTGGACCAGTCTCTAACAATTCAGTCAATGGGAAAGCCTCACCCATAGCAACAATCTTTCCAACATGTGATACTGCTTCAGCTGCCAGCTCAGCAGCTTTAACAATGGCATCCATGTTTTCAGCTTGCTTTGAAGCAGCTGAGGCAGCTTCTACCCTCCTTCTAGCAGCTTCCCTTGCAGCAACGATAACAGAATTCGAACTAGTAGTAGCATCTTCAACACTCAAGATGGATACATGAGTAGCCTTGCCAAGCTTCTTCACACCATCAGAAGAGATAGCATTAGTTGGTATAGAATTTCTGTAGCCACTTGAAACCAATGCTTCATCAGCCATCAATTTTGCTTGAAAGGCAGCATTTGAGGCAACATTAGCAGCCGCAGCTGCAGCCTTTGCAACAGCAGCAGCTGCTGCTATTGCAACAGCTGCAGAAGTCAATTTAGTTTCAATATCTGGTGCCAGCCCAGAATTTTTGTGCTTGTCCAATTGGTTCCATATTTCTTGACTGTGACTAACAGCAGCAGCAGCAAGAACAGCAGCATCCTCAGCCTGCTTCTGAGCCTCCTTGAGTTTACTAAGGGCCTCTTCAGACAGGGTAGCCCTATGATCTAAATCTCGGTCACCCTTTTTGAGATGATCAGCTGAGACAGATGTAATGAATTTATCTGTGGATGACTTGGAAATAATGGTAGCAGGTATTGCAATGGCAGCAGATGTAGATGTATGACTAGTCACAACAGTAGCCAAACAGGACTCTGTTTGAGAATGCAGTATAATCTGTCCAGGGTCCTCAGAAACCGTAGACTTTTTTCTTTTTCTTGGCTTCGGATTAGCAGAACGCGGACCAGGTGTTACTGTTTCCTTTTTTGTGTCGAGCAGGGTAGTCCCTGCAAAAACATTAGCAGGACTCCCACTTTGGACCATAGGAGCTGTGGAAACCTGCTTCATGCCAGAAGAATGAGGCACAGATGCTTCTCTCACAGGAGTCAAATTAACTGTTTCTGTGATAGGAAGCACAGGAAAATGAGCATTGCCATCAAATGCAGGTGTCTGTGGAACCCAGGGGCCACGAAAAGGGGATTGGGACATCCAAGGAGCACTATGTCCAACAAAATTCCTTATAGGTGGAGGATGCAATGAAGAAAGTGCCTGCTGATAATCCATAACTGCACCTCTCAGAATGCCACTAGGTTGAAGAGAATCACCAGAAGGTGTGGGAATACTCCACAATGGCGATGAAAGTGGGATCATTGGGTTTACAATTGTTGTTGGAGTACCCTTGCTGGTGGACCGACTAGCAGGTGATGATGTAACCTTACTCTGAAGTGCATTTTGTTTGAGTGATTGATCAGAAGTTTTAGCACCTGAACACTCAACCAAGGCACAAAGTTAACAAACAACAGAATTAGAAGAAAGTCATTCAACAATTTAAAGTCAAGAGAGATACCTATACGTGTCTGCAATGGAGTTTCAGGGGTAACAAGATGAGATTTTTGACCATGCACCCTGTCTATACATGCACGCCAGGCATTCTCCCATATGGTTCTGCCACCATCTGCAGAAAATAAAAATAGTGAGTAAACCTATATAAAAGCCCCAAGATAACATAGAGATAAGAAAACCTAACCAGGTCCTCCAAATGCCGATATCATAAATGCCTCATCTGGTGCTGTTCCTTGACTGCAGCAACATTGTTTAAAACAGTCAGATAGACATTGCTCAAATGATCAAAAGTCCTATAGTGAAATTGAAATACCAGAGCCAACTAGGGTTGACAAATGATACCAAAGCACATCTAAAAAAATCTCAATACATGCTCCATGTATGCTAGACTGATTGTTGTTAATTTTCAATACCCAGCAGGAAAAAAAAAGAAAAGGACTCAATTTTATGCCAAAACATGTCACTGCAATACAAATACATACTAAAATGAACAAAAATTAGAAAACTTACATCAGAGCTCCATAAACAAAAATCTGAGCACGTAATTGAACTTGTTGTAAATCTGTGAAAGGCTGGTGAAAAACTGCAGATGAAGAAGCTGAGGTGTTCAAGTCTGGCAGACTAGATACTGAAGTAGAAAGAACACCAAATTGTTTCATATTACCACCTTCCATGTGTCCATAGTGCTGCATCTCATTAGATTGCATGACCTGGCCAATCCCAGCTGAACTGAGCGACAGATTACTTGTTTTATCACTTCTTTCAGAATGTCTTGCAGGAGTCGTTTCTTTGGCAGCAAGTCCCTTTTTAGCAGCTTCCTTTCCTGTGCTCTTACCACCTGCTCGCCTTGTTTTACGCTCAGGAGTTCCTTTGGAGCCACCACGCACATTCTCCCTCTCAGACGCCAGAAGATTTGCATGACTTACCTCTTGAGCAGCCTTGGCACCCACTTTGCTTGAGCCAGAGGTTGATGGAGTTCCCTCCACGACCTTCTTGTTGCATTAACACAAAGAGTGAGAGAACAAGTGCAAGAGAGGTACAGAATAACCAGGATGAAGTAATAAAAAATAGCCCTATTTAAAACTTCTCAAAGATCTTCAGCTAGAAGATAAGAATCAGAAAATCGTTAGAGCACAAAGAGATCCACTTAATATAACCAAAAGCATCAGTTTTGTAAAACAAAATTTTACCGAGGATATTTGGTCATGTTGCATGGTAGAAAAGGGTTGCCAATTCTTGCCAGCTTCTTTTGCAGACAAATCTGGCAATGGAGGCACCTCAAAGGTGAAACTTCTGTCTCCTGGAGATGCATAATTTCCTTTTGTATCCTGAGAAATAGACTGCTCTTTGTTTGCTTCCCCATTTATGACCCCAGACACTGAAGAACTCTGATCTTTGGATCCTTTCACACCCTCCTTTTCAATTTTACTTTGTGACTGCTTGGAAGTTCTAATGACAATTGGAGAGCCACAGGAAGGATTGTCAATATCAGCACTACTACTTCCACTTTCCATCATGTGAAACTTAGTTTGAGATTCAGATGAAGGCGCAGAAATAAAGGAACTATTATGAGTCTTTGCAAGATCAACTGCAACAACAAACTAGTCCATCAGAAGAATATCATGAAAAAATTTGGGAGGGGAAAGGATTAACTGATGAAATGGTCTCAAGAAAATAGAGCAATGAAAGATGCTAAGCATGCAATTGGTTTATGGACTGTACATCTCTAGAAACAAATAGACAGTTCATATATTACCCTTAATCAGGATATAACTTCACAAGCGGAAATTACAAGCAAAAGGAAATACATCCCAAGAACTTGGGCGAGAGGGGGGAGAGGTGGGAGGGGCGGCAAAGGAGAAGAAAAAAAACCAACTTTTTACCCACAGGGCAGAGAACAGACTAAGGTACAAGAATGGGGAGGGTGAAGAAGGGATTCCACCATAACAGGCTTAAAAAATCTAATTACAATTACTTAAGAAAAAAATAAAATCATAAAAAAACTCACTGTCAACATGACCACTGATCTTCTCTTCACAAACTAGTTTGGGGTCACACTCATTTGAAGTTGAAGGCACTAAATTTGTCGATGTCTTCTTGTTCTCTTGAATTGATACAGCACCTGAGGGAAATTTTTTGTTTGCTGAATTAGTCTTATGGAGTTTCCAGTATCAGAAATGCAAGGATATATGCTTCACAAAGTATAACAACAGCAGCTCATAGCCAACTGATCATCATCACAAAAATAAAATATTTCAGAAAGATCTAAAACGAGTCAAGGAAACAGCAACATAATGACAAGGTGTGGGCAAACTGTAAAACAGCCATTTACATAATATCTCCAGCTATAGCAGACTACCAAATAGAATTTGCATGCACACCCAACTGGATTAATATATAAGAAATTGCCAACAAGAATGTACTCTATTACATTCAAATTTAGGTTGAGATGATTACTAGGTAAACCAAGATCACCTGCAGCTACAGAAGAACCACTTTGAGAAATAACTTGCGCTTCAGCACCATCAGTCTCCCTCAGTGTTGACTTACAGACAACAGACGATGTTTGCATATCCTTTACAACCTTCAGTGTGACTCTAGGAAGGCCATCAGCATTGAAGGTATCCTCCATTGACATAGACTGATCAATTTTCTTACAAGAGAACTGTCCACCAGTCTCACAAGGTGCATCTTTTTGGGTTTTCATTCCAGAAGTCTTCATGATTGAGAAACTTGCTTCTGAAGATGACACTTGAAGCTCTTTCTGATCAAAAACAGCACCAGCAGGAAGACCCTCACCACATGGCAAAGGAACAGAGTCCACTGTACCGCAGGAACACCAAGTTAGCACATGATCCAGGATGGGTAAAAGAAGGCAAAATGAAAGACAAAAAAAAGCTCAGTTATAAGACTTAATGCTTCAAAATATACATACCTGACTTGCTGCTGACAGCAACATCAGATTGTAAATTTGAAGCTAACTCATTTGCTGTGCCAGCTGTGCCAAAGGATGAGGAATCAACTCCCTTTATTACAGGTGGAGATCCAGCATCCCCACAATCTATGTTACTACAATCAGAAGGCAATTTGGTGTTCTGATTTGCAGCAGCTGAAACACTGTGATCACATTTATAATCATCATGTTCAGTTACTATATACTCTTCACATACTCTCATGGGTTCAGCTACCAAAGTATCGTGGGCACCTTCAGCTTCATCTTCAGCATTAGAACCTTTACCATCTCCCACTAACAACAAAGATTTCTCAGACTTGCTGCTCAAGGTTTTCGTGTCAGGGTGGAACTCACTTTCTAACAAATGCTTCTTCTCAACTGCACCACATGCTATCTGCGCCATTGAATCCATCTTTGACTCTAGACTCGTACAAATTCTAGTATCAGTATCACTGACCTCAGTTTCATGCTCCTTGAGGGTAATATCACCAACGAAGGGCATAGGTGATATTTCATGTAATTTTCCTTCAGATAAGAACATGTCTTTGAATATGCCAGTCTGCAGAGGAATTTCTACACCCAAGCCCTCACTGCACCCTTCCACCATATGGAGGTCAGAATTCCCTTTCAATATCCTATCAATATTCTCACATACAGGAGCTGTGCTATTTTCAATAGCATGTCCATCTTCCTTAGATTGCATGTCATGGGGTGAATCTGAGTCTGAGATAACACTTGCAACTGCATTTTCAGTCAAGTTCTCACCATCAATGTGAACTAGTTGGCTCAAATCAACATTTCCCCTCTCAAAACTGTCCACATTTTCATCAATTATATAATTTTTCAAATGTTTGCTATCTTGACTATCCATCAAAGCACGGCCTGCACATGTGTTTTGCACAGAGGAAATCACAGTATCAACTTGTGACCCAGAAGAAGATTTATCTTCCTGTCCCCTGTTACCCACAGATTGATCAACTGAAGCTTCCACTTGATTTTCATTAACAACAATTTGTTCACCATCTTTATACTCATCTCTGTCAATCATAGGCAAGTCAGTATATCCAGTAATTGGATCTTTGAATGCCCCATCAACAGATGGGTCACATTCATGAGTTTGAGAAACATCTTCAACCAGAAGATCTCCTTCTACATCACCTTTCAATTCAGAAAATTTCCCTGGGATCTCACCTGTCTGTAAGGCAGGCTGTAAATCATCCCCTCCTTTAGAAAAACCACTATCTCCGTGTTTCAAACTAGGCTCCATCTGCTTTATTATGCAGCCCAGTTCATCACAGGCATCTGAATCCTTACTATTAGTTTGACAAGGAATAATTTCGTCCTGTCCTACGGATTTTAATAGCATTTCAACAGATTCTGAGGAGGCTGCCTCAGACCAGACATTGTTGCGCCTAGAAATCGAACAAGGTTCTGCTTCACTTGATCTAAATGCAATCCCAGTACTACCCCGTGAAAAATCTTCAATCCACTGAGTATCTTCGCTACTTTCAATGCCGAGAAAAACTTCAGTTTCAACCAAACTATCAAATCTTATATGCCCATGAAGGTTCTCATCAAAATCAAATCTTGGGAGAGCATATGGGCGCAAAACAGGAGGAAATTTATTGTTCCCTTCACCAGCTAAATGAAGATTCTGGCTTTGGAAATCATTGTCATCATAATCCATGAGTGTATCCCTACAACAGAAAGAGTTTAGAAGAAGAAAATGGGTTGTCGAATTGTAGTTCAAATAATAGATAGATAAAGGGATCAAGCCTCTGAGTTTTAAGAGTATCCTGGTATGGTATTAATTGCATAGCAAAGGTGTAAATTTTAGAAACTTTCTCCAAACAGAACAATCCACATTAACCAGCTAACTACTTCCAGTATATTTAATACTAATTTACAGTTCAAAGAACAGTAAATTCAAATCAATTAATTAATTAATAGGAAGCATGGAAAGATGCTAACTGTTCACATTGCATAGCCCGATGTCACCACAAAAAAATGGCAACAAGAATAAATATGCAACAAGAGTAAAAATAGATAAAACTTGGGTATGAATTCTTTTCTCTTTCCTGGTACAGCATGAAAATCTGACGAACTACATTTACAAATTTCGATGCATTCAAAGTCAATTTAAAAAAGGAAAATATCTCGCAGTAAACATGCACGAAAAAAGGCAAAAACTAACAAGTAAAACTTCATATCACATCAAGAAAGAGAAAGACCCATCTAGGATTAACTAAGTTATATAGAACTATAATTACAAAAAATATATGGGGAAAGAAAACTTATGAATTTCCATAATTCACTCCCTAGGACCCAGGAAGAGGTTAATCTGAACCTAGAATATGCCAGCACCTTGATCTTATAGTTTTTTCCAACAATGAACATGGTTTCTCTAAAAACTATTTAGTACATGGAAGTCCTGGCAACTGCTGATAAAATGTATTCATTGACTAATAAGGCTTGGAGGATTCATCTTTATGAATTACAGAAGCCAGAAAAATGTCAACTTGGTCAATTAATGCAAACTTAATGTGATAATTCAAACACAAATCAATTGAAGTTAACATTGGATCATGCTAAAAACTGAAATCTTTTGACACCAAGCAGTTGTGTTTTATCCTATACATTATGAAGTTTAAAAACTTCACAGGCAGGTGTATATAATTGCCACGTCTCCAATGTAAGGAAGTCAACATGGAAGTATTAGGTAAAGATATTTAATTAAATCGAAACTCTGGCAAGCATAAGCCCATCTGTGGAGTTTGAAAACTCCACTGGAGCATCGTAAACTTATTACTTAGTTGCACTCAGATATCAATACCACTAACTTCCAACAAAACCCTAGCTCAAACCACTAACGAGTCAACTGCGAATTCAATCAAATCACTAACTAGTCCACTGTAATTGAATTAAACACAATCTCTAGCTCAAACACATTAACTATTAGAACATTATATTGCAATAAAAGAAACTGGTATAACATAATGACTACACTCAAACTTGAAAAGTGCACAGAAGAACTTAGTTCCAATCTATTTAAGCAGAAAACCACCAAAAAATATTCTAAACTTTAAATAACACTACACTCACCACTTAAAAAGATAGATAACTGTTTTCAAGCTCTAATTAAACACGAAAAACAAAACCCTAAAAGGTCATTTGTTTTATTAAAAAACTAAGTAGGAATATGAACGGTTACCAGAGCAAGTAAGTCTAGAGACGCTACCTCCCTCCATCCGGTGAAGAAATCCCTGGCCGTTTGATCTCAACTCCTCCGTAATCGTACGTTCATCTACTGCACCACAAAACTCCAATTCATAACAACACCACTTTAACCACACCATAACAACAACAACAACAACAAGAAGGAACCAAACTTCGAACAAAGAGGAAACAAAAAAAAAAAAGATAAAAAGAAAAGGAAAAGGAAATTTTGTTTAAATAAAAACTAAACTAACAGAGGAGCAAACTAATTGAAGAATTAATTAGTAATTGCGACTCACCGGAATCTTGAATTCTCCGGCGGATCGAGTTAGGGTTCCGGTGAATCAAAGTAAAAGGCAGTCAGTGAAGGAATGAGAGGGAAACGTAGAGGGGGAGGACGAGAGAGAAAGAAAAGAGAGATTTTTCTGATGTGTAATAAGAAGAAGCTTTTTGGTACATTTTCCCACTAGGGAAATATAAAAACGAGTGACGGTGATCGTATTTGGAAATGGCCGCGTTCAGTTAACTCGAAAAAATGGCCATCATCTGATGGCCCTCAATGTTTTGGAATATGATACGTGGCTTGTTCTTATACGTACGATAACGAGAAATAATAATGTTAACGAGACGATTACTCTTCTTTTCTTTTGCGACAGACGAGTTCATTGCCGTTCGATTTACTGCACGTGTATGATAATGACGGTAAAGATGGGAACTGTGACTCGTGAAATTTGAGACTAGGTTGACTGTTCTTTATTTAAAAAGTTGGAAAATCCATCGTCATATCTTGTGAGGAACAGGTGGCGGAAGAAAGTTAGGTCAGGTTAGAGGCCTTTATCTATTATATATCTACGGTCCAAATTTTCTTCTGTATTTTGTTAGCTATAGTTTAGTCCGTTGGATCAGAATACTCAGTCCAACGCTTACGGATTAGGTTATAAAAGCAACGTGACAAATATCGCCAAAGATGGTAAAAGGGGGTAAAAAGTAAAATCCGGACAGGGATGTAATTTTATTTTTAAATATGCGTCTTTTTTTTAATATTATAATTATCAAATAAAAATAAAAATTTATATAAAAGTTTATTTCTGAAAAATATAAATTTCATATAAATTTTGATTCATAGACGATTATAAACAAATTCTTGAGCAAAAGAGATTCGGAGAACAATTTGGAACGAGTAAAACAAATGACTGTTCAATTAATATTTTCGATCCTGATTTTTTTTATTAATTCAAGTGTATTTAAAAATAATAAAATAATTCATACTCAAATTTTGAGCCAGATTTTTTTTTTAAATCAAATTTTAAATTATATCGTCTCATCTCGATTTGAACATATATAAAATACATATATTTTATACTTATTTATTTATTATATATATATATTATATTAATAAAATTATTATTTAATATTTTAATTTAAAATATTAATTTAATAAAAATATTATATTTATACATAATTAAAAATAACTTATATTAAAAAATAATATTTAATAAATATTGTATTAAATTAAAATTATTAAATTAATTTTAAATTATATTTTATAAATATTCAGATAAATAAAAATAATATTTTAATATAAAACCAAAATCTAATCGAGTAAAGACAAGCCCTGCCCAGACCCATTTGGCATACTGAACCTTCAACGTGAAGCAAATATGCAATGTTCTCCAAGTAAGGAACCCAGATTACGACAAAGTAGGCCACGATAGTTCCGTTCCCTGAACGCAGCACGCAAAAAAATGGTGACCCACTTTCTTCATGAATTGAGACGGTACCTGTTTGGTTCACACCAAGAAAACAGAGTCGTACTTCGTATAATTTCAAACCCAAGAATTTAGACATTAATAAACGAGTCATGCATTTGCAGCTCTATCACACAATTTTAGCATTTTAAACCTGGATTTAGGCTCCATTTGAATTGGTGAAAGTAATTGTGATAAAATTAAAAATAATAATATTATTATTATAATTATGATTAAAATAAAAATTTTGATAAAACTTTTATATTAAATAAAATTTATTAAAATTAATATTTAAATTTAATTAATAATATAATAAATTTAATCGTATTGTATTAAAAATACAATTGAATTAAAATGAACACTTAATTTTATATATAAAATTGGACAAGTATATCACTAGATGACAATTGAACTAATCACATCAATTTAAGTAAAAGGTAAATCAAGTTATTTGGGTTTTTTTTTTTTTTTTTTGTAAAAAGGAATCTAGGGCCAATTAATCTTACTGTGCTACAATGACTCATTTGCGAAGTATTTAGTTGAGAAATATTCAATCTCAAATAAACACTACTACAGTATTTATTAATATAGGTTTAGATAAGAGGTGATAGTTTTAAAAATTATGATGATTTATACAAGATAATTATATCATGTATTGGATAATGATTTTGGATCATTGAAAATAAAAAATTTATTTTCTTGAAATATGATATAATTATCATTAAAAAAAGTAAAAAAATTTTATTACGAAATAAAATGACATGTAAAATTGATAATAATTAAATATAATAATATTTAATTTTTATAAATTATTAATTGTTAATCAAATAAAATGATTTTAAATCATCAATGATAAAATCATTTTAACAATAAAATCATTTTAATGATTAGATTACCGTAATAATCTTAAAAAATAATGGATCTCACAAGAACAAAAATATAAGAGACTAATAGCTGAACTTGGTAGAACTTTTCCAAAGAAAATATCAACTCTAGATTGAGGAGAATAAGTTAAAAGAAGATCAGGATGTACAATGAAATGAACATGGAATTAAAAGTAAAGATGACCAGAAACCTCACCCCTGGCTAAAAGCTGTGTTTCATAAGCCTCATTAATTGCCTAGACTCAAATTCACACCCACCATGGTTTCTCGGTTAAGTCTTTCGAGAAAATATACCTGAATCTTGAACTATAAGGCAACCATTCAATAACCTGTGATGACTTCTTCTTGGTCTTGGATTTACCATCTATGCATTTCTGTATTGAATTTTGGAGCTTTCTGTCAACATTTTGAATAACCCAGTTCAAGAGGTCATCTGAGCTGATGGAGGCTTCTTTCGCAAACCTTTCTAGCACTCTTGGTAGAAATACTTTCTTTGATTTCTTCACAACTACATTTGCTTGAAGAAACTCTCTTTTTGCAACTTCTAACTCTTCTTTAACATTTGATGCTGTGTAAACTTTTAGCTGCAGACAGTAAGATGAACATTATGTGTAAACCCTACAGAATGGTGGTCTGAATCTTTGAAAGTCAGACTGCATTAACATGTAAAGGAGAAGTAGAAGTTACCATAGGATCAGAAAATGCTCCAGTGCAGAGTGCAAAGCAGGCAAGTGGTTGGGAATATGGAAGACCAAATTTTGAACTGATAAATTGCCTTTCTTCACCAGATTTTTTCCTCAAGGCAGTGGAGATGATGGTCTCTAGCCACTGTTATTTAAAAACAAAAGCAGATAAAATATGTGAATACCTGGAAATTGGCATTTTCCCATGCATCAAAAGAAGCTATGGTAGGTGATTTCCACTATATATGCTATTTACTATTTTTCAAGCAGTTTGAGAATAAGAGCAAAGCCAAATGACTCTTCCTTTATGATTTTACCATGCAAGTGCTGTTTTGGGGTTCAGTGACTGATATACAAGCCAAGTGAGCAAAGGATAAGGTTACAATGGTAATAAACACCTTACACCATTTGTATCACATTATAGCCAAGAATGAGGAATTAAAAGATCATATGAAGAATGGCCGAGAAGTTGTGAGATGTTTATTAATGAATGGGAATGATGCGAAATGATTGATAGATCAGCCACCAAATTATAGTATATTGAATCAATCATAATGAGATATCAACAGACATTGCAAGATTTTGAAATATTAACCCATTTCTATATAGGCACTCTTAGAAGTGAAAAGTAATACCCTTCCAATTCGAGGTGTACGGAAGCAAAATATTGACTGCTCCATGGCATTTGCACTTATGATATGGCCACCAATGTTGTATGCAGCCTGCGCTATACAGAAAAATCAATCAGTTTGGTCGTCTAATAACCGACTCCATCAAAATGAAAGAACATTGAGATGCATCCACTCCCCCGACACATGCACACATGCATAACGAAAGGATACTGAAGATGCATCTGTGAAACAAATCATAATCTTTTAGGAAATGCCAGAAATCGGCATCACTAGAAGCAAAATGTGGTGAACAATGCCAGTGGAAAACTTGAATTTCCTAACTTCGTCTAGATAAAGAAAAGGATTACCTTGTGAAACAAGGCTAACCGTCTCAAAGAACTGTGGGGAATTCCATATGCTAAATATGCCTGCACAAGGCAAAGAGAGTTGATAAAAGTGAAAAGAAAAAGACAAAATCAATGAGATGTTAAATAAATTGAAGATTACATGCATAACAAGGGCATTGTACACATTGATCCAGAATGCAAGTTGGGCATTATATTCCATCTGTCTCACTGCCACTTTTTCTAGTTGTTCCACTAGAGCTCTGAAATTGAACAAATGATGCACAAATTATGTCAGCTTTAAAGAATGTGATGAAATATAAGAGGAAACATACTGTAGCTAGGTTAACAAAAATAAGGAATCATTAAACCTGAATTGGATTCGTATGACAAGAAAAAAAAAAGCAGAAGTTTTTCTTAAATTGCCCGAGCTTAGGGGAGACTTTCCACCAGGATTTTGGCTGCAATGTGCACCTTAATTTCCTCAACACACAGCAGATCCCTGCTTTTTTCTTTTCTTTCATCCTTTTCCCCATCTCTCCCTCTATCTCTATCTTATCTCTCTTTACTCAAGTAGTTATATATGTTCCTATGTATCTATAATAAACCAACCTGTATTTACTAATGGCATAAGATGCACGAGAAAATTGGCTCTTATCAGTTGATATCCATGATATTTCAACATTGGACGTGCAAGAGAAATCCTGGTCCTCTCCAACACCGCGTCTTGGAAGTACAACATTAGTTGATGACCTTGACAGTAAAGGTGATCGGTTTTTCTCAGAATTTAAAGATGTTGCAGTACAAAGCCAGCAATATACTGCTGCCATACATCTGACCATCTCCTCAGACAACTTGCTTGGACATTGGTACAGGTGATCTTTCAGTGTTCGCAGTACTGATGTTTTCTCCATCCCCTGGACCTTTTCATGAGCCTGAAAAATAAGTGAGGATAAGAAAGTCTAGACAAAACATGCATGGCATTATTATGTGACAGACCCAGCTATATGAAGCACCCATATTTCTTACCTTAACCAGGTGCGAACATGTCTTATCAAATAGAATGTCATTTTTTCCACAGAACTGTGAAGCATCAATACTTCTTGAGATTCTTTTCCCAGAGTCATTTGTGGCAACTAGAGCTTGCAAAGGTCTCAGAGGAAACTTTTTTGATGAACAAAATGCACTTGAAATGATACTCGGGTGTTTCCTTGATGTATGTTTTGCATGGGCAGGAGAAGCCTTGCCTGCGCTCTGCTCAGATGGGGGCCGACTAACACAATTGTCAAAAATACTCCTGTAGAGAGAGAGTACATGGTGCTCTCGGTTGGAAACCTCTTCCTCAAGTAACTCGATCTCCGCAATCAATTCCTTTGTCTGAAATTAACCAATCAATGGTTGTCAAGTTATTTTCAAGCAGAGTGCCCTCTACATAACTCACATATGGATTTAGAAAGATGTGAAACATGTTAAAATTATTTCAAGTTTGATTAATAAAGTATTGGAGGAGAGGCCTCACCATATTTGCGGAGGATCAGTTTTCAGCAATAGCCAAGAAGTCATATTCTCAAAGGTAATGTTACCTGTGTAGCAAAATGCCTGTGTCCGGGAGATAAAGTGCTTGAAGCCCTCCCCATTGCTCTCTCAAGCATAGTTCGCATATATTTTTCTTGTTGTAAACGTAATTGCAGCAGTTCTATCTGTAAATGGGAAAGCCATGGTTATGCTGTTGCTGAAAATTATACAGCAAAGAGAACACAATACAGCCATTCGGCATTAACGAGTCATTGATGCCACTGTTTTATGTGCACATGAAGTCCCTCAGAGAATAAATAAGGGGTCATTAAAAGAGTTCACCTTCACCATACAATATTTACATAAAGTGGCTAACTCAATTCATGAATATGTACTCTCATATACTTTTCAGCCATTCAGCCAGAAACTTGAGAATCTCAAATGGCCCTCTTCCATATATGCATAATACAACACCATAATTGTTTACTGTATTCAGTATGTAGATAATTCATTTCAGTCATCTATATGAAGGAAAGCTGTGAGAACTGAAAAACAGTGTTACATATTGATTCATCCCAGCTACATTTAAATGTGAATGTGCTGTATTTACAGATCCATCATTCTCATCAAAGAAAGCATTCTAATTTCAAGGCTTACATCTTTTTCTAAAGAGGCTCGCTGGTTCAATGAAGTATTGCTGTTGCTATAAGCAGAGAAGTCATGAAGAGGACTCCGAGTCCTATAAGTCCTTGTTGATAATGGAGATGCCTGCAAATGTTCACATTTGAAAAACAATAAAGAGGTAAAACAAAGAAGAAGAAGAAGTATTCATAATTCTCATTCAACACTGCAATACAAAGTATATATAGCTTCAATATAATGTAAGCATTGGAAAAGCTTGAAGGAAAAAAGATAACATGAAATAGCCACAACTTGGCATTGTTTAGAAATTTTATATTCTCACATGTAGTTCATTCTGCTCTTTCTTTCCAGGATGCAGAACACCACTAGAAACATCCAAATTTCTGTCAGATGCACTGAAAAAAAAGCAAGAATAGAACTTGGACGGTCAGAATGATGTTTAACTGACTGATAGTTACAATCAGTTTGTGAAAAGATTATATGCTAAAAAATTGCACTACTTAAGTTAATCAAACAAAACCTTACTATAACTTATGGCCAATAACAAGAATGGCTAATGACAAGAATTACAATTTATCAAAGCAGTAAGCACTCATTGAGGACTTCATTATTTGTTACTTCACAATCAGAGCAAAGCTCAATGAATCTTTGTAGCTGAAGCAATGGCCTAAGTGTAATTTCTGATGCTATAATTTCTAAATTATTCTGCAAAAAATTACTAAGGTAAATAGATCTAATTTTGAGTTTCATTTGCTCTTTGATGAGACTTAGCAATCAATTAGTCAGTCCCATCAGGGCAAAAAAAAAAAGGGAAATCATTCTTCTGAACCCTGCTTCAATTGTCTTGCCAGCTCAAGTCAATTGAGCCTTAGGCCAAAGTCAAGAGGGTATATCCATGGACCTATTGCACCAAATTCTAACTTATTGGATCCCAAATCTTTCACTTGCTCATCAAGTTAAAGGCAGACTATAATAGTCTAACCTTATTAAAACACCGCATTACAAGAGAAATTTGAAAAAAAAATGCAAACATTATTCAAGTACAAACAAAATAAACCCTTAAAACTCCAGAAAATTTGGCATAGTTGAAATAATTCCCATAATAACAATACTTCCAAGCAAGAAGCAGTGTCCAACATATCTAAAACACATAAACTTGAAAATAGCCCTTTCTAAAACCCAGAGACTAGCTTAGTTGGTTTATGTGGCCACCCTTAAGAGGTAGCGTTCAATAGGTCTGGTTCAAATCATAGTACTTGTAGCCCCTTCTAGTATTCTCAAATTGCGATCTCCTTTGAAAAAAAAAAAAGCCCTTTTTGTGTTTCTTTGAAAAAAAAAAAAAGCTGCTAACACCTTTTTTTCCTTTACATATGAAGAAAAAAAGAAATCCACAAAATTCCAAGAAACTTGATTCCATTCTCAGTTGATTATTACAAACAAGTTGACATGACAACATAAGAAACTTGTAAGGTGAAGGTCACCTCTTAGAGCGCCTATGTTGAGCCTGAACATGTGAATGCGATGACCAAGAACAATCTTCAGTCTCTTTCTTTCCTCCTGCTGCTGCTGCAACTGCACCTGCTTCTTCCTGATCTAAACGGAAATCATCCATATCCTGTGTCAACAACTCTACACACTATTCCAAACTTTCACATTCTTTAATTCAACAGCATACAATAATGATTCACTCTCATATATTATTGCTCACAAACAATCAAAGAACAAGTTTAAATGTGACAAAAATAAATAACACTCGACAAAGATTATATGATGTAATAAAAGGGGCAAGACTCCAGAGATATAGTTCATCAAAAAGGGGTATGTTGAAATTGAATTCAAAGAAAACTTGAATGCTCACATTTGAATATGGAATCAAGTATGAAAGAGAAAAGAATGTGAAGTAAATAGGGCAAAACTTACTCCCTCTAATGGGACCAGGTAGTTGCCTGCCTTGAATTCAATTTGATCACTGGACAGTTGTTGAGAGCATTCAATGTGAGGAGTTATTTCACCTGATCTTTTTTCTCTGTCTTTAATTTCTATCTTCAGAAAAAGTGAATTGGAAAACAAGAACTGTTGGAATTTTTGAAAATGGAAAGCTTGCAAAATCAGTGGGGTTTCTATAGCATTTGGCTACTCTCCATTAATCTTCCAATGACTGACTTCATGCGCCAGAATTCTGTTGCCAGTCAGGAAAGTAATAATAAGGTTAAAAACAACAAAACAAAAGCCATGCAATAGAAATTATGTGATTCTGATAAAATTTACAGCAAGGTAATTTAATTCGGTTGCATGCTTTTTATTTATTTTTTTTGGTTTCTTTTCCTTAGCAACCTTCGAACGTTCTTAAAGTTTAAATGCCAAGCACCTAACCTTTTAGGACAAGAGGAAAGCCGGTAGATGTTCATTTCATCTAACGAATTTTGACGTATTTTAACTTTTTGCAGAGCGTGTAATATATATATATATATATATATAGTTTATATTTGATCTACTTTTAGTATATAAATTTTTTATACTGATAATGAATCAGATTATATCATGTTATTAATAATATCAATCAAATGATACTATCTTGAGTATTTTTTTTAAATATTAATTTTTGTATATTTATTTTAAAGATTAATATTTATTCATTGATGCAGTGGCATCATTTAATTTATTAATATTATAATATATATATATATATGAAGTTTTTTAAGTAAAGTTTGTGAAGTTTTTTTATAAAAATAATTTAATAAAAATTTAAAAATTAATTGATACAACTTAATGTGAATATCAATAATATATAAAAAAAATTATTAAAAATATTTGTTATAATTCAAATTTTATCAATACTTATTCAACAGTAAAAATTTTATTAATATTTTTACTAAAAATGTCTATCTAAAAATAAATATCAAATTATATATATATTTTTTAATTTTACATATTTATTTTATATAAAGAGATTTTTCAATTTATTAATTTTAATTTTTTATTTTAATTTTTTTAATCATTTTAATTATAAACTTAACAAACTTTATTTAAAAAACTTCATCTAAATCTTTATCAAATGTGAAATATACATAATCAAATTGACATAAAAAGCCATTAATAGTTCAAGTTTTTACACAAGTGTGAAGAAAAAAAATATTTTTTATTATATTATATTTTTCATTTAGCATAAAATAAAAAAGATGAGAAAAGAAAAATAAGTGAATTTGTACATTTTTTTTGTTCAAATATGAAAAAAAAATTAATTCAATTTAAATCAATAATTTTATTTATAATTTTATCTTTAATATTTTTTCAAACACAATGAAAGAAAAAAAATTTTCTTTCCTTTCATTCTTTTTTCTTTCGTCACATATTTCTTCCTTGGATTTTCCTTTCTTCCTACTAAATATAATGTAAAAAACAATTTAATTTGAGTATCATAGATAATATTTATTATGTATTTATTTTTTGTTTATATTCAAGATTATGATTAATTAGAGATTGAATATAAATCATTAAAATTAAAAATCTAATTTTTAATCAACAATTTACACGATTATTAACACTTAATACATATTTAATTTAGGTACAAAGATGATCACCTATTCAAACATTCAAACCATAACTACCACAATTATAATATTTGGAAATTTAGTGCCATGAAACCATTATGCCCCTCCAATCAAGGCTAAACTCAAGAAAGACTTGGCCCTAACAAAAAATAAATGCTGGGTTTTTGCATAGTTATGACTGGGATTTAATTTATAACTATTAGAAGTGTAAAATATCTCTTTGTATTTGTAAGCTATTCGAATTTAATTTAAATAAAATTTAAATTCAGTTTAATTATTATTGAGTTGAGTTTAAGTTTGAATAATTAAATTTATCGAATCGAGTTTGAGTATTTTTATATTTAATTTAAGTAATTCATGAGTCTATTTGAATTTTTATATTTTAATTAATAAAATATCTTAAACTCAAGCTCGAGTTTAAATATAAATAATTAATTTTTTATCAAATATAATAATCGAATTTATTTTTACACGTTAATCGAATTTAATCGAGTGAATTTGAGTAGTTCGATTTTTATCTTGAATCGAATTTAAACTAAAAAAATAAAACTTGATTGAGTTCAAGTTGAATTTCAAATGTCAAATTTTAAGTCGAGCTCAAACTTAAACTCAATACTGTATTGATTCGAACTCAATCGATTATAATCTTAATAATGACAAGGGGAGTGAACCGTCTTGTCTTGCTTGATTTTTTTTTTTATTTATATTAAACAATAAATAAGTTGACAAAAGTCGGTCAGTGTTTGAACTATGTGATTATCAGTTTCTTTTTGGGAGAACACTGTTTCATCTTTAAAAAAAAATTAAATAAATGGTTTTGAGTTTGAGACAAGAACTTGAAACCGTTGAATTTGAATGTTTCTCATCTAGTTTGCATAAATTTCTTATACGTAAAATTAATTATTTATTAGTTTATTAAAAATTAAAGTAAATGATAATTTTTTATTAAAAATTTCTAAAATACCCTAACACTTGTGATAAGATTTAGTTTTAGACACAAATTACAACTTATTAAAATAAAAATAAAAAATTTTAAAAGAAAATTAATCTAATATCAAACATGATCCAATCTGAATTTTTTCAAAAACGGTGTCTGCAATGCTGATCTTCATACTTAAGAAGAAACAGATGAGAATGGACAAAAGTCAATGCAATGATATTTATACCAACAGCATTAACAGCAAAGCACCAACTTGCATTTAGTGGTAGCATTATTACAAGAAACTTGGAGTTAGATGCTGTGAATTTCAATGTAGAAAACATCATCCATTTCACCAGGAAAAATTAAGCTGAAATTTCAACAAACTTTAATATATTATTTGCGTTACTTAGGTTTTATTTAGATGAATGATGAGATTAATTATGATGAGATAATAATAGTAATAAAATTTATTATAATTGCTATTAAAAAAATTATTATAATTACGGTTGAAAAAAAAATTTATTAAAAAATTTATGCTGACATTACTTCATTAGAGTTGACATTTAGATTCAACTAAAGATATGATGAACTTAATCGCTTCACACAAAAAATATGGTGGGATCAAAACGGTTACTTACTTATTAGGTTTAATTAATATTTGATGCAAAAAAAAAAATTTGAAAATAATTCTAGCTACTTGAATTAAACAAAAATGGCTAAGCATAAAGATTATTGCATCAATCAACTTCTACAAGTGGAAAAGGATGTTATGTAAGTATTATTTATACTTTGCCATTGAACAAAAAAAAATTTTCCAAGGAGATTTCACTATGAAAGAGGGCAATAAAAGGCATAATCCTAAAGTGTTTCTACTAATTACCCACCTTAGACATAAAAATCAGGTTTGATAATTTAAAATATGAAATGGTGGTTTAATATGAATATTGTATATGAAAATGATATTGATTAAAATTTTAATAATAATTATATATAAGTTTATTAAAATATATATTTTTATATTAATATAAATTATAATAATTAATTTTTATATAAAATATAATGTTTAATATTTTACACGAATAACCAGATCACTAATAGAAATGCTGCTTCAAACCAGATTACAATAAAAATGCAATGCCATCAGACCTCTAGCAATAATGTAATGGAGCATACTTTCATGATATTCCATCACAAACCCACTAATCCTTCTTAGTTTTTAAAAGAAACCCATTGTCTATTTGTTCATAAATTACTAGTTAAGTTGTTTGTCTTATTGTCATAATTCCTATAATTTATCAGAAGGCGGTTGGTGGGTTGCCAATCGGACGTGCCACTGTTGTAGGCCATAGTCGGTGCCGGCGATGAGTTTCTTTTCTTGATCTACTAGCTGCTTAGCTTTATATATATGCCTTCTTCATACAATGTAATCTCACCCAGAGAAATTGAAATGTGAGATAGGCACACGTTTCTTAGTCTTGGGCTCAGTTTTTGAGGTTTTCTACGTGTTTTTGTGAGCCAAAAATGGTGAAGTTAGCTTTCGGTAGCTTTGGTGATTCTTTCAGGGTTGGATCTCTCAAGGCATATTTGGCTGATGTCGGATCGGCTATTGCTTATGGTGAGTGTGCAAAATTAATCACCCTGGTTTAATATTGCCTTTAAAAAACTACAAGATTACGAGCAGATAAACTTTCTTAGGATGTTGTTAATCCCTAGCTATACTTTGCTAGCTAGCTAGCTAGCATTGTTGCTGCTTCCTTGTGCCCTCCTTTAAATCAACCTTGTTTGGGGGCAAAAGAATTGGTCGTGTTGACCATCAATTCAATTCCCTTTTTCCATCCATCAATCTAATCTATCCAATTTAACTTAAAGGTGTCACAATTTATTTAAAAATATTAATCTATCATTAAATTTTTAACATTTATTTATTTTATTCATGGATGAATATATTACGTGTTTAAATCACTTCTAATTTATAACTTTTAAAATTTTAATTAACATACATATTATTTGAATTAATACTCATTTCACATTAATTTTTTACAATTTTATGTTTGCTAAACTTGGATTATTACTACTGTTGCAATATATATATATTTTTTTTAATAAAAGAGATCACATATGCCCTCTTTGTTGGGCTATCCATCGCAGCCAACATCTCAGATGGCCATTTGAATCCAGCCATCATGTTTGGGCTGGCCGTTGGAGGCAACATCACCATCTTAACTGGCATTTTCTACTGGATTGCCCAATGCCTTGGCTCCGTTGTGGCTCGCCTTCTTCTCCAGTTTGTTACAAATGGACTGGTAAGGAAGAACTTAATCAAGCAATCAAAAACTTAAAACAGTTTCTAAAAAAAAAAAAATCACTGCTTTTGACTTTTGAAAATGCTTCAAAATTTATTTACTTGAATTCTTCAATGGTTTGCATCTTGCAGAGAGTCCCAGTCCACAGCGTTGCTTCAGGAATAAAGCTGTCGAAGGTCTTGTCATGGAGATTGTGATAACATTTGCCCTGGCCCACACCGTGTCTGCCACAGCAGCTGACCCCAAGAAGGGTTCTCTAGGAATAATCGCACCCATTGCAATTGGTTTCATCGTTGGTGCTAACATATTAGCCGCTGGTCCATTCAGTGGTGGTTCAATGAACCCAGCCCGTTCATTTGGACCAGCTGTCGTCAGTGGGAACTTCCCGATTAATTGGATCTATTGGGTTGGCCCACTCATTGGAGGAGGGTTGGCTGGGCTGATTTAGGTTATCTATAAAATAAATATATTTATTAATTTATTAATTTAATTATATCTTTTTATAACGTAAATAAAATATTATTTTTAAAAAATATTAACATTACTAACTTGCATAACTATTAAAATATGATTCCTAACAAAATCAAACACAATAATTTTTAATTCAAAAAATTAATGATTGGTAATCATGATTTTAAGTTACAAGTTATACAATCATCATAAAAACAACATAATTTCAATTATTAAATTATCATGATAATTAAAAAATGATATAAAAAATTATCTCAATACATTATTTTAACCTTGATTAATATTTGATTTTGACTTTATTAAGCAATGCATGAAAAATAAAGATAAAAATATAAACTAGGAAGGAACCAAAATTTGACTTTAATAAGCAATTTCATATGTTATAAATAAGATATTAATGATTAATGTTTTGAGGAACGCACACAGACCTTCACCAAGAATGAATAACGGAAAAGGAAAACGTGGATCTAATTAGTAATTATATTCTTTTTTTTTTCTTTTTGTTGCAAAAAATGTCCACACTATATATATTTTTTTTTATATAAAGGGAGTTAGTTCACATTATAATCAAATTTTAATTTTAAAATCACATTATAATAAAAAAATGTTGCAAAAAAATTCACATTATAATCAAAATTTAATTTTTTAAAATCTAAATCACATATTACTTTATATTATTCAAAAGGGTGAGTAATGGTCAACCGTTCGTCAAAGAGAAAATGATTATCCTTTTTCCACGAAAAAATCATTATTCACGTGGCAATTAATTAAATTATTAAAAAACCTATGATTTCAATGAAAAAAAAAAAAAAACAATTGTTTCATGTGGAGGTAGTTGATCGCGTACAAACAGCGCGACAAGTGTCTGATGTTCTAACTTTTTTATTTACTATTCTTTCCCTTTTTTTTTTTCATTTATTTTAGATGTTATAAATTTATATTTTATTTTTTTAATGTCTAATTTTTTATATTTTAAAATTAATTTTTATGATTTTTTTCACTTTTGATATTAAAAATTATGAAATTTGAATTTTATAAAAATTTTAAAATTTAATATTAAATATATTCAAATTAATTTTTTAATTTCGTAAAAATTAATAACCTCTAAATAATTTCGGACGCGAGGGAGTACTTATTTATAAAATCCTTTATATGCTTGTATCGCCACTTGCTACATATATCAATATAAACCATGGCGTAGCAGTATCAGAGGCAGAGGCAGAGGCAGGCAAGGCCAATTGCTCGAGAAATTTCGAAGGAAACAACAGCAAGCAAGATGCAAAGCTTCAAAACATTGAGTCGTTCTTTTAGCAAGCATTTTCCGTCTTTTACCAGAAGCCTGTGCTCTGTCGTCAACAGCTCTAGCAATTATGACAACTTGGTGAGCTTTTGATACAATAATGGCTTTTATTTGTTGCTTACAAATTAAAAGGGAAATTAAAGCAGCAGATAACTGATAACCTACAAATTTTCCAATTTTTTTTCAAGGTATTAGTTGAAGAGAGAGCTAGTTCAAGAACTGTCATACTTAACAGACCCCATGTCCTCAATGCTCTTACTACTCCAATGGTTTTTTTGTTTTTTAACCATTTTCCCTTTTTCTTTTATCATCAAAAGTATTCATACACCATTGATGTCTTAATTTTTAAATTTATCAGGGAATTCTTCTTAATAAATTGTACAAATCCTGGGAAAGGGACCCTAATGTTGATTTTGTTGTAATCAAGGTAAGTTCACTGATTCAAGAAACTTTTTTTTTTTGGTTTTTTTGGATAAATAAACTTTTTTTTTTGTTCTTTAAGGGAAATGGCAGGGCATTTTGTTCAGGGGGAGATGTCGTTAAGCTATATCAATTAATAAATGAAGGTGAGAAAGTTTTGTTGTATGTTGCGTAATGTCTTGCACTATAGTATAATATCCATTCTACAGTAAAAAAAAAATTCTCATTTTGGCATTTGAATTTTTAATACTTCACTATGAAATTGCATGATAAATTGATAATCATATATGTTTTAAATTACTACTTGCATATCAGAATTGAAAATCATTTTCTATGATTGAAATACGGGTAGATTTGATTTTTGCTATCAGCAATCTTGTAACGTAGTTTTTGCTGTATTATTCAGGGAGAGTGGAAGAATGTAAAGAATGTTTCAGGACATTTTACAGTTTTATGTACCTTTTAGGCACATATTTGAAGCCGCATGTGAGTCTGCTATTCTTTCTTATTTAACAAGTAAACAAAGGATAATCATCAAAATCTGCAACAGCTTTCAATTGCCTGATTTTTGTCACTGGATTTTGCCCAGGAAAATTTCATTCATTTTCAGATTTGGTGACACTTAGGTCTCACCCTTCTGTTCTTCAGAAGTTAGTTTGAGGCTTGAATCTTCTCTACAACTGTTTCAGTGACTACTGTTGCTTTGAATGTTTCCTTTTAATCCTTGTTTGATGCAAACAGATAGCTATCTTGGATGGCATTACAATGGGAGGAGGTGCAGGGATTTCAGTTCATGGTTCTTATCGCGTTGCGACAGACAAGACTGTAAGTGCTGTAGATATGCACTTTTTGAATTGAATCAAACCCATTACTTCCGCCAAATCAGGGAGACATCAGAGTAGAATTCTACTTTTTGACTAGAATTGGAGAGGCCATGAAAATCATTTTGAACCAGAATAGATAAATGCAGGTTTTTGGTATTCCTGAAGTTCTAATTGGTTTCCATCCGGATGCTGGGGCTTCTTATTATCTCTCACGCCTGCCAGGCTATTTAGGTAGGCTCTTAAGTTAGCACTTTGCCCATTATTGTAGTTTATAAACACTACTTTTGATAAAAAAAAATGCTTATCAGCATTTGAACTTTAGACCAACATTTTGATCCAGAGGCTTTCACGCTAATGGAATATCTATACCTGAACAAACATCATAACGATTTCTCGGTAATTATAACAATTCCTTGGCTGCTACTGCATTTTTCATCACAGGGGAATATCTGGCTCTGACTGGTGATATACTTACTGGAGAAGAAATGTTTGCTTGTGGACTTGCAACTCACTATTCATTGAGCATAGTTCGTCCATTATCTTTTGAACCTTTTCCCTTGTCGACGTATAAGTATCAACTCTAATCTAGCCTGTTCATATGTTAATATTTTTCTTCTTCTTTTTGTAATAACTAGAAGCTTCAAGAAATTGAAATGCAACTCAGCAAATTAGCCACAAAAGACTTTTCTGTCGTGGAAACCTTTCTGGCTAGATATAATGATCCCAGGTGTCTAAATTCATCAAGTGTTCTTCACAGGTTTATATGCATACAACCTTTTTTTTTCCATAAATTCTCAATTCTCAACACATAGCCATGTTTCGGTTAACTACTTTGTCTGTACCGTATATTCAGGATGGAGATGCTAAACAAATGTTTTGGCCATGGCACAGTTGAGGAAATTATTAATGCTTTGGTAAGACCAACTTAATTTCCTAATAAAGGATTCCTTTAAGATAAACCTGAATCCAGAACCATAATCATTAAGTACAGCCTGTTCATCCCATCCCCAACTTCGTTTTTTGTTAGTCTAGTAGTAAAATTTTTCAAACTTTTCAGGAGGCTGAAGCAGCTAGATCAAAAGACAAATGGTGTATTTCAACCTTGAAGAAACTGAGATCAGCTCCACCTTTGAGCTTGAAGGTTTCCTTAAGATCTGTAAGCTCTGTTCCAACTCACTCTACACATAGAATTGCTCGAGTCACAGCCTAATAATGGTTGATTAACGGCCCATATAATAGATACGAGAAGGCAGGTTTCAAACTCTGGAGCAATGTCTTGCCCGCGAGTGTCGGATGACTCTTCAAGCTATCACCAGGCAGATCTCTAATGACTTCTCTGAGGTACAAACTAAAACTTTAGTTCCTTCAAAATTGGTACTGTAACTTTCTATTGATCCCCTTTTATGCACAATGTTAGGGAGTTCGGGCACGATTGGTCGATAAATGCTTTGCACCAAAGGTATTTTCCAAACTGGTAATAAATTTTTGACAAAAATTTTGCTAGTGAACAGTGAACTAACATCAGACATTGCATGCAGTGGGATCCATCCTGTCTGGAGAAAGTGTCTGCAGATATGGTTGACGAATATTTTTCTCCCCTTAACGCGTATGAGCCTGAACTAGAATTATCAGTGAACTTCCGAGAAGCTGGTCTGTAGTGTTAGTCATATATCATTTGTTAGCTGCAGTCAAGATGAGCACAGACAGGGCATTTAATTCCAATAATGCAACAGTGACCTGTTTGATCAGCGATTGTGGTTATGTACTTGAAAATTTTCCCGTGTTAAGTTCCTTAGCCTATTAAAAACTTTATTTGTCCCAATTTCCATGCGCTTGCAAATGGGGGAGAACAACTTTCTGTCACATCTTTTGCTTTGGCTATGGTGTGGGCATCGATTCCTTTGATAATGTGTGAAATAGTGGAGTTAGATCTGCTTTAGAATAATGCTGAGCTGGAAGTTGTTTTGGTCATTGGTTAAGACATGGATGGAGGCAAATAAACAGAAAAGGTCTTTGTCAGTGGATCGCTTTTTGAAAGGCGAACAAGTGGTGCATGATGACAACTTTTTTGCATCCAATTACTTTTTCAACCACATGTGCCCATTTTCTTTTCATTGATTCACTTTGACTTAGAATGCCCTATCCTAATGATCATTACTAAGCTATGTAAATTATATCAATCTTTTTAAATCATTGGACGTGTTGCATAAATTGTTATCTCTAAAAATCCTATTTTTCATTCATTTATTCATTCAATTGATAAGTATTTTTTTAATAGATTCATAAAAATTTTATAAGTGAATGAGAGATGAATGATTAAAAAATTAAAATAATAAAATTTTTTAATTCTTCTTATGAATTAAAGTTACAACTATTTATTTTTTTGGCCAAGACAACTAGATAGTTTTGTTACATTATTTTTTCGTCTTGTCATTTTTTTAAGGAGTTTTTTCGTATATCATCCGTAAATGCTTCACTTCAGTTTTATTTTTTTTCGAATTAATATTATTTAAGTTGTTTATTCCTCTTAGAATATTTCCTTTCTAAGCTTTCTTTAACTGTGCATCGGATTGATTTTACGATTTCAAAAATAAGTAATTTAAGAATCCAAAAATACAAAAATTAAATTATGAAAAATAAGATTTTGACAGAACATTTTATGTTGAGCCAATCAAACATCTCTTTAAGCTATGTTTAACTTTATGTACTTAAAATATTTTTAATTACATAATGATTGTGAATGGCAGCTCAAGGAAAACCATAGAAGTTACATGTAAGAGGTAGCTTTCAATAGCAAAAATAGATGATTAATATCTTACTATGTGTTTGTTCATTTTTATTGTTATCATGTGGTTAAAGGTAGCTTTCAAGTGGTTAAACCACCCCAGAACTTTTCCCCTCAATCAAATTGATACATCCACATCTTATATGGTGCTTTAGAAGTGGAAAGGGGAGAAAAAGAACAAAAGAGATATAATTGGCCATATCCTAACATGTTGGTGTCAAATCTATTCGAAACCCCCCCAAAGTCTTTGGGATGGATTTCTTGACAAATTTGGAAATAATAAAAAATGGGGGTCCATAAAAATCCTTCTAATGCATACGTTTTATATACTATGGTACATATTTCTTGCCATACGTGATGACCATGATTTTTATGTACAAAAGGCAAAAAAATATTAATTTCAATTTTGATTTTGTTAAAGACATTTTTAGGTTAAAAGGATAAATTGGTTTTTTTTTTTATTAGAGGTTACGAGTATACACTCAAAAATATTTTTGAATTTTGAGTCACTTGACATATACAGTATCACATTAACTTGATTATGTTACTATTCTATCTCACGAATTCCTTCATATTTCGCCTATAAGTAAAATTATTCAAGTACTATCAATCCAGTATAATTTTTTCTTACATTTTTATTTTATTTTTTTAAACCTTTCTCATTCTGATTTTTAACTTGAGTATTGAAATGTAAATATAAAGGATGTCCCCTATCTTTATCTTAATCACTTTCTTTATTTTTATATGATTTCGGGTTTCTTATCTTCAACTTGAAATTTAGTATCAACAGATTTATTATAAATTTTAAAAAATAAATAATTTAAATTTAAATATGTACTATTATTATTAAATCACATATTGAAGTGCATAATTTTAATTTTGAATGAATCTAAACTAGTGTTATAGATATGACGATGTGTTATTTAGCATATTTAATTTAGAATTTGCAACCTTTTCAATTATTTGGTTATGGTCTTGAACTTGGGGAGACTTTATACAGTCTGGCCTTAGTCAAATCATGCTATCAGGATAGAATATCTTTGTTCATATATCATGAAATCTTCGGGCCATTCCCCTGCCTTTTTTCAGTTCTAAAGATAAGTATAAAAGATGCCATCATGATCATCTTCACTATCCCAAAGTTTCAAACTTAAAAACAAAACCGTTTGGTAGAAACAGGGAAAGAGTAACTTGGTTATAGTTGTTGTGGTAGAACCCCCGTGAGCAGTTGCCAAAACATTGCTTGAACACATTTTTCCACTGTAAAAAAGCATTTGTTTATAGCTAGGCATATGTTTCATATATCCGAACCATTGTAAACAATTTTTCCTCATATTTTCTTCAATTTGAACTATTTTTAAATTTTTTCGAGTCTCTTTATTTTTTATTTATACTATAACTAATTAAATCTAAGTATTGTTTAGATTTAAACATTTTTTTCTATCACGTCGTACTAAATCTAATATTTAAAACAACGTGATAAAAATTTCATCGAATCGATCATTCAAATGAATCAAGTATCTCATACAGACGGTAAAAGACAAATACAGTTATGTATATAAGAGAACTACTTAATATCGAACGTCAAAAGTTGCCGAATTTTACTTTATTTATTTGTTAGGTAGCTCTATGAAGTTGATTGACGTTTCGGTCATGATCAGGAATAGCTTGGAAGTAACATTACCACCGACTTCAATTTAGTCCTGATCAAGATGATGTCGCATATTCCAGTGTCTTGATCCTGATTTAGCATCGAAAAATCACGATAATTTGCAGATAAAATACAGATTAAGTACTGAAAAGCTTATCTTTGATTCTTTGTTAATTTCGACTTAGCAAATTGGCAATCAAAAGGAAAGCAGATTGATGAAGAGCCAACCACCGCTAGCTCTTCAAAGACAAAGTTTTGGGACCAGAGCTGAGGTTAAATAATTGGAGCTAGGTCTCGGAAGAGAAACAGACATGAACCAACCCATGTAAAATCCACGTGAACATCGTTTCTTTGTCTGGGATACCAGGTAGGCTGGCTGGGGCAATAATCAAGTTGACACGCCATTCGGTAAATTGAATCATTAATCGAGTTCCATTATTTCTAAATACAACAGATTTTTCCTTGCAAATTCTGGAAAACCAAGTTCCATTTCTAACATGGTCCATTTACGTAGGACCAGATTTGTAATGACAAGAAACCCTAGTTTCTCTCAAGATTGTTATGGCTTCAACCACACATATAACAAATTAATCGGCTCAATATAAAAACTCAAGATTCTCTTCCCAATTTACATCTGGTTTTGGAAAAGAATTTAGAAAACGGATCAAGTTTTGTTTGGTCGTTATTAGATTTAGAAACTAGCAACTATTCTCAACCATCCGATTAAGCAGATAAAACCAATGTGGCAGACATCCATGGAAGCATCAAATCCTTAAACGAACCCACCGTCCAGTCAAAGTTTCATGCAAGGCCATTGGCTACAGTTGGTCAAACACTTGCAAGACTTCCAACAAAAAAAGATGAAAAAAAAATTATTTTCTTAGTACTAAGCATGTGATCATGGATACATGCGTTTAATTGCAGGAGTCTTAAGAAACAGTCCCCCCTTCTCCAGGACAAATGACATTCTTTATGTTCCTTAAGCTAGTACTTTATTAATATATATTTTTGGGTTTCGTGGATTCTGTTTTGACAACTCCCAGTCACCTGAATTCATGGGGGGTTCAAAGCACTAGATTTTGATATCTGTTCCTGCTTACTATTATTTTGTCACTCACTGTTTTAAGGGGATCCTTCTTTATAATTATGAGTTGGCTCCGACAAGACAGTAAGTTTTGTTTATAGGACAGAACCTTTCTGGTTTTAAAAGGCAATGATTTTTTTTTTCAACTTTATATTACCTCTTTAGAATTGTTTTCTTTCATTTCATCTTACAGTCAATCAAGGACAAAAGATATCAAAAGTTTTGAAGGAGTACTATTGCTACAGGAGATTATAGCTAGGAAAATTTAGCTTTTAAATTCATCGAAAAAATGTCAAGTGTTTCCTGTTGGCTGAAAGAATCCTAAGGTAGAAATGCAAAGTGGGTTTTATTCAGCTTGGAAGAGTGGTTCTTTGTTTGGGCTAGAGAACGTGGAAGGGGATGGAAAGCTGAAAGCAGCATCGTCTTTGCCATCTATTCCTCAGCCACAAACACCAAAGGAGCCTATGGAGTTTTTGTCTAGATCATGGAGTCTATCTGCATCAGAACTTTCAAAAGCACTTGCTAAGAAACAGAAACGGAAACAGTTTGAATTTGATAATAATCCAAGTTCGTTTCCAGACAACTTTATTGCACCGCAAATTGTAAGTGATCTTAATCTTAGCATCGTTTTTCCCTTTCTAAAAGCTCCATATTATACCCTTTTTCTTTTTTCCTTTTCTTCTCCGTTCCTCAGGATCCTTGAGTTTCAATGGATCAAAACTAAATTTTTGTCCTTCTTGATAGATTGTATTTGCATATTTTGACTTTTTGTTTCTTGGCCTTTCGTTAACATTGCCTTTGATGTGATAGTTCCCTGTAAGAAAGAAAGACTGGTTGTAATAGGCAATTTCTTTGAATGGTTGGCTGACGAAATTATAAGAACCCAACCGACTTCATAGATTTCTATGCTCTAATTTTTCCTTTTAACCTTTTCTTTTCTGTCTGGAAAGTACAATTGTTAAATTTTTTTTTTCTGCTTATTTTGTAGGCAGGGAAAGTCATAAATACAATCAATGCTCGAAGAACTGGATCAATTGGGAAATGGTTTCATCACCACAAGGAGACAGGTACTAACACAGTGAAGAAGAAAGATAAGATACGAGCAGAAAATGCTCGGGTGCACTCTGCTGTTTCCGTTGCTGGACTAGCTGCAGGCTTGGCAGCAGTAGCCGCAGCTGGAAACTCCAATGGCATAGGTTCACAAATGAGCATGGCATTGGCATCTGCTACTGAACTTTTGGCATCACATTGCATTGAATTAGCTGAACTAGCCGGAGCTGATCATGACCGTGTTGCTTCAGTTGTCAAATCCGCTGTGGATATTCAAACTGCTGGTGATCTGATGACTCTCACAGCAGCAGCTGCAACAGGTATTTGCTTTATGCAGTTCTTCAAGAAATTCAAAAGCAGTTGTGCCTGAATTTCTACACCATTTTTTTTTCATCCCAAATTATTAATAAACTAATGTTATTTTTTCTTGCAATTTTATGAAATGGCTCTGAATCATAATTTGTTAAAATTTTCCTTGATAAAAATTAGCCTTGAGAGGAGAAGCAGCTTTGAGAGCAAGATTGCCAAAAGAAGCAAAGAAAAATGCTGCTATAAGTCCTTATGAGAGGAGCATGACAGAAGCTCATTGGTCTGCTGCGTTTCATTCTCAAATGAAGGAGCGGAATCCTCCTTGTGAGGGTGAACTTTTGCAACACACAAGAAAAGGTAATTCGCGTTCAAAGCTCAAGATGTCTGAAACTCATCTAGAAACAGGTTTTAGAACTATATAGAATTGATTCAGCTACGAATATTACATCTGAATCACTTGTTACTGCAATTCTCAGGTGTGTTTAGATGGAAGCGTGTCTATGTCTACATCAACAATAAATCTCAGGTAACAAAAAAACTAGATGGAAAAACAAGAAAATAATATTCAATTGCAATCTCTTACAAACGTTCCATTTGTCAGGTCAAGATTAAACTCAAAAGCAAGCATGTTGGAGGGGCATTCTCCAAGAAGAATAAATGTAAGCATTGTATTATTCTACTGTCCAATTTCGCATTAATCTAATGAATTCTCATCATTCAACTCAGTTCCTTTGCCCTTTTTCTACATTTTTTCCCTTTGTTCCCTAATATTTAAATGTCCTATCACTTACCAGGTATTGTATATGGAGTTTGCGATGAGACTTCTGCATGGCCATACAGAAAAGAAAGGGAAACTTCTGAGAATCTCTATTTTGGTCTCAAGACTGGACAAGGTCTTCTAGAGTTCAAGTGTAAAAGCAAGATTCATAAGCAGAAATGGGTTGATGGGATTCAAAATCTTCTCCGTCAAGTCAGCTATACTGAAGCAACTGAGCTTTCTCTTGAATCTTTGAGTATCAATGACTGTATATAGGAAAGAGTATAGTTTGTGCATACATACTGAATTTGGCTTTGTGACATTTTGAATTTCATACATAAACTTTCTTTCAATATGTGAGATATGCAACAAGTTCTTCCAATGTATGCTACTGAAAAGAAAACTGACAAAAATAAAATTGATAATCTTAAAATAAAAACAAAAAAAAATGTTTAAACTAGACAAAATCATCATTTTTAATGAAAAAAAGTTCTTTTTTTTGTCAAGAAAATGGTGAACCAATAAGAACTTAAGTGGCAGTTCAATTCAACAATGGGAATATGGGATGGTTAAAGACTAAAGAGAGAGGGAACCTACGGGGCAATAGAAGACGTGGATGCCATGCGCTAGAGAGGGAGAAGAAGAGGGATCTCCGGGTAAATTTGTAAGATTTTAAGGACCTCTTTGCAAATCCAACAAATTGGAGGGAGCTTGATGAGACCCTGCTTGCGAGAGTCATTTCTTAGAATCCCACTTCTTACCCACCTAAACTGGGCTTGGGTGCTTGGCGACCTGGCCTTCCCTTTTTTTGGGTATTGAAGCTCGCAGATAGGCCCAAATACGACAGCGTTCGAGAAAGGCTATAGATTCAATGGATTTTATTCTAAGCATTGATTTTTTTATTTAAAAAAACTCACACATATGGACTGACACGTGTGAAAATTCTATTACATTGCAAAATCATTAACCCGCAACTAACCGCAGATGATCTGAACCTTAACTTTGTGGGTCCCCCAGTTTTAGTTCATCATCAAAAACTTACCAGACCAATCTCACAGCAGAGAATCGCGAATCCAAGAGATCCAGATTTCCCAGACTAACCGAAACCTTGTAATCTCTGTTAGTAAGTTCCTTTCTTCGTCCAGAGACTTCGAACCGAAGTTACATTCAAAGGAAAGGCCTCTCAAAAATGCCAGTAAGTCTCCCTTCTTCGATTCGATCCGGATCTCAAAATTCTGATGATAAGATTTTTGTTTTTGAATTGTAAGTATCCAATTGATAGTTGATGTTGGGTTACGATTGTGTGCGGTGCAGTTGAAGGGAATGTTAGAGGTGGAACCACCGAGCCCGTTAAGATATATCATCGGAGCAGCAATCATGATGATCGGAGTGGTACTGCCCGTCGGATACATGATGTTCCGTAACAAACGCGTCCCTTCCTCTTCCTCTTACTCCAAACAGACGTAGGTGTGCCTTTACTTGAATGCTCTATTTCCATTCCCTTTAAAAGGAATAACTTTTTTTCCTCGTAATTCTAGAGTTAATTGAGATTTGACAGAAATTAAACCAGGAAATTTATCATTTAATTTTCTGCAAACTTGAATTAACTGAATTTATATAAAATTTCGACTTTGATTGGATTTGAAGAATATTTTATTGATATGGCAAACTAATATTTGTACTTTGTGTTGGCATTTCAGGAACAAAGTTTTGATATAGAGATTTTGGTGGAAGATAGAGATTTTTTTTTTATGCGAAATTGATGGGGTTACATTTTAAAGAAGGCCTTGAATGACCTGCAGATACAACAATGTAAATGAATTGTAAAACCCTCAGTTCTGTTCTATGTTTGTTGTCTTGTTTGGATATTAATTCAAGTTTATAAAAGATTACATGTGTTGTTTTTCTCAATTTTTGAGTTTTTATTAGGTTGGTAATTAGCATCATAATGTATCAATTCTATGATACTGGTTGTTTTGAAGCTAATTTGAGTTTATGAAAACCTGTTCTTTACTTCTTTCATGTGTCTTTGATTAGGTATAAATAGTCAATTTAACATCTATCATGTAGCAGCCCTTCTTTTCCAGAACATCTTTCATTTTTTCTCCTTGTAGTTTCCCTCTTTCATATGGTGTATGATGAAAATGGGAGCATATCATCTATAATTACTGCACAACAATTATCCAATCACAATTTAGAATTGTATAGGTTCTAGTATGGAGCTCACATTTATAAGTGATGAATTCATACATAATTCTTTGTTGTGATTGGACAATTGTAAGATTGTAGTTAAAAAATAGTAAGTGAAATGCTCCTGATGAAAATGGCATTTTGATTTGAATATTTGCTGTCTGTTTCATTGCAGAAAATGGCTTACATCATATTTGTGCTTTGGCTGAAGCAGTGAATATGCTTAGGTTTCTTATATTACTAGTAGTATTTGAGGTTGTATTGGTCTTCTTATGTCTGCTTGTCTAACCAAAGAGGAATATATTTTTACACCACAGGTTAGAAAAGTACTAGTACGAAAGCAATTTAAATGATGCTTTCTTTCCAATTAATTTTCTTGGTGTTAAACTCAGTTCTGATAAGTTGCATTTATAAGAGATTGCTTGAATGATTGAATTGGCCCTTATTTGGGAGGATGTGTTTCTTGTAAAGAATGAGTAGGATCAAAAGAACATGTTACTTTACCATACTAATCTATATCGGATTATTGGTAGGACATGGTAGCACCTTTGCAGAGAGCAAATTACTTACAATTATTATATTACAATTAAACAATCATAATTTAGAATTGTGTGACAATCACACTTATAAGAGGTAGATTTTTATTTAATTATTTGTTATGATTGAACAATTAAAGGATTGCAGGTGAAATGCTCTTTTTTGTTGTGTGAACTGAATTTTGTAGATTGACAGGTCTGTATAATGGAACTAAAGAATATAGGATTGAAATTAGAATAGCATGTCATGGTTGCCACCACATTGCTTGCATCACCATTTACAATCAGGCAACCAGCATATCCTTCATAAGCTGTTGGTCCTAAGATTATTTTTCATTATTAAGGTGTACATTGCCAATGGTTCTATTTATGAGTTCAGCCCATGGTTCCTCATTGATAGCATAAGCGGACGAACAAGCAGAAAAAAGAAAAAAAGCACCAATTCTGCTCACATACTTGGACTAATCATACAACCTTTCCAGTGCTGCTCCAACTCCAACAATGGCATTCCATCCCCTAGCTTACACAACTAATGTACTTGCAACGCACTCTCATGAATCATGCCATCTTCCCAGTGCTTCTCCAACGCGAATTCTTCCCCCCGTCTAATAGAAAACATAAACTCCGAAGCATCACTGTTCTTCGGTGATTTTAACGTCGGGGCTGTCGATCCCATCTTGAAAACAGACACATGGAAGTATCAGAGCAATGGAAAATGCAATCATCATAGTCTAATTAACCATACACCTGGAAGGATCAACGCGAATTCTTTCTATAGTCTCGCATTTTGAACCTGCTATTTCCGAATTCTCCAACATGATCAAGTTCGAGACAAAAACTTATTGTTTATGGCTAGCCTCTCAATTTGATCCAGAATTGCCTTGTTTTCCAGGTATAAAGCACTGCATCACGGCTCTAGCAATTTGGAGTACCTTAACTCTTTGTCTGCAATTAGAGAAAAAAGGTGCAAAGACGCCAGCTGTGGATTGCAAGATGGGTTCATCTCAGTTGCGACGGGGGTTGCAGCACAACTTTCCATCGAGAAGAGCCGGTTTGTTAGCATTGAGGAAGCCTTGGATGAACGTAGTTGTGAAGTTTTTACATAAATCATTCCTTGAAGTCCAAATTTAAGTCTCCATTATGAGAAGCCAAAATCACCATTATTGTTATTTGCTTTCTACTTTTTTATATTTCATTAACAAACAAAATGTTTTAGTATAATAGGTTAAGCTCCAAATGAATGTGTGCGTATCCTTTTTTTTTTTTTTAAATAATTAAACAAAATTTCAATTTCTTTTTTTTTTTTTTGGAAAGCCTAATTCTCGTGCATAATGATCGGCTTTAATTATAAGCCAAAACCCACCTTGTTTTTAATCTGAAATCTGTATTGCCGCCCGTTAGGTGTGCGCATGTTAACAAGGTTACGCACCGCGCTTAATGTAGTAAGGGCCCCGACCCTGTATAAATGCCACACACTCTAGCGCCCTTTTTCATTTTGGCGTTAATTTTTTTGGTGCTCTAATCGAAATGGAAGACGATGCAGGAGAGAGGTCAAGCTTCGTGATCGGTCTTATTGAAAACAGAGCCAAAGAGGTAACTCCGTTTGGTTTCTGAGAAAATGCACGAAAACTGAAAAAATATTTGAGATTCTACTAGTAGTGATTTTTTTTTATTACTCGCACCGAGAGATTTAAAATTTTTTTTATTGAAATAAGGTTATTTTACTGTCTTAACTTGGTAAAATATAGTTTCCACTCGGAATTTGAAAATTAAAAATAAAATCAACTTAAATATTCTCTTTCGTTCACTTTTCTGATTAGGCAAACATGCGTCCCGACTCTTGGCGATCAAGCTTTATTTTATTCGTTTGAAATATAATATAACATGTGTTTCTTTTACGTTTATTTTCTTATTGTGTCTTTTACAAATATGCATGCCTGATTAAAGGTTCACATCACAATGAACGACTAGGTTTTATAAAATTAATGTGAGATAGTACTAAATTAGAGATTAATTAGTTGAAAAAAGAAATTTTGCCTACAGATAATGGCAACCTTAATGGAATGAAAAGAAAAACATTATAGTAAGCAGAGTGTGATTTTACGAGTGGAAGTCGGCATTGAATCAAATATAAGAATATATTGATTTAATAAAACAATGAACTCTGCAGGATTAGATGATTATATAGCAGTGAAATTCATAATGCCTGACTAACTGCAATCACTGTACAGGTTGGAGTGGCTGCCTTCGACCTAAGATCAGCTACATTGCATCTTTCTCAATACATTGAAACCAGTAGCTCATATCAAAATACAAAAACTTTGCTGCATTTCTATGATCCCATGGTGATCATTGTTCCTCCAAACAAACTAGCTCCTGACAGCATGGTGGGAGTATCAGAACTGGTGGATCGATTTTATGCTTTGGTCAAGAAGGTGATATCACCGGATAATTAGAAAGTCTTGGTGGCGTTGTTAGCCAATTTGTTTCTGTATGGAACTTACCAGTTAATTTGATGACTTAATACCATGTATGATTCTGTGCAGGTTGTAATGGCTCGTGGTTGCTTTGATGACACCAAGGTCATACAGATACATCTCACTCTTCATTAGCATCTTTTAGTATGGGGCTGACAATTATATATCTTTTGTGGGAATTTCACTGTGGCTAAACATTCAGGGTGCAATGTTGATTAAAAATCTAGCAGCCAGAGAGCCTTCGGCTCTTGGTTTGGATACTTACTACAAGCAGTATTATCTTTGCTTGGCTTCTGCTTCTGCTACAATCAAGTGGTACTTTCATAGCTTATGCTATTTTATTTCAAAATCCAGTCATGAGAGTTGGGTTAGAATGGCCACATGTTTTGGAGTGTCTCATTTGTTTTTCAGGGTGATGTCTATGTCGGTATTACAAAAAGTCTAAGTGAGGGGAAAAAACTCGAGACTCAAGATCATTATTTATCTGTTAGTTTCCCAAGACAAAAGCAACGACCTGCATTAGTCATTACAATGCAAACTCTCCATCTTTGCCCTACAATTGAAGAAGGACTGGCATTAAGTAGACGATCCCCTAAGGTGTTTTAAGGTCATTATGTTGATTGCATGCTGAAACTGGATGAGATGGATATCTTGCTATGATTAGTTTCAAGATCTGCTTGAAGCCAGAACAACCAGGTTATTTTTGCATGTTGTTGCCCTTTTGATCCAGCTCCCTATCTGTTGTGACTTGTTTAAGGCAATCTTCAATATGGAAAAATTCAGGTTAGATGGAGTTTTTAGATTTACTTGAAAATAGTGTTATTCTTTAGAGTCATGGGTTGCATAAAACTGTGTTAAAAGGGACAATTTTTCTTCATTTAAAACTTTGATTGAAAGCTACAAACTAAACATGATTACATGTTTGAATCTCTATGTAGTTTCTTTTCAGATGATATTCAGTCATATGCTAGTTCCTGTAACTACCTTACGTGTTCTATTCTTCATGGAGCTATACACTCAGCTTTCATATTTGGAGTCTCCTTTTCTTCAAGTTTCTAATTTCATGGTGCTTCTCATTATTTTTGTATTTACTTTTGTTAAGTAATTTTATACATCTGAAACATAAGTTCAATCTGTGTAATTCCTCAGGATAGAAGCAGAGAAAGGTGTCATTGTCACAAACCATTCATTATTGGTATGTGCTTCATAAATCATAACACATACCATTGGAATGCTAGGGAAAAAACTGAGTGGATGTTCTATTACTGAAGTTAATTTAATCTCTTGGAAATAATATGTGACATCTTGAGGCAAAGTAAGAATATTTATGATACGTTCATCCTCCTCCTCTTGCTTTGTGAACAACTACAACCTTTACCCTTTTCCTCTTGAATCTTCCCCAGGTTACTTTTAATGGATCATTTGACCACATGAACATTGATGCTACTAGGTATTGGTACTTTCTGCTTTACTTGCACCTATCAGTTGGATCAGGTTCTAGTAAAAATATTTTGCTACTACAACATATTCTAGAGCTTTACAAATATTTATATTTACTGTTTTTCTTTGTTAAAAAAGTCTTATGTTTGATTGTGGATGGCAGTGTCCAAAACTTGGAAATTATTGAACCACTTCATTCTGCACTGTGGGGCACAAGCAACAAGAAAAGAAGTCTGTTCCACATGCTCAAGACAACAAAAACTATTGGAGGGTATGTTGAGAACCGGATGAGTTGACATGTTATCTTGTGAACTGCTTCCTAACTTTTTTCTCAAGTCATCACTCATTACTTTCAGTTCAGCCCTTCCATTTATTTTTAGTCTATCCATGTGTTGGTTCACCACCTAAAAAAGTTACATTGTGGAGTATTTCAAACTTTTAATTGATTATGGGAAGCCTTTTGGATAGCACCTAATCTTTTTATTTTTATATGCAAAAAAATGTGAAACTTCTTCTCCAGGACTAGACTTCTTCGTGCCAATCTTTTGCAGCCTTTAAAAGATATTGAAACTATCCGTACTCGTCTAGATTGCCTGGTAAGTCTTGCTTTGCTTTCCATCATATTTCTCCTGTGGAGCTATGTTAACTTTTGATCTGCTCAAGAAGATTCTTTTAACA